TTCCTGAATTTCAGACATCTCTGAATTCATTTATTGAGTTAAGATGGAATGCACCGCTTCAAAACGATCCTGAATGGGGCAACGCTGTTTAAGATCCGTGAAGGGCGACCAAAGAAGAAGATATTGAGACCATGCAATGACGCCTGCGTGGTTGCCCAACCCATGTTTCACCAAGAACATTCAAGTTGCTACTTATTCTGAATCGAGATCGAGATGGCCATTAACTCAGCTATCTTCGAAGAATTTTGCGGATAGAACAAACCTGCTGATGATTCCGTGCTGATGGATGCAGTACTCATTTTCATGGACGATCTTCAAATGGCCAATCAAGACAGGGACACTGTTCCTGTTAAGAGCAATTCGGTTTTAAAGCACTTCTTTTCAACATGTGGAGAAGTACTCGTTAAAACCCGGTTCGGACTCACGAAAAACGTGTTGATCCTGCTTTTAAGTTATAAAAGGGGTGTCCTGTAATGTTTACAGAGAACACGAATGTTCGAATGGAGAAAGCCAATGGATCTCGGCTTTTTGTGAGAAAGGTGGATGTGAGGCATGGTTGCACCCCCTGTGGTTATTCAACTCGACAACGGCTGGAAGATTCGGGCTTTTTTCTCAGGTCAATGTCATAATTCTATCCTTGTGGAACATGAATGGAGACTATTATGCACGTACTTTTTATGTAACGGAGCAAGACACACTTCAGTACCAGATGGTTTATGACGGAGAAGTTGTACACACCAAGATGAAGGGTAAGCAGTTCCCGATTATCAACAATTCTGCGACAACTGGACACAAATTACAGGGTATATACTGCAGTGTGGTTATTGGTACATTCATGGCGATACTGTCAAAACTGGGCTTACGTGGTGTTATCAAGGGTGCGAACCATGAGTGGTTTGTTCTTATTGAAGAAGCTGGATTGGGATCAAAGAACTTTGCCATGCCACAACGAATGAGAGACATGCTTGCAAGATTTAAGGATACTAATTGGGCTTTCTGTCCTAGGAGAAGATCAATACGATGAATGTTCCAGCGAGAAGAACGGGTTCTTGTTATAAGTATAAACGGTAGGGATATAGGGTAAATAATCTGTATATAAAAACTTTTATTACTACAACTACCTTTCTGAGATTCGCATTGCACCTCGTACGTCATTCAATGTCAGTCATTGAAAAAAGATCAAGCGTCCAATCAAATCACAGGCGACCCCGAAAATTAGGAGCCAACTTTTAAAATGTGAAGAACGCAAGGCGACTTTCATGTGCATGTACATGCGTTGACTGTATCCCGTCAATACAATACTAGTCGAATACGTAGACTTCTACAGGGCCTTCTAAGTAATGCGCGCCGGGTATAATTCAAACCTCTGCCCCCATCGGTACCATTACCCCTAAAGCAAATCATCTCCAGGAGACGAAATTCATCCGTGAGGTTTCCTCGCGACTTAATGATGGGGGTTTCAAAGGGGGCTAGTTAAAACATTTTTTGGCAGGGCTCTACTATAAAACAAACAGTAGCAGGACCAATTTTACAATCAGGTATACGGAGGCTTTTGAGCTGGTTGGCACAGCCATGTTATACCTACCCAGTACCATGTTGGCGTCCTTTGCAAGTGAAGAGGACAATCCTTAGTGATCCCACATAAAAAAGCTTCAGGAAGAAAATAACGTGGGGTGATCTACACACGGCAATCAGAGAGGGGGAACCTAAAGGAGCTGTTACTCCAAACTCTGATAACTGACTACATGTAAATGTAAAGAATAGGGGGTACCACCGATGAGACAGATGCTTTCTTGGAATGAGCAACCATGAGACACCAGAAAGAAAGCTAAACTAATACAGTACTACTAGCTAGCTAGCACACCGACACCACCAGCATAAAAGCAAAAAGCACTCATTCCACCACCATGGTGCTTGTTGCTCCAGTAGCCGGCGCTCATTGAATAACGAATACATGTAATGAATCGAATCTATCTTCATTGTCGATGATTAGAGGTTAGAGAGTGTTGTTGTTATCCTCATCACTGGAGAGATAAAACGAGTGGCTGGATAATGCCATTAGAAAAGCGACTGGTACCGTACTGTACCACGCTATCACCACTACGGGAACGGGATCGAAGAGATGGATCCCTCTCGATATGGTATGCTACTCTTCACATACTATTAGACCGGCGGCAGTCAATTGATGGTGAGACTATCCTCGCACCTCTACTATCAAGCATCCGTCAATTAATTGGACGAACCGTTGGATGTTGGATCCATCTCTACTCCATCGGTAGCTAAACTGGTGGCAATGATCAATAAGAGGAGACTACGAATAAGATATCATCTGCCCTATCACAAGTCTGAGCAGACGGAGGGTATCGTCGTCGAGTCATTTAAATGCATCAATCAACCCAAGGGGGCTAAAGGACGACAACACACACTGGAGAGTTAATCCTCCTATTGGATTCATTCCACCTTGCTATTTCCTAGTGTTTGGTTGATGATTCCTATGCTCGTAGTACCCGTTTTCCTACACCAGTATGCACAAGTCCTCAATATGATCAATCCATGTGAACATTACCATCACAGCTTACGATGGCTGGATGACAATGACAACGACAGCTCCGGCCTTGACTACTACCTAGATGGAAGGAAAATCGAATGAAGAAGAAATATGTTCGGTACTACAGTAGCTGGCTAGCCGGTAACTGCTATCTAGCTCGATATTACTTCAGGCTCGAGCCAGAGGTGGTGTGCTTTTTGCTGCTGATGCGACCAGCTACTGGACTACTGGACCAGTCCTGAAAGAATCTATGGCCCCCACAGCTCAATGACGGCTCCTCGCCACTTGGGATTGAAAAGAAGTCTGTCACAATCGCTTCTCAGCATACAAAACATACTCCAAACATTACCGGACGACTATGGCAAGAGAATAGACATATGCATGCTGCATCTAAGAAGCGCATAATGGGGTAGCGCGAAAACAGCGAGGTCGGTTACAAAATTGCCAGGTCAGTCGATGGTAAGGTTACCAATCGGTAACTGATCTCGCGCTTATGTATGGTGGGTACAAGAACACCGAGGAATGATCCTTCCCATTTTGTGAGGTCAGCTGTGCAATATTTAAGAACCTCTTATCCTACTAATTGAAGACGATCGACTCAGGCATATACAGATGCAATTGCAGCACAAGTCATTGGCGTAACGGTTACAGAATGTTGAACTAAGTGTTCACTATTCCTCTACCGAATTCCGTTCCCCTTTCTATACATGGCTTACAAGTTGATGCACTTTGTGATGCTAATTACAGAAGGGCAGTTGTAGGCTATTCCCCAAGCCCCGGAATCCAAAACAGCTCAGCCATTCCTTCCCAAATGAAAGAGTCCTAGGTTACTAAATCTATAAGTAGGGGTTTCCAAAATGGAGAAAAGCAGTACACAATGTTGGATATGATTGGGGCTAAATTCGTTATGGTACTACTAATAACAGAGTAGTGGAGGTAAGCGAACAATGACATAATGTTCGTAGTAAAAGGGGAGAAACAGGTCACTCATATGTAACCAACTGTAACGGTACGGGCATCCATAGGTCCGAGAAATCTGCCTTGCTGCAATGCAACTCCGAGATTGGTTGGTGTGAGCACTTAGTGCCCTCTTGCTTTCAAACCAAGCATTACAGTAGTCGCAATACCAATAACCCATGATACAACTAGTAGTAGTAGCTAGCTAGTAGTAATTGCCGATCGCTAGCCCGTATAAAGGAACTGTAATACCTTAGGCAAAGTCTACACGACCTTACAAAATGTGACAAACCGCTCTGTACCGGATTCTGTATGTAGTTTCCATGTTCATTGATATGGCATAGGGGACAAAACGGGACCACAAAATTGGTCGGTACCTATGGGGTTGGGAATTTAGGATGCATGCAGGGTTCCAAAACGGTGCATACTGCCACACCCAATGGAGAACCCAGTACATGTTCCACAACAAACACCATCCAAATCCGGGAGCAATGACGTCACCAATCGCCTAGGGACGCATGTCGTTCGGTACCTTCCAGACCTCGCTGTTTTCGCGAGACCCCATTATGCGCTTCTTAGATGTGTTACTATAATATAGTAGAGGTTCCCACCACCACCCACTGTTAGTGTAGGAGTCCATGTAGCGGTAACACCACTAGTCGACCTTGAATTCAGCCGTCGAAAGAGTTTCAATTCATCTATCATCATCCTCATTGTATGGCTGATCAGAGTGGAAAGATAATGTGAGTGGGGCAGCATATTATTGCTACTGAATAAGCTACCATACGGGTACGGTCACCACTACCGAGGAATGATGAATTGACCATTCTTTGGCCGAAGTATGCATACCTGTCATTTGTGTGGTAACTGTAATCCTCGCACCTCTACCATTAGTATGACAATTAATTTAAAGCCACAGTCAAACTGAAAGCCATCCTCATTGAAATTGGACCCGTTTCATAGTTTGTTGCGACGGCGACTAGCAAGTAGGCAGGTCCAGAAACAATGCTGAAAGAACTCCATGTCATGGCTCCCAGCTAGCTAGTAGCGAGCCCAGCTAGCTAGGACATGTACTAGCTAGCTAGCTAGGACTGTAAAAATGTCAAACTGTCTAATTGGCATCAAACTGGTTTCCTTTTCTTCCCTTATACAGTGTCTTCCTTTTGCTAACTTAGCTGGCTGAGATCTCCTTGGAGCCTCACGCACTTTCCGCACCATCTCAATCGAACGTTCGATCGATCGATGACGTCACCCCATCAAAAACACAAAGCTGCGACCATGGCAACCGTGTTGTCTCGTCACTTGGTTGCACCGTACGACTGACTGTACGAGTACGACACGGCGCTCGACAGTGACAGCGAAAGCAAAAGTTGCAATAATGAAACATTTCTGTTCACTTTTGTTGATTCTCACACCAATTTTCTATCTTGGGCTGGTACCGGTAGCAGAAGCCATTGGAATACCGAAGGGCCATTATTTGTCATCTCGGGCAACAATGGGTGCCGAAACTTTGTACCGGAGGGATACCCCTGGCGCTCGCGGGAGGCAAGAAAAGGCAGCTCCAGTCTTGACCCTTCGAGGAGGTCAACTGGATGCTGGTACAAGTTCTGCACTTACCAAGATGATGCGAGTGCATCGTTGGGTCGCCTTGACCATTGGACTTGCCCTGGTATTGGTACCACGGCGCATGGATCTTGGACTACTGTTTCCACGACCCTTGACACACTCGGAAGTCGTCTACTTGAAAGCTTGGGGTTTCTTTGTATTATGGCTAGCCTATGTAGTGCATCACACATCCTCCGCTACACTTGAATTCCAAAAGGTGATTGCCAAAGGCCTTCTGGGTATGTTCTCTGGAGAGATCTTGTTGTACCTCAATGAATTTTTTCGAGGAGACAAGGACGAATTGGCTCTGAATGCGGCATACATTATAATATTTTCATCCCTGGCCATAGGGTATAGCTTTGCGCTCTGGAAGAGCTGAGCTACAAGCTAGGCAAGGATATACGGTACAAGTTGCCAAGAAAACTATTAACCGATTTCAACTGAGATGGTGGATTCCCCACCATTCTATTCCCTGCTACTGCTCTTTCTGCCTTATTGAATTCATTGCTTCAAACATACTGTATGTGTCATGCATAGATAGATGTGGATGGCAGAAAAATAACATCCTCTGGAGACAGTGGACCATTCCCGGTGACGGTGCTGCAGCAATTGCATCAACGTCTCTCTTTGGCAGAATTCCGTAAGATTGGGCGTCAGGCCTCATTCAATCCTGTGTATTGACAGCTTAAGCTGTATGTTCGTGCAGTGTCTGGCGTGGAGGAGCCTCTAAATGATTTGAATCCAAGCGAGGGCACGAGTGCGCCGCACCGGCTTGGGGTCCCGAGGGTTTGGCTAAAGCAAATCCACAAACGCTGCCGACAGCGAGATCGAAGAAGACGACAATGGTGAGCGACTGGCGAGGGATGCGCAGCGGCGCGCAGAGTTGATCTTTTGGGTACTCGTTTCGTGTAGAGGTTACACGAAACCTCTTTGACAATGGATCGAATCTATTGACACTACAGCACCATTATTCACCTCAAACGGAAGGATGGATAATCCTTAGGGGTATATACCTCTGTTGTTGTGGAAAGCTGCTGTCGATGGAATGATTCATTGGATAAGAGCCCGATGCAATCGTATCTTTGTAGATATTCATAGCACATCGCCGAGCACTCATCCTCTTCTTCTTTCGGTTCCTTGTTGTGATGTAGTCAGGAAAAGGAGGAAAGGGCGGTAAAGGTGGTAAGGGAGGAAAGGCACCCACCTCCAAGAAAGCACCACAGAGTCGATCTTCCAAGGCTGGACTGCAGTTCCCCGTGGGACGTGTCCATCGTTTCCTGAAGAACTCTGTTCACCATGGCCATCGAGTGGGTGCTACTGCTGCTGTATACACATCTGCTATCCTAGAGTACCTAACAGCGGAGGTTCTGGAGTTGGCGGGAAATGCTTGTAAGGATCTCAAGGTGAAACGTATCACACCTAGGCATTTACAACTCGCCATTCGTGGAGACGAAGAGTTGGATGCTCTTATCAAAGCAACAATCGCCGGTGGCGGTGTTATCCCACACATTCACAAGTCACTGATCAACAAGTCAGCAAAGGGCAAGAAGACGAAGTTTTGAACTGACTGAGGGGTATATCTATCATCGAGAGAAGACGTTTTCACACTTATCCTTTCCTTCACTTGGTGTTTCTGTGTTGACTACTGTGTGCCTTGTCGTGGTTCCTTCCTCCAACAACACTATCTACTTATTTGACAAGGCGGGGGGCGTTGTTACCTCTTGCTTCTGCGGCTTTATGCAAGTGCAGGCTTGTGTGTTCTATGTTATTACCACCACTATACCGTACCACCGACCGTTTTCTTGCCCTATGCTGGCTTGAGGTCCTATAAACGTAAGAGACAATCATACATACACATGCGCAGTAGGCCTCCTAGCTGTAGTACGGGATGGTACATTAATAGTGGTAGCTAGACTGTCAGGAGTTACATTATTGTTCTGTCGGCTTCATAATCCCTTCTCACGAAGCTGTACAAGAAAAGGTTCACCTAACTACCGTTGCATGTTGCCTAGCTAGTAGCGAACAAGTAGACAGTACAGTACCGTCAAACTCTTTCCCACCTCGATGATGGCAACAAACAATTCCATTCGACTTGACTTTCGGCTCGAAGATGATTGTAGTAGTAGTGATAAGTCAAGTATTGCCCTCACTCCATCGCAGAGCAGCTGCCACTTGCCTTAGCTGGCGACTCCAGAATTGGCCTTTTTCGCTCGACCACCGCCTGTCAAGGAAGCATCGGAGGGCTTTCGCTTGGCTCCTGCGCTGCTCGCTGCCGTAATCGACCCACGACCACCCGGAGGTTTCGTGGATTTGAAGGTTGGCGATCCCAGTCCAGGAACCGTGATTCCCCACTGTTTGGCCAACACCAATTGCAAGTCCTGCACATCCAGTGTCTTGCTACCACGATGCTGTGCCATGCGTATACTTTGTCGTGTCACTTGATCCAAAAAGTCATCTGCCAACTGCAGCAATTGCTCTTCCGCATCCACATCAATCGAGTAGTTGGGATCCAGTGATTTGACGAGACTGCTAATGCGTTCACCCACCAGTGGTGCCATGTGAGGGACTCCAGGACCCACCGCTTTGGAGCTTTGCGAGGTCAATCGAGCCTCGGACGAATAAGGTTGCGGTGTGGGTCGTACATTGGGATTGGGTGGGGGTTGCTGTTGGTGGTGAGCTTGGGCGGCATGTGGTTGCTGTGGATAATGAGGGTGACGTTGTTGTGGTTGTTGTTGTGCCGGTGCTCTTTGATGATGATGCTGTTGCTGCTGCTGATAATGTTGCTGCTGTTGTTGCTGCCTTGCCTGTGCATGAGCTTGCGCCTGTCGAGCTGCATGCTGTTGTTGATGATGTGCTGCAGCCGAAGCCGAGGTTGGAGTTGTACCACCCTTGCTGGATCCAGACGTTCTACGGGCACTAGCGGCAGTTGACGGAGTTCGGCTGATTGGTTTGGCCTTTGGTGGAACGGCGACAGGCGGCGCTGCATATGCCGCGGGTGGTGGTGCTGCAGCCTGTACTTTGGAGGAAGTAGATTGTGTGCGTTTGGCCGGTGTTGTATGGATCGGAGGCGGTACCGTGGTCACTGACGTTGCCGTGGGAACCTCCAAAGGAGGCAATCCAGCGGCTGCCCGAGCTGCGGCTTGCATGGCTACGAAAAAGGAAGACAGGAGATAAGAGAAAAGTAAGAAAATTGCCGAACAGTGCTGGAAACGACGAACCGACTGAGGTGGAGTGCAAGCCTTTCTTCTCGACTACTATCATTGCAGCATTAATTTCCGCAGTGACAAAGGTCGCGACGAAAGTTTTGCACTCCACCATGTTGGTCTATGGTGGTGATGTTGGAGCAGCACCTAATCCTACTCCTGACTGATACCAATGTGGGAATACACTTTTGCCACAGAGCAACAGTCGGGATGGAGATCAGGTGCATCTCCACTAGCCAGAATGATTGCAGCGGATACTGACACTGCTGTACGTACATTGAGCCCTCTTACGTTCACTTTCGGCCTGAGCATGAGCGGCTGCTTGATTCTGAGCAGGTGGTGAGCGTTGCTGTTGGGGGTGATGATGAGCGTACTGAGGATGCTGTGGATGATGATGGGGAGGAGGCTGCTGGTAATGCGGTGGTTGTTGAGGATGGTGAGGAGGTTGCTGGTACTGAGGATGTTGCTGCTGCTGTTGTTGGGGTGGCGGTGGCTGTTGTTGCTGCTGTTGAGGTGGTGGCTGTGTTTGCTGCGGGGGTGGCTGTTGGGCTGGCGGTGGGGCAGTCGCGGGAGGGTGGTGTCGAGACGCCATGGCTGCAAGAAAGAAAGGATAGGTGAGCAGTATCCTAATGGCGTTATCGAAATATTAAATTCCGTCACGTACCCGCGAAATTCTTTCCCTTTGGCTTACCAGCTCCCTGAGACGTCGCCATGGGAGCCGCGGGGGCTGGAGCCGGGGCAGGAGGTGGCGGTGGAGCGGGAGCTGGTGAAGCTCGAGCCATGGCCGAGAAATCTTTTCCCTTTGGTCGTCCCGCCATGGCCGAGAAATCCTTTCCTTTAGGTCTTCCAGCTGGAGCTGCCTGAACCTGCTCAAGGCCGAAAAAGGGGACATGAGGGGATATGCTGCGTGGTCATTGGGTAGTATTGACGAACAAATTCTTCCACTAACCTGTTGAGGAGCAGGGGCAGGAGCTGGAACTGGAGCTGGCTGTGGCGCGGGTGCAGGAGCTGCCTGAGGGGCATCGGCTGCCTGGCCACCTGTACATGTATTGGGAAAAAGTACATTGAGCATTATGAACTAGAGTAGGAAAACCAAGAAATGAGGCAAAATAGGTATTTCTTGCTTACCAAGCCTCTGTTTCATCAAGGCAATGCTTTTGCCACCTTTTCCTCCTGGTGGTCCACTCATCTTGCTGTTCTTTTCTTCTTTCTGTCTTCAAAACTCTGAATTGTTATGGTTGCTTGTGGGTACTGTGGCACTCTATGATCCCAAAACGTGGATTTTGTTCTATCAGTCAAATCAGTCGTACTGTATGCCACGAAACAGTTCCAATCGCATCCGAACGGCGCCAGTAGACTACAACAATATCCTTTCCCGCGTATTGATAACACTACTGCAAGTCGTTGATCCAATTGCTTCGTTCCACTATACCATGAGCAAAGAGGCCAAAATCTGTTTCGTCTTTGATTTCGGAAAGTTGTGATCTGCTGCTGTTGGAATCAGAGCGGTCGGAGGACGGACGGCCGAGTTCGACCCGGCCGCGGCCAAAGCTGAAACGGACGACTTCCCCGTTCCGGGGAGAACGTTTGCTTCCATGGACATGAAGTGGGATCACCACAGGACAACCGGGATGCTTATCTTCCTATCGTAGCTTCCTGTGCATCAAGATATTGGGGGCAGTTGGGTTGTCTTGCTGTGCCTTGGAGCGCATGTGTCGTTCTGCTACGGACATCAACACATGCTCTCTGCAGAGAGATTCAAATTTATGTCGGCGGACACCCTCATTCGATCTGCGGAGGGTGGCGAGGTTTATCATACGAGAGATCCCAAGCTGGTGGGGCATGCGAATTGTGTGTCGTCTGGCTCTGCAGATGCGAGAGCTCAGTATTACGACTCGGCGGTTCTAAGTCGACACACCCTTATTAGGCATCTTTGGTCAAGTTGGTTGGCATTTTGGAATGGCTAGGTGTATGGGGGTGGGCCAAACTCAGGGGGACGACATCAGCAAAACTAACTTGCTCTACTTATGTATACGTTATCATCTACCAGACCATGCTTTTGGTGTACCGTTCTAGTTCTGTCCAGGTCGCCCGACTTGAAAACTCTTTGATAAAGCCTTGGATTGCCTTCGTTTGTGTCAAGTTGTAATAGTCTCGATACTCCTTGCCAGGAACAAACTCCACACTGCCACTGCTCCGAGGGAGTTCCAAGAAATCGATGATCCGTTCTCGGGTTTCATCAAATTGATACTGATAATCCTCGTAGTGCAAGTTCATTGACGGGATCCCCATCTCGTCCAACGCCACAAAAGCCATGTTGTGCCACTGAACGTAGCGAAAGAACTCAGCCTTGCAGGGAACTCCATCCAAAGCATCCCGCATTCGTTGGTCCACCCAGTGCAGATCCAGCAAATCAGAAGTCGAGTCCATAAAGTGGCACCACCGCTGAAAGCCAGTGCTGTTGCGGGGAAACGTCGTTGGCCATGAAAGACTCTTTTTGCTGTTCCCACCTCGAAGTTGGCGTCGGTGATCGAGATGGAATCGCGCCACAACGTTGTCGAGGGGATGACGGAAAACATGAATTGCTTTCTTGACCAAATGGGAGTCGTATGTGACGACCTTTTTCTTCAACTCGCCTTCTTTGCTCGGGTAAGCTTTCGTGCCAGTTTGGCAAGACATTTGGAAGGACCGTGGAGTTTCCACGTACTTGAAAGGCGGACAGTAGGAGCAAAACCCACCACAGTGTGTCTTGGTCAGTATGAAACGAGGAATCCTTGAGGGGCGATTGGGGATGATCTCCAGCCATGGGCCGTGGCTCCCGTCAGGTGTAGGAATGGCCTGGACGCCAGGTTGGTCCTTGACCTCACCTTCCAGAGCATAGTTGGTGGCGGTGGTACAGTTGGAGGCTTCGCGGGTTAGATGGAGAGTGAAAGATGTACCACTGTTTCAGCGAAGGATCAGTAAAGAGCGAAGTAAGTTTCCATGTGCGCGAGATAAAGGCCGGAAAGCAACAGCAAACGATGACGTACCTGTTGGGAAAAGACATCAACCAAGCAATTGAAGGCGCGCTGGTAGTACCATCATCGTCCATTGGTTCGGAAACTAGTCTGTCGCCTGTTGGTTTCAAATCTTGCTTCTTTCGAGGGATCAAGGGCAGCTGGTGGCGTTCCCTATCGTTCAGGATGGCACTGGATGCCAGCATATTGTCGGCGTTGCGCCAAGCATTCCATTCGCGAGGATTTCGCTTGGAAGCAATGACGGTGCGTGAGACAATGGTGCCGTAATTCTCGCCTTGGATCGTTTGGAAATGAAACCAATGGCTGGCGATAAGGGTGGTGGAAACGGCGGCCAACGATGCTGCCGCGGCAGCAAGAGACACACTCTGAGCAACCGTCAGGTGAATTCGATTCTGAGGCTTCGTCTTCTTCATCTTGTATCGGTGTTGAATTGACTTGAAAAATGTCGATTGTCGATCTTCGTCTGAAGTTGCCGTTTCATCGAAAAGAATGTGAAGGTTTGTCTGGGTGTCGAGCCGAACTCTTTCGACAGACCGTGGCGCTCCTGTTCGACTTGTTCATCACCGTGACAACGTGCCGTTTCGATACAAGATCATCTCGTGGTGCCCAGCATGCTCTCATGCATGGCATAATTATCATCCGAGTAGGCAGCGTGGGCAGCTTCCACGCTATTAATAGTCCACGAAGTCAGCTATTGTAATGCATTGATATAACGTGCCGCCACAGGTGGCTGTGCTTGCTTTGAGTACCGGTACGGCTGTACTATCCGGAACGAACCGGCAGGTTTTGTATTGGTACAGTAGTGTTTTACACAGCCCTACACAGACCGACCGTTAAATACAAAACCAGCCGTTATCGTTCCATTCGAAACGAACCAGCTACTTAAGGACGGCTGTGCCCCATCGGTCTCCGGCCTGACCATCGGGCTGTCGGGCTTGCGCCCTCCCTTAAGCCCTCGGTCAGACCTCCGACCTTCGGGTCCCTGCCTGACCCTTAAGTAGACGGTTCGTTTCTAATCATACGGTTTCGCACCTCTGCTATCCAGGTTGCGTTGAAGGCAGCTTCAATCTGTTGGTTTCCACACCTTAGCAAAGATTCTGAACAAAAGAGGATGTGTTGGTAGGCCCTAAGAAGAAAGTTAGATGTGTAGTGTAGTAGGAACTAGCCTGCTCTTCCTTGCTCGAAAATTCACTCATACGGGGCTTTCGTTCCGTCTACTAGCTAGTACTCCTGCTCGTTAGGCTCGGCTGACTTGTTGTCATCCCCGATTTCATTTTGATCCCCCGTTGCTGCCTCAGTTGGCTGATTTTCATTAGATTCTGATTCGGTGCCTTGTATATCATGTTCGCCTGCATCCAATACCTCGTCTGCGTGTGGTGGCTCACCTCCAGCCTTCTCTTGGTTGGCTACTTCCTCATGCCCTTCTGTCTCCATGGCTTCATCTCGAGCGATCTCATTTACCCGACCTTCATCAGTTTCAACTAACTCTTCTGCGTTCGCGCCTTCCTCGTCCCCGCTTGTCGAATGTGATTCTTCTGGTTCATCAGGCACCAGGAGAGATTCTGCACCTGCCCACAACCCCGGAATGTACTCTGTGTTGCGTTTCAAGGTTATCCAATCTATGCAGGCCAATATGGACACCCCAGTTTGCTCCTCTACCCGCTGCAACCTCGCTAGAAGCAAGCGCAAACCTGCGACATAAACCTGCGAATCGATCGAAGTGTGGTCATCCACCATGTCCCATAAGTGCTGCGGCACGTCAGTCTTCTTTCGTTTCTTGTTGCGATATTCGACCCAAATAGCTTCTGGCAAAGGTTTGGTCGCTGGATTCTTCGTGTAGTGATCCTTATGGTTGCAATCACAAGCCTGGGGAAGTGTCTGATTGGCTTGATAGTGCAAGAGACACAGACTAGGATGAAACAAGTCCGTAATACCCACCCATTCCATACGATGCAAAGATTGTAGGGCTTGTTCGATATCCGGCTCCAGTATATCGACGGCCGCAGAACTTTGCTCGTGTTTGTCATTGCCATCAGGCTGCGGTGGCACCACTCGGTAGTGCTGCCCAAGACTGCCCCTGCTGGTCTTGCTACAAGCCAACGCGTGTGATTGGGTGTTTCGCAGTGAAATCACTTGAACACCACTAGGACCTGTCTGAACGTTGCTGGTTTGTTCTCGAAGTGGCCAAGAGGACAGAGATGCCTCTAGGTTGGCCTCCAACGCTTGTTTCCAGTCCTTGACACCCCCGGTACCGGAATGTCCACAGGCTGTTTCCGAGTAAACCAAGAGGCCCTCTGCCAGATAGAGTGGAACATCGGATGCAATGCGGGCCAAGTATGTGTGGTGTGCATTGTGTCCATGTGTAAACAACGACAGTGTATGAGACCGGGGCGATCGTAGGAGGGTCCCATGAAAGCGGCCTTCTTCGTGCATGTCAGCTGCACAGCATTCACAATTGAGGCCGCAGAGTAGCGTACTGATGAATGTGGCAACGCTTTTGCAGGAGAATGTTTTGGCGGCAGCTGCAATGGCCTCAGTCCCTGTGATGTTGCGCAACGCGGATTGAAAACAAGCACGATAGTGGATTTTGGGCACCATATCCGACCTGGACCACAGATAATTCTCAATGGCTTCTCCTCCCGTCTTGACAATGTGCAAGAAACGGAGCGGCTCCTCTCCCGAAAATAGCTTCAACGGCACATTGGTGGAAGATGGCAATCGCAACTTGGCAAACAAGGCAGCATTTTCTTGGCGCCGTGCCTCCATGACACCCTCAATGGGAATGTTGCGAACATGATAGAGACGTGCCGGTAAAACCTTGTTCCAATCGGGTCCCGTGCCCGTAATAGGATTCAAGTATAATCGTTCGCAGTAGGCCACGTAAGCCTCGAGCTTGACGTCTTGTTCCGAGACAACTGTGCAGCCATCCACCAGGTTTTTCAGTGCCGTGCAGTGATCTGGGTTTCGCGTAAATGCCCACGACAAAAAGGGGGACTGTGGATTGTTATTGTTGTTATTGTCTTGCGGAAAAAACTCTCGATTGGACATGACCCCGACGGGAGTTCCTCTGATATCCATACGTGACTTTTGTATGATTTGCTTGCGTGGACTCTTCATCAATGCCAAATTGCTGTAGATGGATGTATTGGTCTTTCGGTGATCCACCATGGCAATGACATGCATTTCATTGGAATGTGCCAATTGTAGAGTTGGAATGTCTTCCTTGTTTGGATCAATATTGGATCCAAAATAGGCCGCATCGGGACAATCACCCAAGCAATGACCTCCTTGTTCGAGACAATGCAAGCCTCGAATATACAGGGGCGAAAACGGAACGGGCTCTACTTTCATTTGTGTTTTGGGTGGACCAAAAGCACCTTGAATGCGTGACACGACGGCCTCTTGGTATTGGTCAAATTCATTGGCGTAGAGTGCTACTTCGTTCACATGGCTCGAATGTGTTCGATCCTTGTAGGTTGGCTTTGGCAGCAGAAGGCTACTTTTGGATTCTGGTGGTGGTGGTTTTCCTTGAATGTAAAAGACAGGATGATTGGATTGGAGGTAGGCTTCTCCTTGAGCCTTGTCGTGGAACCGAAAGAGTCGCATGACGACTTCAAAAAGTGCGAATTGGTCGTCGTCAACGAGCTCGGAAGGGATGATCGCCACGTGAATGGCGTGTTTGGGAACTCCACTTTTTTGTAATGCTTGTTGGACTTGTTGGAGGGTATGTTGACTGGATTGGGTTACCACGACGTGAGCGAACAAGTCATTATCATTGTTGTTGTTGTGGGTAATATCATCATGTTTTTGATTATCGTGTATATTGAGAACATTAATGGCATCTCCCAAACTGGCAAAGAAGAGTCCCCGTTTCCAGGAGAATAAGCAGAATGTGGTAATGGAAAAGTAATCCACGGGAGGTGGTTCGTTGGCAATTAAGACGACTGCCTCGTGATGCCGTAACCGCCACATGGGACTGGGAAGTCCACCCAGAAAGGGTAGCACATTGTACATGTACGGCGATGCCCAGTTGCTGCCAAAGTTCTCTGCAAATCGATTCCAGACAAAGGTGGCCATATCCCATTGAAACGAGCCGCGGTTGGCAATCGTCAAGTCATTATTGTTTTTGTTGTCGTCGTCGTGAAGCAATTCCTGAAAGGTAGCACTGACGGCGGCTACCCGTGGATCCTTGGAGTCTTGCCATTCGGATACATGGAACTTGAGAAGGACTTGCCACAGAACAGCGAGGACGGCAACCACGAGAATGGTCGTGATGGGTAGCGACAGGGACTTCATGTTGTGGATAATATGTTATCTGTCTATCTATATTATGTAGTAAACAACAGCAATGCCACAAGAAGAAATGGGCTGGCCATTGGATGCCGAAAGTATCTTTTGGATCTTTTCATTCAGTGTTGGTGGCAGCTTTGGCAGCTGTGTTGGCTATGACAATGTATCTTTGGATCTTTTCATGTGATGATGTCATCACACGTTTTAAAATTCAAAAGACGTTTTGTTTCCTCTCTCAAAAAGCTAGAATGCCCACCAAGACAGGGTTGGTATTTTTGCTACCCAAAGTTTTGCCTTTGTTGTTGTTTTACTTGTCCAACGTCCAACATGATGATTGCAGAACCAGAACCAACGCGACCGAAAGCAGAATCACCGCGACCTTCTTCTTCTTCGTTTCAGCTACGATGGTGTGTTGGATTGTCCGTGTTCGTTATCTATGTGTGGTCAGAGACCATGAACTCTAGTATCTATACCTATCAACGCTGGTTCAAAGAGAGCAATGCTTCCCTCCATCTTCATATTATCGATAACACAACCACTAGTACGAGTATTGACCTTCGAAACTCGGTGGTCGAGGCAGCCAGTAGTGAAATAAAAAAGTCCAAGTCCACAGACGAGACGCCACGGGAGAACAAGAGCTACAACATGGGCAAGAAGAAAAGCAACGCTACCATGATTGAGGCTAACAACGGGGTCAAGAACAAGACGGTACCACAACTCATCTGGCTCTTGAGTTTTCCCAATTCAGTAAGTCCAGATAATGGCACAAGGTTTTATTTAAAACAGTCGATTATCAATCTCACTAAACATCTCATGCATAATTTCAATTGTTTTGCAGGGAACCACCTATACCAACAAACTCGTACAAGGCATGTCCGGAACCTCCACCGCTACCAACTATGGTCAAGAACAGAGTGGATACAAATCCAGCATTCCACTAAGCCCCAATCTACCCAATGGACCCTTCTTGCGGTATCCAGATGGAAATACCTCCAAATACCTCTTGACAAAATCACACTGTACGGGATACTGTATTCGATGCTCGCCCGATCGATACGTTCTCAATGCGGAACGATTCGAAAGTGGATGTCGTTCCGGCAATCATCTCGTCAATGGGGAATCCGTTTCCAGCAAACCGGCATATGCCGCCGAGTTGGTCAAAAAGGTGGTGCACATCATTCGCAATCCATTCGACAACATTGTGGCCCGGCTTCACATGCAACGCAAGAATTGGGTGAACCACGGGGACCACGAGGAATACTTGAAACTCTTTGTCAACAATCGAACCGGGTTTCGACGATGGTGTACCTTTTTGGCATATACCCAGGTCAACCAAACTGCCAAAGCAAAACAACTCGACAATTTTACCAAACAGTTGTATGCGGTGTCGCCATGTGCCGCTGAATTCTACCGATATACCCAATGGCACAACTACGCTATTGAAGCTGCCAAGGACAAACCGGTGCACACCTTGTTTTACGAAAATTATACCGAAAACTTTAATCAAACGGCGAATGAACTTCTGGACTTTTTAGAGCTAGACGTGGTGGGCGGACCCGAAGAGTCATTTCAACCGGGAAAGCAATACCCGGAATACTTTACGGAGGACGAACAGTACTTTATTGCCAACCTGGTACGGCATTTGGCAACCAATGAAACGTGGGGGTTACTGAAACACTACTTTGATGGGATCTTGGAGGACGATGAGCTTGACTCTGAAGAAGATGTAGAAGCTCCGGAGGAGACAGAAGAGCAAACTGACGAGTTTGATAAGCTAGGTGATGACGAGGATGCGGAAGAGGAGGATTCCACGGTCGACAAATCAATATGAGCTAGAAGCAAAGCTTCAAAGAGCACCCTAGGTTATCGTATGGGTGGGAATCGAATATGCGAGGAGAGACGACGCCTTCAGTCGGATGCATGGTCAGCAATGCTGGGACTCTGATCTACCTGGTGATTGACAACAGTCTCACATGCTGCATTGGCAAGAGACGACAGCCAAGTTAAATCGTTCGATTCAATCTGAATCCTACCTTATCTTTGGTAGAAGCTGAAGAGCTCAAGACTTCTTTAATCATTCTCTAGTAGCGGTTCTAGTTATATTATTATGAAGCTACACACGGCATACTCTACCTTTTCAATTACTCTTTCTGCCCATGAGTTCCTGAATAATCGGCTCGAGGTATTCCAGAACGGTTGGGTCTTCGATGGTTGGGGTCACTTTGTACTCTTCCCCATCGGCAATCTTGGACATGGTGCCCCGCAGTGTCTTTCCAGATCGTGTCTTTGGTAATGCCTTGACCACGGCCACCTTCTTGAAAGCGGCAACGGGGCCTAGCTCATTGCGAACCCTCTGAACCAGCTCTTGTTTCAGTGTTTCGTGATCCATCTCGCTACCTGCATTGACAATGACAAAGCCAACCGGAATTTGCCCTTTGAGTTCATCTTTGGCGGCAACCACCGCGCAATCAGCAACTTCACTGTGGTCCATCAAAATCTCTTCCATGGACCCCGTACTCAGACGATGACCCGCTGTGTTGATCACATCATCGTTTCGTCCCATGATATGAATGTAGCCATCATCATCGACATAGACCGCATCGCCTGAATCGTAATATCCAGGATACTTTGTCAGATATGATTTGATGAATCGATCATGGTCACCGTACAAGGTAGTTAGGGAACCGGGTGGAAGCGGTAGCTTCAAAATCATGTCTCCAAGTGTATTGTGTGGCAAAATGTTTCCTTGATCATCTGCAATGGCCAATTCGAATCCAGGAACCGGCGCCGAACAAGCTCCATATTTAATGGGCATCCTGCCGAGTCCTACCGAGTTGCCGACACCTGGAGGGGGACAAAAGAGTCTCAGCCGTGAGCTCGCTGTAGTCAACAGTGAAATGACATAGATCACATTGTGATTCTACATGTGCGTACCTGGCCAACCCAACTCGGTTTGCCTAAAAGATAGGTAGAGTGACAGAGATTTAGATACATCAAGTGAGTGAGACTTGCCACTCGAAAACAAAAGGGAACGGGACAGTTTTCCAAGCATTTGTTGCTTACCACCAGTGATCCACAGCTGGGACGTTGTATTTGTCGAGGGCCCTTTCACACCAATGCAGAGTATCGGGATCACTGTGTTCTCCTGCCAAGAATAGATTCTTGAGACTACTGAGATCGTATTGTTGGGCCATTTCCGCATTTGGATCGGCCTGTTTCATGGCCCGAAATGCCGTCGGTGCCGTAAACAAGGTCTTGGCGCCATACTCCTCAATGACCCTCCAAAAGGCTCCCGCATCGGGAGTGCCAACTGGTTTTCCTTCGTAGAGGATCGTGGTGCATCCATTGAGTAAGGGAGCATAGACAATGTAGGCATGCCCCACAACCCAGCCAATGTCACTATTTTATCCAAATGAAATCATCACATCATCAAGCGCAAACCAGAGCAAGCAAGCAATTGAGTTAGTCATCTCAGTCTCAACAGTATCATTTCACATCAGTCGGTCAGTCACTCAAGTGTCTCACCTCGCAGCCCAAAAGACTTCTCCTGGATTGGTGTCATAGAAAGCACCCATGGACCACTTCAAGGCGACGGCCCACCCGGCCGTATCTCGTACCACACCCTTTGGTTTTCCCGTGGTGCCACTGGTGGTCAAAATGTAATGCATATGATTGGCGGGCAATGGAACGGCATCGGCTGGTTGGGCCGCACCCATGAGTGTTTGATACTCTCGATCCTTGGGTCCCATGGGACAGTCGGCCTTCACGTTGGGTCGTTGGACAATGACCGTGTGTTGCACATTGTGTTGTGCCAATTCCAATGCCTTGTCCAAGAGTGGCTTGTAGGGAACGATGCGTTTGGGTTCGACTCCCGCCGATGCGGAAATGATGACTTTGGGATCGCAATCGGTAATTCTGGTGGCAAGTTCCTTGGCGGCAAATCCACCAAAGACGACACTGTGCACGGCCCCAATGCGCGCACATGCCAACATGGCAATGACGGCTTCGGGAATCATGGGCATGTAAATGACGACTCGATCGCCTTGTTCAACTCCCAACTCGTCGCGAAGTACTCCTGCAAATGTGGCCACTTGTTCCAATAGTTCCGAGTAAGTAAAGGATATTTTGGTATTTCCTGTAATGGGCGAATCGTAGACGAGAGCGAGTTGATTTCCACGTCCATTTTTCACATGGACATCCAAGCAATTGTAACAGGTATTGACAATGCCATCGGGAAACCATCGATAGTTGTTAATGTCTTGGCTGTCTTGTTCCAAAATAACGGAGGGTTCGCGGAACCATTCAATCGATTTGGCGGCATTGCCCCAAAAGGCTTCGGGATCTCGTCGTGACAAATCGTATTCCTCTTGATACTTGCCATGAGGTCCTTCCACCTGACTGCGATCCACCAAGGAAGTCGCCTTGGAAATGCTGGACCATGGACGAGAAAAAGTGCTGCGAGCAACAGCTCGACGGAGAATCTTGGTCGAGACGTTCATCATGTTTGGATCTTCAAATTGATGGATAGGAATGCAACAGATAGATAGATAATGGTTGGAGTTTTGTGGGTAGCAGGTTCGGGAAAGTTTTGAGACAAGGTAGCAGCGTCAAAGAGATGAAAGCTGCAATCAGAACCAGAAGTTCGTTTCTCGACCTTGTTACTGCAAGATGGCTACAGCACTCTCTACCAATCCACGGACGATGGGTGTTCTTGCTTGCTACACTTGCTTGGTTTGGTTAGACTAACTTTGTGTACAGACTGTTGACAATTGCAAACCCAACGGTACCAAACCTTCTTCAACAAACGCAATGCGGTTCGGCACGTACCGTACATGAAAAAGAACCAGCCTTTCGCGTCACAATCAAAGATCCAAAAGATCCATCCCGAACAGTGATTCCCGAATGGCCGTCGCGTTTTGGTGGCCTTCAACGCGCGAGTTTTAGAGGGGCGGCACAACACTTCCGCAGCAGCGCAGCAGCAAGAGTGTGTGCACTGCTGCCAAAATACTAAGCTAGTGATCGCAACAGCAGGCTTGATTACATGAAATGGTTTTAATGAATCCACTGACTGGCATGGGTACGACTAGTAGTGAAGAAAGAGACCGCAACCCTCTAATACTTAGAAAGAATAATAGTGATGTAGTTGAACTTGAATTATCATCCATCGTACTGGTACCGATAGGCATCCCCGGTAGTCGTCGTGTTGTCCCTGAAGATAATATTGTTTCAGGACAGTGCTTGGTACAATCAGCGTACCAAAGAGAACTTGATGGGCTGAATGGGATGATATCCTTGGTCAGCATGATCGGCAATGCTTCTGCTTTCACTACTTGTATTGAGGGTTCTATCAGCATAGACCTGGATGCAAATAATCTCATCCCCTTGATATCCCAGGTTGGCGGACCACCAGTTGGCAAAGGGAAAGATTGTGATATCCAAAATCTTGTCGGGCAATGCATCAAACGTTTTATGAATAGATGCACATTCCAGTGGTCTAACAGCCTTCAGAACCACAGCAATCGCAACGAAGACACTAGTCATTTGCCAATCAGTGTTACAAAGCAATGTATGATTGAGTATGGATGCAAAAGTCCAAAGAAGCCACAATTGGACCAGTATAGTTGTATATTTGTCCCCCGTTGTACCGATATCTTGGAAGGAGGAACAACTTATGGCATGAAGCGATTAAGAGAAATGACATCGGGGGAGTATGACTACCCAAATGTGTCGTGGAGAGACAATGGCGCACCCGGCTGGAACAAGTGCAGAAAACATGGTTGTAGACAGAAACACACAGTAGTACCCATGAAGCAAAACGCACAGTATTCTGACTCGCTTGCCTGTGGCCGTTCTGTTCCAGGACTACCTCTGGATCTGACTTAAGTTGTACTTTCCCCCGGAAACGAAAAACGTGTCAATGTCAAATGGTCAGTCGGCTCCGCTGGATTTTGATACATTCCGAGACCATGCTGTGGTTCCAGACGCATAAGCAAAGCTTGTTCATTGTCCTGCAGTGATAGACAGAGTCTCAATTGTGTTGCGGTGCTGAATGGTCACTGTCCTCGCAAAGATCATGAAACATTACTGCATTGAGTACTCAACCGAAGAAGTAGAATGACAACTCAGCTAGGTGGGCCTTAGCCCATCTGTGCCCGCGTCAAAAAAGCCACTTGGTGGCTGTAGTTTGTTAAACTAAGAGTATTTTACACCCCACCCCAACCAAAGGAGCTTGCTTCATGGCATGCCAAGTCATTAGTGATGTGGAGTCTGCAATTCCTGGGGTAACTCTGGATAGTGTGACTGAGAGGATCAATTGAATGGGTATCCCTATTTGAATGCATATGTCGAAAATAAAGAACTATTTCGTTTGAAGAACCTTCCTCCTGTGTTCCAAACGTATCATTGTACGGCCGTGATAGTAACACACAACATGGCGGCTTTTGGTTTGGGTGGTTTGATTCAATATTAATACCTTATTGATCTGAGATTTAAAAAGTATAGGAAGCACGGCCCTTCCATTCCTACTCTTCTATACTGATCATCTTCTACACTTAGATGACGGGATATCTATATGTTTCAAGAATGCCAATTTTAGTCTTGGCTTATCGAATGCCTTGAAAATGGGATTAGAGCCAAACATTACTGGCATCCAAAATCCCCACCGTCAAGTCCGAACCCACTGGCCCCATCTCCTTAACGATGAAGGCTTCAAACTGTCACTGATGGATTTGTTTGAGACTCCCATGCCATATGAACTGGGAGATGTGCTGGTAGTTCAACCTGAAAGACCCATTATTCACTCCGGCAGAGGCTCCTCATACCTACGGAACCGTCATCTCCGTCCCTATTGAAGGTGAACGCCCCACATACCACACTCTAGTTCGATAACGGAACCACTTAAGATTGCAACCAGGAAGAGCTCTATGACTAGACTACTCCGATTGCGAAGCGCCTGAACTGGAATTCGATCTGGTCCATGATCTGTGACAAGGGGGTGGGCCATTCACCCCCTTCCTCCTGCCTGGCTCAGAAAATTGGTTGCCTAATGGTATGGGGAGATGAGAAAGACATGGCGTGGAAGTTGTTCACGTGTTCCGTCCAGTCCCAGTGTATCTTTGTCCAAAAGATCCCAAAAGGGCAACAACAGAACGAACGGCAACAACCAAAATTGAGAAGGACCAAGAGACCAAGAGGCGCGTTGCCGAGATCAAAGGAAACCTAGTTTAGCTAGACTACCGTAGCCAGCTAGCCAGTCCTGGAGTCAGGAGAGGACTTCTTTCACTGTTCCTCAATTCTCAGTTGAGCCCATCTCGACCTCCCACCATTCCTACCGTATCATTCTCCGATCCGATCTTCCACCATGAAAGATCGTTTGTTATCATCGGTACTTTTACTGGCACTACTATTGTTATCATCCCCGTCATTCTTATTGGTGGCTGCCAAGCGAGTATCGGGCGACTTTAAGTTAAGCGGTGTGAATTCGGAAAAAGTGTTGGGATCCTTTGCCGTCCTGCCCAGTCATGGTGCTCGCTTTTCTCTGAACCTGACGGCGTCCAACTTTTACGAGAGCGAACGGAGTCTCTTTTTGCGTGTCTTTAACGACGTTGCCTGGGGTCGTCATTTGACGGGTTTGACCTGTCAAGAAAAGATTCGATTTGCGAGCAACAATTACAACATTGCCTTTGACTATATCGATGAAAAGTGGCAACTCAAAGAGCCACTCACCCACGTCATCTTGAGTGAGGTACAACACCAAAAGTACGATCCAAGCAAAATGGCCGCTCATCGACGCCGTGCCAATATTGGAGATCCAGGGCACGACCATACAGATGTCGATGATGCCTTTGTCAATGCCGACGAACGAGATTTGATTTCCAAGACACGGACATTCACGGCCCAACGACCTCAATACTGGTATTGGAGCATTGATGACTGTATGCTTGAGCAGTTCATGCGAGACGATTCCGTTCCCATGATACACTTTGAGTTGGAAATTGTCAATTCTCTTCAACTCATCGATTCCATCCAGGCACCCCTCAAAGTGACACACTTGTCGGCCGACGAAATGTCCCTGACTGCTCTCCATACATTCACGCTCATTGTCAGTGGACTCATTGCCGCCTTTCTCTTGATGAATGCCGGATTGCAAACAGCCAGCAAGAGTACGTCGACGATTCACGTGGCCGTCTTGTGGGTAGCACTGGCAGCGACATTGGATGCCATGAGCAGTTTTTGTGAAATTTGTCATTTGAAAGCGTACGAACGCAACGGGATTGGCAGCTACGTGTTGGATGCCTTGGCGGCACATTTGGAAGCCGTTTGCGATTCCTTGCTCATGTTATTGATTTTGAGTATTGGAGCGGGATGGACACTGCCCAGCGATGCCGTCCGTTATCAACCGAGCGAAAATGCCGTCCAACGTGCCTTTACCGATTTGGCATCGCCCTTGCGATCCATGGTACAATTTAATCTCGTCGGTATGGTCTGTGGCGGCACCATTGCCTTTCAAGCATTCCTGTGTCAATGGGGACGCACGTACAATGATGATTTTGAATCCTACCATGATTTGGAACATTTGCCGGGAAAAATACTCATGTTGCTACGGATTTTCTTGGGTTTTGTCGCGTTGGCCGTCACGATGCGAACATCCCTGCAAGCCAAAGTAACGCAACTGCAGTCCTTTTATCGACGATTGGCCGTTTTGGGATTTTTGTGGTTCCAATCCCTGCCCTTTGTGACATGGATGTGCAATCTACTGGTGCCCTATTATCTGCGCCATCCGGCCGTATTCCTGTGGAGTGCATTGCTCCAATCTTCGTCGATTGTGGCACTGGCCTTTTTGGTGACATCTCATTCGAATTCCTCGGCGTTTGCACAATACAGTCACATGACGAGCAGTGGCGGTGGTTCCACCAGTAGTGGTGGTGGGGGTGTCCCGTCATTGGCCGAAAGCATGGGCATGGGGAGTAGTGGTGGTGGTGGTGGCAAGAGCACCTTTTCGTTTGGCAAGACCAAGATTGCGATTGATTGAAGGATTGAGTTTGAGAAAGAACAAGAAAAGCATTTTTGGCCTAGAATGGAGAAGGAGAAAACGCTGACGGCCGGCACCCCTTAGAATAGAAATCACTGTTGCTAGCTGGAATTCATCGACGGTACGGTAGCACACGCCCAGGTTCAGCAGAGAAGACTGATACGAGAATGATTGATTCGATTTCATGTCATCATGCCGGGCTTTTAAGTCGAGTTTAAGAGCCACCAAGCTTAATCGATCAAACCTTTGCGTCATTCCTTCGCCACCAGTACTACCATCCACAAAAGATACAGAACTTTCTACATACAAGTGATTACTTTGTAACCATAGTCCAAACTAGCCTGTTGTCGTGATTCTAAACACCCATGTTGTCAAATTGGTTTGTTTGGTTTCATTATCCAAAACTCACATCGGCCAATTCCATGACGGACGGCAGACATTGCATTTCCAAATAGTATCCATTGACCGCATCCGTTTGATGTTGTTGTTGAAATTCAAAGAAACTGCGAGACGTATGCTTGAGTTTGGAAATGATGAGTGCCAATGGCTTTCCCGTCGTAGATTCGTCAAAAATTTTGGTCCAATGAGAATGTTTCATGCGTTCAAATGTCACGTCCAAACAGTCCCGATGTGCCATGGCAACAACGGGACTTTCCAGAACATCCCATGTTTCGTATAAAATCCAGCGTGCCATTTCATCCGATACGGCATCGGTAATGAGACTCATTCCCGCAGATGGCACCAAATATTGCAACAATCGTCTCTCTTCTAAGCTTTGTTGTTGTCGTATTCGTTGGAGTGCCTGGTCAAATGCCCCTCGAGTGATATGGAGACACGACGCATCGGAAAATTTCCAATCGGCCAATGCGGATTGCACACTGGTTTCTACCGATTGAATCAATGCCGGGACGCCCTGTTCGAAATAATACTTGTACGTGTTGTGGAGTACTTCCTTATGGGATTCCCCGTAGGTACTCATCAAATCGGATGCCGTACTGTCATCATTGTCATTTGTATTGTTGTTATCCGTATGCAATTGTTCTTCAAAGAGTTTTCCACCCAGCAAGTGAATTTGTACCGTCACTACCAGCACCAGAATGGAATGAGCATAGGCCGTGGCCACCAATCGCGTGACGGATCGTACTTTGACCGTTTCCCAGAGATCCATGGCTTGTTGAGAAGAATGTTGACCTTTGGTTTTCAATTGTTTGAGTGCCTGTGTTTCCTGGATCGTTGGAGTTGCTTCTTCAATGGCACGCTTCAACGACGGCAGTAAGCCTTCCAGAGCTCGCGCTACCTCGTCGCCACAGCGGACCATGCGTTGTCGTCGACTTCGCCATTGCTGGGGACTCATGGGAGATCGTTCCCTTCCTAAGGGTTTAGATGGATGGGATGCCATGGGAATAATATTCGTATCATCATGCTGTTGTTGTTGTCGTTGCTGCGAATCATCCCCTTCCTTTTTATACCATTGATTCCAGGCCCAGTTCGCCAAACAATAGGTCCCATAAGCGGCCAGACCTGCCGAAGCCAATGTCGCCACCCCTGGAGTTTCATATCGTCGTCGACGTGAATTGTTGTTGGGTTGCATTGTTTATGTAGATCTATTCTATTATCGATGATCGTTTCCAAGAAACTCGGCTACCCTCTCCTCTGTCTTCGTGATGGCGTTGTTAGTGATGGTGTGAGTTGAGAAGATCGTCGACTTCGGATAGCAGCCAGCAAGACTGTCGAAACAGAAATGAGTATTATTGATTTTGATCACGAATAGGTTAGTCCTGTTTACCGCTTTCCCCTCGTACTTTTTCTTTTTGCGGCCGTCACCGTCCATCTTGTTGTGGTACCGCCAACATCCCCACTCGTTGTTCATCGATCTCATCAAGATAAGAAGAATATCCCGACCATGTCCGCCTTTGCTTCTCTCCCCCCCATCCTCCAGCCCAAGGAGGAGGACATCCAGCAGATGCTGTCTGCCGGTGTCCACACCGGAACTCGTAACTCTGACTCTGCCATGATGGATTACATTTGGCGTCGTCGTTCCGATGGAGTTCACATTCTGAACATTGGAAAGACCTGGGAAAAACTCGTCTTGGCCGCCCGTGTCATTGCCGCCATTGAAAACCCCGAAGATGTCATTGCCATCTCCGCTCGTCCTTACGGAATGCGTGCCGTCCTCAAGTTTGCCCATTACACGGGAGCCCAATCCATTGCCGGACGATTCACTCCCGGTACTTTTACCAATCAAATCACCAAGCAATTCCGTGAACCCCGTCTCTTGATTGTCACCGATCCTCGAACCGACTCGCAGGCCGTCAAGGAAGCCTCCTACGTCAACTTGCCCGTGATTGCACTCTGTGATTCCGACTCTCCATTGCAGTTTGTCGATGTCGCCATTCCTGCCAACAACAAGGGAAAGTACTCCATTGGACTCTTGTACTGGCTTCTCGCGCGTGAAGTCTTGCGATTGCGAGGAACCGTCTCGCGGGAAGTCGATTGGGATGTCCCCGTGGATCTCTTCTTTCACCGTGATCCCGAAGAGCTCAAAAAGAGTGAAGAAGAACAAGCTGCTAAAATGGATGAAGCTGCGGCCGCCGCAGTCACGGCCACCACCACGGTGCCCGTCTTTGAACAAGAAGGCGTCCCCGATGGTGCCGGTGCTGTGGATCCTGCTTTGGTCGAAGGAGCTGCCATTGAAGGAGGTACTCCTGCTGCTACGGCTGGGTTTGATGCCACGCCTGCCGAAGGATACGCTGCCACCAGCTGGGAAGGTGAACAGACTGGAGCGGCAGCTGCCGCTGCTGCGGGTGCTGCCACCGAGTGGTAAACACATGCACATGAGTATGTTCTACCGTAGCTTTGCTAGTAATTAGGTATCTCTTTTATTAGTATTACAGAATATTCTAGCTCCTAGATCCAACTGTGTTTTCAATGAAATTATTAGGCTCCATGCACATGAGTATGTTCTAGCTTTGCAAGTAATTAGGTATCTCTTTTATTACTAGTATTACAGAATATTCTAGCTAGATCCACCTGTAGTAAAATCATTCAATCCAATCAAATTATTCAGACCCCGGGCATCCATTTTCTCGCAACCATTGTAACAAGTATGCACTGCCATATTCTTTTGCACTCCGCCAGGTCCCTTCATCCCAAGGGCAACCATTCTCACGGGCATATTTGAGGACCTCTAAATGACCATTTTCAGCAGCATACTTGCATGTAAAGGAGTTCCAAGGGCAACCATTCTCTCTGGCCCATTTCAGGAGTTCAAGTCGGCCGTTGTAAGCAGCAGACCAGCACGTCTTTTCATCCCAAGGGCAGCCATTCTCTCTGGCCCATTTCAGGATGTCCAAATGGCCATTTTCAGCAGCATAGGTACATGTCCGTAAGTCCCACTGGCAACCATTTGCACGCGCCCATTTCAGGATGTTCAAATGGCCACCCAAGGCAGCATAGGAGCACGTCTGTTCATCCCAAGGGCAGCCAGTCTCAAGTGCCCATTTCAGGATGTCCAAGTGTCCACCCTTGGCAGCATTGGCACATGTCCCATTATCCCACTGGCAACCATTTGCACGAGCCCATTTCAGGATGTTCAAATGGCCACCCAAGGCAGCATAGGAGCACGTCTTTTCATCCCAAGGGCAGCCAGTCTCACGTGCCCATTTCAAGATGTCCAAATGGCCATTTTCGGCAGCATTGGCACATGTCCCATTATTCCACTGGCAACCATTTGCACGTGCCCATTTCAGAATTTTCAAATGGCCACCCATGGCAGCATAGGAGCATGTCCATTCAGCCCAAGGGCAGCCATTTTCACGTGCCCATTTCAGGATGTCCAAGTGGCCATTGAGGGCAGCATAGGTACATGTTCGTTCACTCCATGGACAACCATTTTCTCTGGCCCATTTCAAGACATCCAAATGTCCTCCTGCGGCAGCAAAGGCGGATGTGGATTCATTCCATGGGCACCCATTTGCATGTACCCATGTCAGCATGTGCAAATGGCCATTTTGGGCAGCATTGGTACATGTAAATTCATTCCAAGGGTACCCATTTTCACGGGACCATTGAAGCACTTGCAGAGACCCCACTTTGGCAATTGATGCACAAACCTGACCATTATAGGGAGTCTTCTCTGAGCATTCGTAGTTGTGCCAATATTCAGCGGTGGAAAAATTGTAGAATGCTGCTGAGTAATACGTATCTCTGTAGTTTGCTGGGCGCTCTCCACACCAGAAGAATCTTGTTTTCAGGACCAAAGGAGGACTCTCTATGGTGGCACAGTAATCTTGATAGAGTTGCTGCCACTGCTTGTTGACACTGCCAACAAAGGCAAACTGCCCCATGCCCAGACAGGGAAGGATCTGGGCAACCCAAATCTCATTGTGGTCAACCAGCAACTGAAGGCCAGTGCCGGTGCCAGAAGTGCACAACATCTGTTTCTTGCTTGGCTGGATGGACATGATGTAGCAACGAGAGATGTTGTTGGTGTTGGACTATGAGGTTGCTATGATGTGACTATGTTGCTTCCCAGGTGCTTCGGTGGACGACGAGCGAGGAACGAGCGAAACCACATCTGCTGGCTGGACGCTGCCACGCTGCCACGCTGTTCACGTTGTCCACGTTGTCCACAGGCATCACGCCACCGGTACCGGTACCGGTACCATACCGGTGGTATACCGGTCGGAATGTCTTTCCATGTCATCCGTGAATAGCTCATTAGTGACTAACTAAACACCACCAATTTCTTGAAAGCTCCCGCCAACATTTTTGCATCTCTTCTACTCCAGCAAAAGAACAGAAGCCAACTCGCATGTCGCACAATTGCATTTCCAATACAATTCAATTCAATTCACCCACCATGCCCAAGATCAAGAAGATCCGTGCCGCTGCCTTGACATCTCAATCGGTCCGTCACGAACCTTTAGGCCAGACCATTCAAGATGACCAAAATCGGAACAAGTATGCGTCGAGTCGGAAACGGCGGAACAAACTCGACCAACTACTAGACGGGGACGAAAAGGAGTTACTGGATGAGAAAACGTCGGAACGCATTTTGGCATTGAGCAAAGAACAACGACAAGAACTGGATGCCGAAGAAGAATTGCAAAAGAATCGAAAAAAGCAAACCGAGCTGTTGGTTCCCGATGACAGTGACGATGAAGACGACAAGGAAAAACCATTTTCGGTAGAAGAAGATTATGAAGATGACGAGTGAGTGGCAAATGAAAAAATGACCATTATCTAGATTTCAGCTCCGCCCAGAAGATGTCGACTGACCTTGCTGCTGTTCCTTTCTGTATTATTAGCCGGCTGGTCCAAGAGGAGGATGGAGGGTATATCACCATGGTGGAAGGAGCACCAGAACTCTCGGCCGAAGAAGAGGCTCTGGTCGCATCCATGATGCAATCTACTGGAGAACGCAAATCACTCGCCGACTTGATTCTCGAAAAAATTGGAGAAAAAGAAGCCGAAAAGGCCATCGACGATGATGCTGCACCTGGATTGCCCCCCAAAGTGGTGGAAGTCTACACCGATATTGGAAAAATCCTCACTCACTACACATCGGGCAAACTGCCCAAGGCGTTCAAAGTCATTCCATCCCTCAGCAATTGGGAAGAAGTGCTCTACTTGACACGTCCCGATAAATGGACTCCCCAGGCCATGTTTGCCGCCACCCGCATCTTTGCATCCAATCTCAACCCCAAAATGGCACAACGCTTTTACAATCTCATTCTCCTCGATGGGGTCCGCGCCGACATTCACGCCAACAAAAAGTTGAATTATCACTATTACATGGCACTCAAAAAGAGCGTCTACAAACCCGCCGCCTTTTTCAAGGGGATTCTGTTGCCGTTGTGTCAAGACGATTGTACCCTCCGAGAAGCCGCCATTGTTGCATCGGTTCTCCAACGGGTCTCCATTCCCGTCCTTCATTCCGCCGTGGCTATTCACAAATTGGCACAATTGAAAGAATACAATGGTGCCGCCTCCATTTTTATCAAGACACTTCTCGACAAAAAGTACTCTCTTCCGGCACCGGTCATTGGTAGTTTGGTCCAACATTTTGCCAATTTTGTTTCGGATGACCGCACACTTCCAGTCTTGTGGCATCAAGCGTTGCTGGTCTTTTGTCAACGGTACAAGAACGAAGTGCAGGATGAAGCACGCAACTCGTTGCGACTCGTCATGAAGAAACACTTTCATCCCAAGATTACTCCCGAGATTCGACGGGAATTGTTTGGAGCGCAAGCATGGAAGGAGGAACGGGCCAAGGATACAGATAGTATGATGTTGTAACATGCATAACAACAACAGCAACAACAACAATCCATGAAAAGGCAGTGCTCTTTGCTAGTTGGCGTAGACGATCCCAGAGGGATAACACCTAAAGATGGTGACTTGGAAAAGACGATGCCTGTCTTTCCAAGCAGCATCACACCTAGCGATCTAGCTAGATCCAGAAGCTGAATGGGCGTAGAAGGCTTGGCACGCTCAAAACAAACGGTTGCTACGTAGAGATGAAAGTACAGTAGGTATACAAACACAAGCACAAAACATGCATGTACGGTAGTTTGTTTGGATCATTGTGGTTGCTTGGCTTGCTTAGTAATAGGTCTTCCTGTCTTTTGCCAATCTACGGCGCACAGCATTCATTAATACAACAGTCTCGCAATGTCGGACTCACTGACTTGTCATCCAGATAGACATCACAAAAGGCGGCCGCCAGTCCACTGCTGGTGACATTGCCTTGATCTTGTCCATCGACTGCCACCGCAATGCCTTCTGTGGAACAATCAAACTGGATCTTGTTACCTTTTCCCACACTCCCCATGGGCTTGACACCATTGGCAATCAAGCCTTTGAGGTCGTCAACATCTGTCGCAGGTCCGGTGTACCGTGGGGATACCGATTCGGCAATGGCATTGGCCATTTTTTCGGCTCCCACCTTGAAGTTCATTTCCAATAAAAAGGTGGTGGGGTGTTCTTTGACCCCCTCTCTCAGTGCTGCCAATGCTTGCTTGCCCTTGTCGGCAGCTTTGGAGATTGTAGAAAGTTTCTGTTTGAGAGTTTCGGAACAGTACAGACCCACGGCGTATACCTATGAAAATGATATAAAATGATGTGATAGTAGCAGAGATAGTGAGGCTGTGAACTAGCTAGTTTCAATGCTCTGAATGGCATCGAATGATCTGAATTGATTGGCATCGCCATCCTTACGTACCTTGATGGGCCCCTTCTTTCGGACTCCCACGCCAAAGAGCGACAGTTCATTGAGTTGAGGAACAAAGGGGATTCCTGTGGCCTTGTCTTTCAGGGACGAACAGCTGCCCAGCAACAGGAGTGTCACAAGCAGAAAGAGACGATTGCAGATGCTAGAGGACGCCATGGTGGATCAATCAATCTGTACTTCTGACAAGCAAGCGTCAAAGAGGAAAAAGTGATGAGGAAGTGTTGCGGATTGCACGCCATTGGAAGATTCCATCAACACCTTCAACGTGGAGGCAAATTGTGAGGAGTGAAGTGTCCCTGAACCTTAATGGAGAAACGGAACCGAAGCAAAGAGACAACCAACAGCGACGACCAACTCCCATGACCACCGCCGTTGCATTGCCCAAACGAACATGGCGAAGACCAAGAACAGCCAAGAGGTCAGCAAGAAGGAGGCTACACGCCTCTATAACAAAATTTACAATGGAAATGCAACCGAGAAGGAGAAAGAACGATACGGTGCGCTCACAGGAAAGCCTGCAGACGCAGTCCCACGGCGATCCAAGGAAAAACAAGCGCTGAGTCAAAAAATCCGACGAGGCACTGGATCGGAACAAGATGAACAACGCTTCAGTGAGCTGGGTGGGAAAAAAGCGAAAGTTACGACGTTGCGAAAATCCAAAGAGGCACAAGCCTTGTACAGCCGCATCTACCATGGCAATGGCACCGAGAACGACGAGCAACGGTATTCGGAGCTCACTGGAAAACCTGCATCAAGCGTGAAACGAAGGCCCAAGGAGCTCACGCCCTTGTATCATCGCATCTCTGCTGGAAAAGCAACCAAACAAGAAGAACAGCAGTACTTGGAGCTCACTGGAAAACCTGCCTCGTCTGTTCCAAAACAATCATCATCACAGGAGAGAGCATCATTGCACGAGAAAATCCGCAGCGGCAAGGCCACAAAGAAGGATGAGAAACGATACTTGAAGCTCACTGGGAAGCCTGCTTCATCCGTCACAAAGAGGACCAAAGAGGTCAGATTCATTTACAACAAAATATACAATGGAAATGCCACAGAGCAAGAGGAAGAACGATACTTGGAGCTCACGGGAAAGCCCGCCTCGTGTGTGGCCAGAAGATCCAAGGATGAGCAAGCATTGTATAACAAAATCTACTTGCAAAAGGCAACAGAGAAGGAAGTCCAGCAATATCACGAGATCACGGGAAAGCCGGCATCCAGAGTCCCAAAACACTCCAAGCAGTCCAAGGAAATTACAACCTTGTACGACAAAATTCGCAATGGAAATAGATCCAAACAAGTGGCACAGCGATACCATGAGCTCACGGGAAAGCCTGCTTCCAGTATTCCCAAACGAGACGCCAAAAAGGAATACAAGGAGAGAAAAGCCTTATACGACAAAATACGCAGGGGAAATGCAACTGAAGAAGATGAGCAGCTTTACTTGGACCTCACGGGGAAGCCGGCTTCGGACGTTCCAAGAAAATCAAAGGATAATCATCAACAACACGTACACGACAACAACAACATTTCCAACGAAGTAGTTGCCCCCAAACAAGTAGTTGCCAGGAAAACTCATGCACTCACCAGGAAAGAGCCATCTGTCGTCGTTGCCAGAACAACAGCAACGTCATCCAAGCAGCAAGCAAGACAGAACAAAGCTCTGTACGACAAAATCCGTAGAGGATACGGCACGGAGCAAGACGAACAACTGTACTTTGAGCTAACAGGAAAGCCTGCTTCCACGGTGCCAAGAACACAAAAGAGAAATCCATCCTCCGAACTACTTGTGGACGAGGAGGAGGAGGAGGAACAAGAAGAAATGATGCAAGTGGGGGCAAAGCGAAAATATAGCGACGAAGAGCCAATAATCGAAGAGGCCACCAAAAAGAAGAGAACCAAGGCACTTGGGTTTTACTATTGCACAAGCACCATGACCTTGCAACCGGAAAGGCCCAACAATCCCGCGATTGTGGTATAGAGAATTTGATGATGATTATTCGTTCCGATTGTCACTGATTGCATTGGATTGCGTTGGATCTGGCCTCTATACGATATCCCGCTCGGGGACATTTTGCGGGTTGTTTCCCTAGACCGGTACCGAGAATAGCAGCATGATACACCTGCAATTCCCTTCTGGAGGCATCTCTTAATAACCAAGGAATCCTACATTATGAGAGCCTCTGTGTTTAACACGCAGGATAGGCTGTGGCCGCAAACCAAGTCTTACTAGCTAGTTTGCTAAAACTAATTTCTAGCTAGAGCTCATCGTATAAATAGCACATGATGGCTTCTCTTCGCTTCTACTCTTTGATGGTTTTGTAGAGCATGTTACCCAGCAACCCAATTTGGGTTCCAAAGAAGAGGAACCGAATAGTTGCATGGATATCCGTGTCACCAAGGCAGTGACTGGTACTGTGTCCCATCCTGGCGCAGACATAGTACCAAGAAAGGGAAGAAATATCCGGTCCACCGGTGAGTGTATTGAGAACGACCGTGGCCAGAAACAAGGGAAAATTTTCGGTACAGTTGGCATGGGAACGTCCCACACGGCCAATGAACGACTTGGAACTGTCGTCTCGACTGGGGCCAAAACCATTGGGGGCAACATCACCCTTGAGGATCAGAGTAGTACGATACACTGCAAGGACGCCAATGTGGCCGAAGGTCCACAAACCAAAGCCGACCACGGCACCATGAGATGATTTCATATCCAAGACCATTATCGGGCTGCTTTTGTTCTGATTTTGAGGGGGCAACGGAGCTTATCGCAGCTTTCTGATCGCGCCAGCTTTGACACCGTCTGTCTGTCCTCCGCTTCAAAAGATCCACCCGTATCTTCATCTTTTAGCCAACGATTTTTGATGGCACCTTCATTTTTTGAGGCTTCGGTTGGGGCACCTCAATTAGCTCCATTTCCAGTTTCACACATTGATTAATAGTTTTTATATCAACTAGCTCCATAACTTACTTGTACGGTAGCATCTGAAGAATATAAGAAGACGAAGCCATGGCTACCGCTACTGTGTTGGGCTTTGGAGCCAGGGCTCCTCCCAAGGTTTGTCTTCTGTTTTTCAATGGGTATCATAACTACGTTAGTCTAGTTATTTGTTCTGATCCTTCTTCATTAATTTTGCAATTTTTCAGGTCCTGAATCTCTTGGCCAAGACTGTGGCAGACAATGGCACTGCGACAATCATTCCCAAGCGTTCCCAAAGCATTTCCTTGGCACTCTGCGAAGCACCCTATCGCACGTTTCTCACCACCACTCCCCAAGAAAGTAATAAAACACCCGCCAAAAACTTGATCCTCTACTGTTTGCCCACTGGCGTGGCGGAATATGTGGCCACGGATGAAGCGGCCACGGTACGATCGTCCATCTTGTCCACAACAACAACAACCAACACTGTAGTGGCCGTGTATAGTGTCGAAACGGACCAACTTTTGGGAGGTGACGAGACGGCCTTGTTGGCGGCCATTCGTGGCGATGACGGTGCTTCTGCCTTTGGCAAAGCGGCTCTCTTGGCACTGGCAAAATTGGACACAATGGCAGCCGACCAATTGATGATTTCCGCCGAAAATAAAGATGTCGTGATTGTGGTGGGATCCGGTGGACGAGAACATGCCCTGGCAGTAGCCGTGGCCAAGTCACCATTGGTAGGCAAGGTGATTTGTTGTCCTGGAAACGGTGGCACTCAAGTCGAAGGAGGAAAAATCACCAATGCCGAAGGAGTCAATGGAAAACAGGATAATGCCACTGTGATTGATCTAGTCAAACGAACCAGTGCCAAAATGGTTGTGGTAGGACCCGAGGCGCCTTTGGTGGCGGGGTTGGTGGATGAATTGGCAGTGGCTTGTCCGGATGTCATGGTTTTTGGACCCAGCAAAGCAGCTGCTGAACTGGAGGCTAGTAAGGTATGGCGGCTTGAAGAGAAAAAAACTCAAATTTTCTCAAGTTGCAATCCGTTCCATGTTCTGACATTAGACTATTTGTCATCTGTTCTATTTATCATTTTTGAAAGGCATTTACCAAGGACTTTTTGCAGGAACACGACATTCCCACGGCAAAGTATAAGAATTTCACAAGTGCTGACGAGGCAATTGCGTATGTAGAATCCTTGGAAGAATCGGATCGACAGGTGGTCAAAGCGTCTGGGCTGGCTGCTGGAAAGGGTGTGTTACTACCCACAAACAAGGCAGAAACCATTGCAGCCGTTAAGGAAATCATGTCGGACAAGGCATTCGGAGCCGCTGGTGATACATGTGTCATTGAATCATTTCTAACGGGACCGGAAGCGTCTTGTTTTGCCCTGTGCGATGGAAAGACAGCCGTTCTCATGCCTGCCGCACAGGATCATAAACGAGCACTCGACAACGATCAAGGTTTGAACACGGGAGGAATGGGTGCCTATGCCCCGGCTCCTTGTGTCACACCCAACTTGCAACAGGAAATTGAAGCCATGTGTGTCAAGACGGTCGAAAAAATGGCAGAACGAGGAACTCCTTACGTGGGACTCCTATACGCAGGAATGATGTGAGTATGCTGCAATACACCCCTTGTCCTTATTGTGTACTGCAACTGGCTCATCTAAATCTTGCGTCTGGAATGAACAGCTTGACACCAAACGGTCCCTACATGCTCGAATACAACTGCCGCTTTGGTGACCCCGAAACGGAAGTTGTCCTCCCTCTCTTGGAGACAGACTTGTATGAGGTTTTCAAAGCATGTTGCACGGGGACTTTGGGTTCGATTGATGTTCGTTTCAAGGAGAACACTTGTGCTGCTACAGTAGTTTGTGCTGCTAAAGGTTACCCCGAAAAGTATCCAAAAGGTATGAAAATCGAAGACATTGCTGCTGCAAACGCATGCAGTGGTGTCAAGGTCTATCATGCTGGAACCAAAATTGACGATTCCGGGGCCACTCTTTGCTCCGGTGGTCGGGTCGTGACTGTTACTGGAATGGGGGATAGCCTGCAGGCTGCCCTCAATGCTTCCTATAAGGGAGTTAGCAAACTAGCCTTTCTGGATGGAAGTGGCCAAAGCTTGATGCATTTCAGAACGGATATTGGAAAGAAAGCTGTCGAAAAGAAACTAAGAATTGGTGTATTGGGCTCGACACGAGGTACCGCGTTGATTCCTGTTATTGAAGCGTGTGCCAATGGCTCAATCAACGCTGAAATCGTTGCGGTTCTGAGCAACAAGTCTACGGCACCAATCCTCGACAAGGGACGGGCCCTTGGCGTCACGGTTTCAACAAAGTTCGTTTCTGCCAAAGGGCTGTCGAGGGACCAATACGACGCAGAATGCACGGCCAGCCTTGTCAAGGCAGGAGTCGAGTTTGTTCTACTCGTTGGTTACATGAGAATTCTCTCCAAGCCATTCACAGATTTCTGGAAGGGTCGTTGCATTAACGTTCACCCGTCGCTGCTCCCGAAGCATGCTGGCGGGATGGATCTCCAGGTAAGCGAGCAGTACATTGAGTTTCAAGGGATACTGGTTTTGCCTTTTCTCAGAAACGCGACACTATATGCAGGTTCATCAAGCAGTCCTTGACGCCGGGGAGAAAGAAACGGGCTGCACAATCCACCAGGTTACGGAGGAGGTTGACGGCGGTCCAATAGTGGTTCAGAAGGTGGTTCAGGTGAGTTTGCATTTTGTGTCTTCAATTGAATTGGACTTTGTTGGACATCGCTAAACAAGTTGACACCGATCGATGGTTCAGGTGGATGAGGGCGAAACAGCAGAATCATTGAAAGCAAAGGTCCAGGCTCAAGAAGGACTAGCGTTTATCGAAGCTATTGAAACGGTATGTCGTGGTGGGGTTATCACATACGCGGACGCTGGAGTGAACATTGACGAAGGCAACCGTTTGGTCGAACTGATAAAACCACTTTGCAAGTCAACGAGGCGTTCCGGGTGTGACGCGGATCTGGGTGGTTTCGGTGGATTGTTTGATCTTGCTGCAGCAGGGTACAACACGAGCGACACTGTTATCATCGGTGCCACCGATGGCGTGGGGACAAAACTGAGAATTGCACACGCTACAAAGAAGCATGAAACCGTCGGCATTGATCTGGTTGCTATGTGCGTGAATGACCTCATCGTTGCCGGTGGCGAACCGCTCTTTTTCCTGGATTACTTCGCGACAGGTCGCCTGGAAGTCGAGGAAGCAGCCGCAGTGGTGAAGGGAATCGCGGAAGGATGCAGGCAAGCACAGTGTGGCCTCATTGGAGGGGAGACCGCAGAAATGCCTTCAATGTACAGTGATGGCGAGTATGACCTCGCTGGTTTCAGTGTTGGAGCTGTGCACAGAGACCGAATCCTGCCGAAAGGTGTGGCGGAAGGCGACGTCCTACTTGGTCTATCGAGCAGCGGAATTCATAGCAATGGCTTCAGTCTAGTCCGGAAGCTGATTGCAAATGAAGGACTTGACTTCAGCAGCGCGTGCCCGTGGGATCCTGATTCAGTCTCTATCGGCGACTCTCTTTTAACGCCGACCAAGATTTATGTAAAGTCTTGCTTACCGCTCATTAAGGATGGACTCCTAAAGGGGCTGGCTCACATTACTGGAGGGGGGCTCCTGGAAAACCTTCCAAGAAGCCTTCCAAGTGAATTGGGCGCTGAAATCACAGGGCACCCGCCGCTGCCACAGGTTTTTAAATGGATGAAGATTGCCAGTGGATTGGACGACAGCGAGATGTTGCGGACCTTCAACTGTGGTGTTGGTATGGTTCTGATTCTGGACGAAAAGTCCGTATCAACTGCCACAGAGCTCCTCAAGTCAGCCGGAGAAACAGATGTTTTCCGGCTCGGAACTGTAGTGAAGGGCAGCAAAGTGACAGTTACTGCTTCCCTGACCTGATATAAGTCATAGTAATCATCCTATTGCTCATCTTCCTCGGTCCAATCGAAATGAAGTTGATCGAGATCACCGTGGAGATCCTCGACCTTGGCGATTAGCCGCTTCCACTCCTTCAAAGTTGGTGTCCGTCCTTCGACCCTTCAGAAAACGAACAAGTTGCGATTGATCGGCGAAGTCGTGAGATGGTGGACAACATAATGGCAACCATGCCACGCGAAGGTGACGTACAATTCATTCCTGACTTCCAGTATCAGCTCGTTTGTGGTCAGCATGTCCTGTTCCAACTCCTTTGGAACGGGATCGTTAATCCCCAGGTGAATGCTGCCTTTCAAGGCGTTGGGTTCGTCAGGGTTCGGAAGTCCTGCCCCGTAACGCGACGTCACTGGATTGCTCGATTCAGAGTCTTTGTTTTGCGCAAGAAGATTGCTGATGATGATCTCCTCGCCACTTTGGACACGCATTACCTTTGGCCATACAATACATCCGTTCGCAGTCGAAGCAACCATCAATGAAGTTGCAGCCCAAAGAAAGGCATTGACGTCTGGCGACGTCTTCGCAGTGGTTGCTAGCTGATCCAATGAGATTGCCATCAAGGTCACAATTGTGTTGATTGTTGCTGCTTGGAACACACCATGACTTTCATTGAATGCAGACGGTAAATCCCGGCATACCCACGCCAACGCGACAGCAGCACCGAAGGCTAAACTAACCAAGGCAATTCCAGTGCGTCTAATCCACTGTCCCCCCTCATCACATTCCACCCTTCCAAGTGATTGAGAGGCGTCGACCCTCGTGTTCAGGCCTTCGTCGTAGACAATCATGCCAATAAGTTGCATAAGAAATTGTGGAAAAGATAGCCAGAGAATAAGCCTCGTCGTCTCCATAGCCGTGGCCTTTTGTCGAAAGCCACCCTTTGCTGGGGCCCGCTTCTGTTCCGACTTCATCATATTGTATGGAAACCGGGCAATGTGGGTAAGCAACCCGACAAAGTACCTTTTCAAAAATGTCATGGATTTTTTCTCCGTCGCCTTACTGGCCCTTCTTCCAATAGACATGGCCTGAGATACTGTCACGTACACCCTCCACGTTCGACCCACCAGAATCGCTGCCATCATGGTCAGCGGGACGAACTCCAGAAAGTTCCCAGCTCGACAGTGCCAGTCATTCGTTGGAAGGAACGTGAACATGAAGACGTAGACAAAAATGGAGCAGGCCACCAACCAGCATAAGAAATGCCATTGGGCCAGCTTCATCACAATATGTTGTCGATGATGCACAATGTAGCCCAAGAGCAGCAATGATATGAAGGCAAAGACGCCCGATACAGACCCTATACCAATTTTCATGGCGTTTGATACTCCCAGGATCAGCGGCACTGGCAATGCTTCGATCACATTCTGGGGAACTGCATCGCCTATTTCAAGCTGAAAAACATGTAGATGAGTCATCAACGGAGGAAAAGGTAACCGCTGCAGTGGCACCGGTCAAAGCTGACTCACCCAGACGGTCTCATTATGAGCTAGTGCCAAGATTGGCGAGGCCGAAAGCTCCGCCACAGCAGCTACACCGACATCGGAAAAGTTGGACAGAGACTCTTCCACAGCGACAACAGGCAAGTGGATGTGAGAATGGCCGATTACAAAGAAAGTCCCGGCGGAGACTTTTGGCAACCTGATGGTGAACTGATGCCTGACTTGGAAAAACCGAGGCGATATCTCCTGCATCTTAAGCTCTATCCATGCAGTGAATAGATGATTCCCAATCTGCACAGCCTTCAGGTCGTTCTCGGTCGTATCTCGACTGCCCAGCCATCCATCCCGTTCGATCACGGCGTAATCTGAGATGTTCAAATCCAGGAAACCAACGTTTATGGGGTTGCAAAATCCAACGTGTCTAGTGTCACAAAGGATAAGACGAAAAAAGAGTGTCGTGTAGTCCTCTGAAGTATCATTGTAGTCGCCTACTTCAAAGGCAACATTGCCCCGTCCTGGCTCAGCAATGGATCCCGCAATGTGATCGAAGTGGACGGTTGCATCCAACTCGAATTTGTAAGGTGTTTCAAAGTACATGATTTGATTATCGTCAAATTCGCCGCTGTGATTCTGGTTTGATCAAAAGCTCAGGGTTAGAAGGTGTAACGTCCAGTTTGATAAAGAGATACCATTCGAAATTTGCTTGTCCTACCAAGTCGACGGGCCTTAAGCTGAATGAGGTGCCTTCAGGACAGGACGGCTGCATCATAAAGTCACTTGCTTTGAAGCGAAAGTCTGACATGTTTAACAGCGGCAACGTCCAGCAAATGGGATCTGCCCCACCATCCACATCGTAACCATTCAAGGTGAATGGCACCGACGCAGCGACGACCAACGGTAGCGGTAGCAGCGCAGCCGGTAGTAGTCCCCCAAACACGGCCCTGATTGCCACCATTCTTTCACCCAACGTCCTCCAGTGACGATGCCTCCCTCCGAAAATTAAGTAGTCAAAGTCTATGTTGAACTGGTTCTATGATACCGACGAGAGAGCGACGACTAACAGCAGAGTGGCACCAGATTCAGATTCGATTCTCATTCATTGTGTGTCGCTGGTCGATGGTTTGATGGTTTGTGATTTCCGGTGGAAGTTCGCCGTTGCATTCGGCCCCGACAGCAAAAGTGCCAGCAGCTCGGACGACCAAAACGTTAAAGCTTTGAGTGCCGCTAATAAGAGTTAGGGATCGTGTGGTCAAAACAAGGCTGGTCCTGTGTGAGAAGCTCCACTATCCAAAAGCAACTACCACTGTTCAGGGATCCGAGCTGAGGCTTGGGATCCGGATAAGCGACGGTATGCTCTGGGGGCCTAGCTAGCTAGCTAGCTAGGTCAAGAGAACGAGATTGGGCGAAAGCAAATGAGCCATGGCCAGGATGCAGGAACCAAGATCATCAACCAATTCGACGAGGACAAGAGGACAAGAGGAAGTCAGAAGGTGGCATCAATCCCAGGCTTCGTTGAGTCTCATTGCATGTTCTTGTAGGTAGCCATAAGACAAAGAAATGTTTTGTCTCGTGGAGCGACTTGCCTCGCCTATTTTCGGCGGTGCAATAGATTTTGGATTTCCCATGAGCTGATTTCAGCGCCCGAGGTGAACTCCGTGCCGTCTTTGCCCCCACGTATACCGGTATGATCTTGATCTTTTGACTCTTGGGAGCATTACTGCTCCTGTGCGATCGAGAGCGGCGAAAAGAAAACGTACGAAATGACTCGACTCTTACTCTTGCCATTGGTCATTCCAACCTGGGCATGGCGTTTGCTCAAGGGCCACTCCTGTGCTCGAAGACTAGCTAGAGCCCACGTGATGTTCACCTTCACTATGAAATCTGACACGTGGAGCAAATGATCAAAGGTTGGCCAACCCAAGACAACAAAGTAGACAGCTCGCGGTTTTAAATAGCGATTAGAACTAGTTCCATCGGAGATAGACAAAAATGTGATCCGCAATTTTCCTCTTGGGCAATGCACCGTGCGGACTTTACTACCAGTCCCATGCGTGCTGAGTTGCGCTAGATGTGTGAGTTGTGGCTGATGAGTCCATCTGTTTTCTTTGTTCTGATCGGATCTGTTGAATGGCTTTGCGAATGGCGTCCATGTCAAATTCCTTGCCAAATCGCTCGTATTGTGTGTACTTGAGCTCGCCTTTCTTGTTGAAGATCATGACACCCCCCTTGGTCCAAAAGTCACCACAACCAACATTTGACTCGATGCCTTTTCCTCGTGTTCTTCGGAACAAACTGTATGCTCTCTTCATCAGTTGGAACTTGCATACCTTCTTGCCGCCCATGGCGTGAAAGATCTTCCAATGATCATCTTTGTACATAGGATGATGAAAGTATTCTTCATAAAAGTCCACCAGAGCCTGATCATCCACTCCCGCCTCTTTGACAGCGCCCACGAGAGCTATCTTCTTGTCTTGTTTGGCCAACTCGGACAGTTGGAGCCCGTGTTCTCGGCACCCAGCACAACCCGGAGTTCGCACCGCAAACAGAACCGTCACATTGGCCCCGACATCCCGTCGCTCCTTGATAGTCATGGACTTGAGGTCAGTGGTGCTATTGGCAACGTTGACGACCCCAAAGGAAGGATTGACACGGCGAAGTGGAATGTTGTAGAGTGCCTTGGTTTTTACTTTGTAAGATTCGTCGACTCCATCCGTTCTTTCACTTGTGTCTGAAGCTTCCGTGGCTGATGTGGAGGCAGACTCTCGAACCTTGAGCATCCCGAGCTCATGTGGGAGTTCCTGAGGTAGGTTAGAAATGATGGCTGTTGACATGGTTTTTGTTGATGGCAAGTTGTGAGTTGCTGTGCTTTCCAAGGATTTTGTGAGAGAAGCGAAACGCTGTGAACTGCCTGAGCCGCATTCGGAAGGGATTGGAGTGTTGCTCGTGCACTCCAACCCAGGACTGGTGTCGCGTTCGATCGAAGCCGTCCGGGGAAGCTCTTGGAAACTCGCGTTTGGACCAAAGTGGATCAGGTGGCATAACTAGCCTGCAGGTCTGCAAGGCCACCTAGCTTTACATCGAACCGGCCACCCACCTCACAACTTTGTTCAAAAGCTGCTGATGAAGCATGCAACCAGAACCGCATCCGTCAAAGCATGGCAACCAAACCCATGTACCGGTACTCACTCTGAAAGCCGCTGAGAATGCAACTAGCTAGCAACTACAAACTACAGTACAGACACCAGAACCGCATCGGTCAATGCATGGCAACCAAAACTATGGACTTGACTCACTCAAGGTGTTTGATGGCACTTTCTATTTCTTATTCCCATATTTCTAACACCATACTGGAAGCGTAGCTGGTGGATCGTTAGGATCAACCTGCCGTATCTCAAAAGTAACAAAACTGGACATCAGCAAGAAGGATACGAGTATTTTGGCTTGTCCATAGATGATTGACATTGCATTCAGCCAATTACAATACATCACAGGCCATGCTCATGCGGGACTCTCTCTTCCAACCGTGTTGTCCTTGGACGCTTCTTGATTGTTGTCATTGTTGTCGCCAACTTCTTCTTCTACATCATCTTCGTCATGATTGTCGTTGCCACTCTGATAGTTGGCAATGGTGGCCGATCGTTGTGCCTTCCAATTGTCAAGCCACGTTTGCCAGGTGGGGCGTGCACTACTTCGACTGACGGTAAAGTTGATGACTTTGCCCACAATGGCACTGGTCATGGCTCTGGTAAGGGCATCTCTCATATCACCCGACCGTCGCATCAACTGTTCCATGTCGTTGTGCGTCCATCTCCACACAATACAATCTTCTCGTGCCATGACGGTATACATGGCATGGGCGGCGGCGAGCGGGGGCGGAGGTGAATTGTTCTTGTTCTGTTTGGTCTTCTTTTTTTCTTGCTGTTGTTGCATTTCTTTCTCCCAACAGGCTTCCAAGAATGCCATTTCTCCCACCCAGGCACCGGATGTTCCACTGTTACCTTTATTGTTATTGTTGTTGTTACTGTCATGCTGATCCTGCAGTGGCGTGGCAGAAGCCGCTGTCAAATATCGGCCAAGAATGGATGCTCGTGTGGATCCTTCCACCACCAAATAGACATGTTCAATCTTTTGTCCTTGTTTGATGACGGGTGAATTTTTGGGCACGGCAATTTGTTCGGCCTTGTTGGCAATGACTTCGAATTGTTTGGGTGTTATACCGTACAGTGCAAAGTATTTTTGGAAACAGGCTTCTTGTTGGGGCGTCATTTCGACGTGGGAGTGTCGTTCGTTCACAATTTGAATGATAAAATAAGTGTTGACGGATGCAAATAAACTGGTCCAACCAATCATTAACCACTTGATGGGGGCTTGAAATAGATTGTACACGATAAAACACACGGATCCCGTGACGGAGAGAGACCGCAACTCCAACACGTCCGTCCGTGTAAATGCCAACAAGGTACAGAGGGATCCCGCATTCATAATGAGCACGGGAGCATTGAGTTTTAAAAATTCCAAAGCCCGCTCCAGTATATCTCGTGCTTGTTGTGTCTGCTGTGTGGATTGCGCCGCCGTTGCCGTGGTCACATTGCTAGCAGTTTCGACTTTGGGTGGCAGCGACTGCAAGGGTTTGGGCATGGGTGGAGTGGGGCTGGGTAGCTTGGGCAATTGTGGAGCCGTTTGTCGCGGTGGGACACGGATTCGAAAGAATTGGCCATTGTGGACTCCCTTTAGGATGCGAGGACGAGTCCGATTGCGAAGGCTATTCTCATAGTTGGAAAATACCTTGTTCAAGTTGTCACTACTGTTGCGATAGCGTATCACGCGGTCCAGAAACTGCTTGTTCTGGCGAGGGAGTTTCATAGTGATGAATAATTATAGAAAGCAGGATAGATAGTATGCTCTGATGGGCGGTGTGGGGTTGGTGTTTCTGGAGTGCTGATGGCGGTTTGACTTTGTTTGGTTTTGCGGTTGTGATGTTGAGAGAGAGGAAAAAGAAGAAGGAAAGAGAAGAAAAGTGAGAATTTGTTTCACCGGTCTCAAAAGGTGACGTCAGTTCAAGTTAGTTCGGTGAAGGCATTCACAAAGATCCAAAAGATACAGACATCGTCGAAGGCTTGAGCTCGCGAACCCGAAGCAAAGAAGAAGCGAAGAAGCAAAGCAACACAAAGACCACCACGAAAGCACAGAAGGTGCCAGACTCCGTACCAGGTAGCACCCTTGTTGGTGTAGTGTTGCAGTGCAGCAGTAATGGCAGCCGCCATGGGTTTCGGCGGTGATATTAGTGGTAACGTCACCAACGAAAGAGATGGCAATCTTCTAGTTAGCAGGAATAATAATGTCGTAGTTCAATCTTTTTCTAGTCGTCGTCGTCATGTCAGCTCGGCAGATATCATCTCAGAAAAGTGCCCAGAACCGTCCGCACACCAATGTGAACTTGCAGGGCTGCATGGGATTCTGTCCTTGGTCGGCACTATCGGCAACACATCTCCTATCACCCTGGGTTCCAATATTAGTACATACCTGGATGCAACTAGTCTCGTGCACTGGATTTCCAGGGTTGGTGGACCACCAATTCACAACAGCAAGGACTTTGATACCCTAATAATACATCAGTTAAGCCAGAGCAATACATGCACTTTTCAGTGGTCTAGTAACATCCTTTTGAACCACAACAATGGCAATGAAGAAAACTCTAGCTGTAGGTCATGGATTGATATCGGCCCTTGTATGAATGGCACCTTCAGAGCACGAATGATTGCTAGAGGCTTTGCAGTTCAAGGCTTCACCCATCCTACTACTGGAGGCCATCGACTGAAACCTGAGATTACAATGGCTGACACTGTGTTGCAGAATGTCCGAATCAAGCTTGTTGAACTGGCAAAAGGAGACAAGCCAGTGTTTCTTGCTTTGAGAACGACTACCGTTACGCGTACTTCGATCTTCGATCGCAAGTTCTATCTCTCTCGTGATTGCAAGGGCAAGGAAATCAGGACTAAGGTAAAGTTCACAACCAAACCCAGTGAGTACTACAGTGACCAACTCACGTACAAGGTGACTCGGAGCACGGTGTTGGTTGTGCAGTACTGCAAGTGCCCGACTTGGGAAGAGAACGGATACTCGATCGCACGTCCAACAAGGACTGGGCGAAAATTCTCGGAGGAACTTTCTTTTGTGCAGCAGAAGCCTCACGTCCAGGACCGATTCCTCATTTTGTTTACCCCTGACAATCTCCACCGTGAAGAAAAGTCCGGTGTGATTTTGAGTGACGACTATCATCCGGGAGTACCCAAAGGAACATTGAAGCACCACGACGAAGTTTACGGAATAGAGAGCAGGTTTTACACTGGTTTGTCCCCGCAAGATCTTGACGATATCGCGGTTGCACTGGGTGAAGACGACGAGCCCGAAGAAGAACCGGCGGAACCCGAAACCGAAACCGAAACCGGCTCCAAATAATCCTGAGGAAGCCCAAGTAGTCGAATTCGAAGTCGACGAATCGAATCCAGAACAACGACAAGTGATTGTGTATTTGCCCGATTCCGACTCTGAATAGGCGTGATTGACAAACAAGAACATTAAGATAGTATAACTCCTAGCTCCTTTCTTCCCTGCTGGGTTCTGTTGGTCTAGTTGCTACTCAAGTTACACCTCTTTGCCTGCCCTGGGTTCTGTTCCGGTCTCGCACGTGGCATCTATGACAGCCTTGTCAGCTTATTGGCTACCGGTGACCGAGCGGAAACATCCCCACATTCCATCTTCCACAATCTCTCACAACTTGTTCGGAACGTGACCAGTGACCATCACAACAACGAACGGCCAACGACCTCGATTGTGGTACTGTGGTCTCCGTGTTGCTGTCTAGCTCCTGTACTCGTAGCCAGCCAGCTTTAGCCGACCAGAAGTGTTGCAAAGAAATTTTTAAAATGAGCTCAGACGCAGCAATATTGTCCACTGACCAAAGGGAGGATGGTTCTCACAGTCGGCAGGAAGAGGAAGACATGGACCACAATGATACGGAAGCCGCATCCGACGAACGAGACCTTGCGCTGCAGGTTGTGGATCAGAGTGTCCGACATACCAACATTCCCGTGTTGACCTGTTCGTTTCTGGCAGCGCTAACAACGGGGGCGACTTCCTATTCCTTTGGTACGTGATGTGATGAATAGACTACCATTGTCTTTTGGTTTAGTGTTTTTCTTTCAACCGAATGCCAATGTCTGTTATTGCTTGCCCTCTTTATCTACTGATCTACAACAGGTCTGTACGCGGGAGAGCTCAAAGCGAGACTGGAGTTTTCACAATCCCAGCTGGATACCATTTCTTCGGCAATATTTTTTGCGGGTATCTTTTCATGGGTTCCTGGTCTCGTTGTCGACAATTTCGGAACTAGAACCGGGACGGTCTCGGGAGGACTAATGGGTGCAATCTCGCTGAGCTGCTTTTGGGCCGTGTCGACCAAGTTTTTCCCACTCGAACAGCATTTGCTGGTACCGGTTCTCAGTTCTTTGGGTGTCCTGATTTTCCTATCGTGTGCTTTGATTGTGAGTTAGTTGTGGCTACTTTTGCCTGTGATACCCCTGTGTAAGGTTTGCTTGTTTGTGTCTCATTAGCATCTCTTTACCAATGAAAAACTCTTCTTTTACAGACTGGAAGTGTATTCAAGGTTATTGTCACTACTTGTGGAGCCGGAAGCAAGGGTACAGCAGTGGGTGCTGCAAAGGGTTATGTAGGTACGTTTGGTTTACGTTCATGGCATCGAACAGATCGTGGTCATCCATCCATCCATCTTACCACAACACCTTTTTCGCTCGATTGTTGGACAGGGCTAGGCGCTGGAGTCTATTCTTGCATATTCGAATCTCTCAAAACCAAGGGACAGTCGGATCTTGATTTTTTGATCATGGCGGCACTGCTATTCATTACCAATGTGACAATCCCCTGTCTCTTCTTGATGCCAGCGCATAAGGTCGTCCAAGAAGAGGAATTTCACGATGAAGCAACACCACTCCATTTCAGAACATTATATTGCTCTCTGGCAGCCATGGCGACAATCATCATCTGGAACAGCTTGGAAGAGCTATTCAATGAAAATAAAGAACCAACACCAAAGCTGGACGATGACAATAAACATGCAGGGCAGAACCTTCCTCTGGCAGTCTTTATGCTGGTTATTTGGGTGGCGCCCATCTTGAGTTTACTGTTCCTGCCCAAAAAGTCGACATTGCAGGTTGCCGAAGAAGAACACGAACCAGAAGGCGAGAGTTTGCTCACAGAAAACAGCAATGTGGAAATGAATAACGAAAACGGCGACATTAGCTTGCAAAGAATACAAAATTCAAAAGACGGCAACAACCAACAGGACGCGGAGGAGGCAGATGGTGGAGATGTGGCACATGATTTGCTGCGGGTACCCCAGGAGGATCCCGACAACCTTAACGAATCCGAAACGCTGGGTCCCGATGATGTGGATGAAATTGGCGGAGACAAGAATCTCTGGCAAATGCTTCGGACACCCACTGCCATGCTAATGCTGTGGACGACAACCATTCTAGTTGGTGGAGGAATCGTCATGACAAACAATATGGGTCAAATGGTGGAAGCACTGGGCTTTCCAAAAGAGACAACACCGGCCAGTCTTGCCTTCTTTAGTGTGGCACAATCGGGGGGCCGTGTCATTACGGGAGCCTTGTCGGAAAGTGCTTTGAATTGGCCAACGAAAAGCTTTTGCATAAACTCGGGGGTTCCGAGACCGTTTTTCCTTGTAACAGCATCGATAGCCGGCTTTATTGCTCACATGTCCTTGGCTGTGGCCACCACCAAGGCCTTCTTTGTGATCGGATGTACTCTGGCAGGGCTGGCATTTGGCATGGTTTGGCCGCTCATGGTGAGTTCTTCAGTCTAGTTGGATTCGATTCTGTTCATTCGGATGCGTCTTATCCACTTTGTCTTTTTCAAACTGTCAGGTACTCATCATTGGAGAGGTCTTTGGTACCGCCAATGTGGGGGCAAACTACATGTTTTTCGACGGGTTTACCAGTGCTGCTGGCAGTGTGCTTCTATCAAAGTTTCTCGCTCAAACAGTGTACGAAGATAACATTGACAAGAAAGATAATCCGGAGAATGTTATTTGCATCGGGAGTGCCTGCTTCAGCATGACGCACTCGGTCGTTGCTGTTCTGTCAATGGCATGTATATTAACGAGCGTTTCTATGCTTTTCACAACTCGAAAAGTCTACAACAGTGCAAATCTGCACACAGGGCACTGACGAGGGAAACGACAATTGCTATGGAGTGAGAGTGCGGAGTGCTTCCGACCAAGCTCCAGACGAACCTAGCTAGCTAGCTGCAGGCAGCAGCAAACAAACAACACGCAGAACTTTGGAGGAGAACCCAACGCAATGGGGCTTCACCAGAAGCTTGCTGTTCACCAGCTCTAAAGAGTAGAGGAATTGAATCTACTAAACACAACTCTAGTATAACCTTCAAGATTCTGACATTGTGAGTGGAAGGAGTTGACTATCAGAGCAGACAGGGTGTCGGTTCTACCTTAATCGTAGAGGTTGCCTCAGAAGTGCAGACTGACTTGGGCAGAGCAGCAGCGGTACTTCCTATGCCCCAAGCCGAGCGGTCCTGTTTCCAATCGAAACAAGGTCGATGCCAAGCATATCCCTAGCTAGTAGAAGCAACCATACTGGTACCACTTGCTCTGTAAGGGGTGTGTGGGTTCTTTGCAAGAGATAGCCAATCGATTGTAGTAGCCCCCCCCCCCCCAGTTCCAATTATTGCTTCTTCTTGGTGTCTGAAAGCTTTCCATTGGTGCTAGTAGTGTTTTCTGCGACGGCCTCACCACCTCCTTCGGCTGGTCGGGAGAGATCCACAGGGTACAGCCACCGTTGGTACAGATAAATGAAGAACACAACGTCATCTCGGAAGCAGCTTATTCTTGCCATCGTGGGCATTCGGACAATGAAACTGAACAAATCGTCAATAAATGTATTCAGACTCTTGTAGATGAGAACTTGCCAAGGCAGATGTGCAACACTCTTCAGCTTGTAGTTCAAGAACAGCTGGGCGGAAAGGGAAGAGAAAAGGTTAGACTTTGTGTTGGAATACTATAGTACATCGTAACACCAATCGGCACAAACCTGAGGGAACATCAACGCAAACCTATCGTGATGGGAGAAGAGACGTTCGAAATGAGTATCAAGCAACACTCAATGAGGGCATAAGCAAATCATGATACGTACCCAACTCCATAGACTGCCGAAGAGGCAGAAGTCACCAACCATGAATACCACCCTATGTGTTCATCGTACACGAACGAGTAGAAAATATAACCAAGCACCACGGGAGCCATGACCACCCCAAGTGAACGTATTGCCATTCGATCTGCTTCCAATGTCACTGCAATCAAGTCTTGGTTGCCCTCGCCCTCATCGTTCGATTCACCCTCCTTGTTACTGCTAGTCTCCATTCGAGTGGCCCGAAGCTCGTATCCGGACAGTCGAACGATAGAGTTCCACCATGCAGTACTGTGATTATTGTCGTTTGTCTTGACAAAGATCAACCCGGCTCCACGTTGGCATTTCCAGAATGCAATGAGACACCCAATGGCACTGGGACCGACCATGAGCAAGGAACTCTCGCGGTCAATCAAGTAGAGAAGAATAACCGTTTGTCCGATTGCATCAATGAAAAGCTAGCAAGTAGTTCCAGGCTGTAGGTGAGCCCTTGCGCAAATCTCAAAATGATCGGTACAAATTATCAGACTACTTACAGCTCTAATGGATAGCCCTTGCAAACTCTTGTTTCTGCGCCAAAAGTTGACTGCAAGTATAGAGGTGAAAGAATTGGCACGCAGCAAGTGAGAAAGACAAATGCACGGCGCGAACTGTACCCAGGTGAGCATACGTAGATAAGTAAGTAGGTATCCTCACCTTCTTCTCGGAATGTAAGAAACTCAAAAAGCAAGTGGAGTGCACTTGCCAACATTGTGATTGCCAATAGTGTAATGTTGGTATCGGCAATGAGATTCTTGACCTACGGTACAAACGAAGAACCAAGTAACGTCCTTGTGAGTTGTTGCCGTACTTGCATGCATCCTTCACACGACGAGCAAACAATACTACAATAATACTTGCCTCATCGATATCACTGGCCTCAAACCCCAGATTCTTTTGTGCTTCCAATGCTTCCGTCAAGTGCGACAAGAGCCTCCATCGGGCTGGACTAATGGCCCCAGCCGTGGCGGTGGTAATTTTGGATTGCACATTCTTGTTGTTTTTGTCGTCACCATGACTATCGACATCACTGCGATCAAACGACACGCGCAGCGGCAAGGACGTCACAGTTTCATTCATGGGAATAAACTTGTCACTGGTCAATCCAATTTCGGACGAATACAATGCCGGCAAATGCACCACACCAGTTGGATGGTCTTGTGTCGGGCGTGGCAATCGTGCCACCTTCATACCGGAATAGTCCAAGACGGGCAGGGGATAGGATTCTTCGTCCTTGACGTATTTGATGGAAACTTCTGGTTTCCAGTACGGATATCCCGCACCGCGTTGTTTCATATCCAAGTAGGATTGATAAATGGCATGCTCGTTGGGTTTGGAATAGGCAAAATCCCAGGGTGGTTGTTCGTCTGTTCTTTGTAGTATGTATCGTCGAAAGAGATAAAACACGTCATGATAGAGTATGCGTGTGGGTTTGTGAATGTGATGTGGTTCTTCGAATTTGACCATATTGACTCCTCCCAATAAGAGTGCATGTGCCCGAGACGCCTTGTGGGCGGCATTGGTGGCATCGGGGATATTCTTGGGTGGCCAGAGTTGTTCCCACGCACTGGATTTGTATTGTCGCATGACCATGACGTGTAGTTGAATGGTGGAGTTGGATCTTAGGGCGTTCCAGAGCGGCGCTGGCAAGGAAATGATGGTTCGATCGGCCTTTAGTTCTTGCAAGGCAGCATTGTTTTCTTCCGGTAATGGAGGCGGTTCGGCCATGCCCAGGAATGCCAAGAAGGATTGTACTTGTCGGGACATGGCATAATACAGCGTCAATAAAAAGCTGGTCGATTCAATGCCTTGACCCGAAGCATGAATGGCCGAAAGCACTCCGCCTTCGCCTCGATCCCATGCGGATTTTTCGGCCTGATCGAGCCACGTTTGTGCTGCCAAAAAGGAAGGATCGGCTTGACAGGATTGGTCGTCCGTTTGGTCGAGAGACGTAATCAAAAAGGATTTGGAGAGAGATGGAGCCGTCAATTTTTGTTGCCACAACAGTGCCACATCGTTGGGTGGCACCAAATTCTTTAATTGTTCTTCCGAAGCGGCGTTGGCCACCAGTTGACCCTGATCATCCAAAAAATCCGCTTGTAGAAAATTGACATGGAATTTGGATCGAGTTGACAGGTACACTCGCATATCCATGGTAGTGCCGTGATCCCACAGAGGATGGACCATTTGCTGCTCGGAATACACCGACAAATCCACCGTGGCGAGGGGATACATCATTAGGTACATGTTGTATCCTGCCAGTCCAATGTACAGTGCCATCAAGGCAGATGCAAAAAAGGATACCGAACACACATTGCGGAGGGCCATGGTCAACCTATAGATAGATAGATAGATAGATACTGTCGATACCGTATGGTCCAACCTGATTATAGAGAAGAGATAGTACAAGAGAGTAAAAGTAATCCACAATGACAGCCTCCAAGAAAGAAACAAATGAGTGGCGTGGACGAAAAAGCAACGGGGATGTTTGTGCTTGTGTAGATTCATTGGATGACGTGGACCAGAACCAAGCTGGGGGAGCCTTTGGCCCTCACAACATCGAAGGGTCTGCTTCTCACTCTTTGCATTACATGTACGTGTACCGGTACATGTAGACAAGCTCTGGACCTTCATTTGGATGTCTGGGTGGAGTACATTTGTAGCAGCTTTGGTAGCTACATGTAGCAAGGAGAGCAAGCGAAGAGGGAACGAAAGCAAGAAGCTAAATTAATATTTGCTCTTTTGAAAGGAAAGCCAAGTGCCGCTCAAGTTGCTCTGTTAGATGGTGATGCTAGCTAGAAACCGAGACTTGCAGCCTAGCTAGCTAACGGTACCACAGAGCGGCTGTTCCCCTCATAGTCACCTATGGGTAGCTAGCTTGACAACCACATCTATGCTAATGCTCGTACAAGAGTTTGGGTACACAATGAATGCGCTGTTTTAGTTTGAGGCTTTTTTCAATCTACGTGGTATTCTTTTGGGTACCGGTATGCTCAAACAAGCAATATGATCCATTGGTCAAGTCAAAATCTTTCTCTCTCTTTGTATTGTTTTCAGGCAGTGTGTCTCTGGGCGTAGCATTCCTTTCATCGTACAGCATAGCATACCCGTCAACCAAGCTGTGCAGTCAGTTTGTGTTTTGTACATGCAATGTACTGAACTTGTTCGTTTTGATCAAATAATGTTCAAAAAGTCGTCGTCGTCGTCTTCTTCTTCTCACTTTTGGTGTCTCTCTTCCTACCAAGTGTGTTTAGAACATGCCAAAGAATCCACCCTTCTTCTTGGGGGGCTCGTTCTTCTTGACGACACCCTTGGGGAGTCCCTTCATGTTGTTGACATTGGGTGCCTTGTAGTTGCGTCCAAACTTGGGGGCAGCACCGGGAACACTCTCGGAAGGTCCCGTCTTGGCGTTTTTTCCAGTCCAGTCAAGACCTCCGCCATATCCAAAGATGGAAACACTCTGCTCTTTCTTGAAGCCACCAGACGCGTATTGCTTGTCGGAGCTCAACCACTTCTTCTGGTTGCGGGCACCCCGAACGTCAGTGTTGTCCCATTTCTATACGACGAAACATTAGTAGGAAGAATTCAGTTAGGAACAAGCCATCTTTCAAAAGTGATATGAGGAGATTCACAAAACAGAAAGAAACTTACTCCTCCTCGCTGCATGTAAGGAACACTGAGTCAAATAGAGTACCAATGGAAGTAACAGAACGTGAAGCTGAGGTTAGCTACCAACTCGTACATACAGTGCCATCGAACACAACATCAAAACCATTGTCACTCACTCTTCCGGTCGGATTTCTCCCTTGGCAATCTTCTCCTTGGCATTAAAGACGGGCAACAAGTGATCGGCTTCACCTCGTTCCAATGCTTCTTGGAAGCTCTGCATGGATTCGAGACTGGAATCCACGAGGTCCAAGCTTTCCAAGATTCTTGGTTGCCTTCTTCTTGGCTTCTTCTGCCTTGAACTTTTTGTAGGATTCCGCGGTAAAGCCGTCGGGAACATACATGTTCACTGCCAGAGTATCGGCACGGGGAGAAACTCCTTGGGGCATGAAGGCGTTGGCGCCAGCGGCCAGGAGAAGAAGGGAGATACTAACGGCCCGCATGGTTGGATAGAAACAAGGAAGAAGAGTTGGTATGATAACAAGTGAAACTACTAGAACCTTTAGTTTTGGTATTGTGAACTCAATGCTTTGGCGTTTTGTTCTTGGAGTTGTGATGGGTTGATCGGATCTTTCAAGTTTCCTGCTGCCACGTAAGCTCGCACCACGTTGTTCCTCATGGTTATGTGCCTTGGTGCGTGGCACAACATTACATCTGCGTCGATGTCGGAATCGTGTCTTTAACTCTCGACTCAAGCTGGTTGCCATCAAAGTATTAAAGATGAGAGAATTTCATTCCCACTCTCAATTTTTGGCCAAACAAAATCCATCTTGGATCTTGAGTTGCTCATCATGGAGGATGTTGGATACCCACCGTGGAAAAATTTGAACAGTGGCCACCAACTGGGTAGCTTCTCCGCCTGAGTCGATGAGAGCAATGGGATTGCCTTCAGCACCATGCAGAGCTGGCTGTTGCCACGCACCTCAGTGGCTTCGGTACCGTCACTTCTTCTAATGAGTTGGGTGTCGTGGTAGGGCGCCAAAGGGTTGCCCATACCGTACCGGTGCCGATGACCTTTCTCTTCTAGGTTCTACCACTAGCTAGTATGATAGCAACCAAGCTGATCAGCCCCCTGAACCAATCCGATCCGAACGCACCCCCAAGCAGCAACCAAGATTTTGCGGCCACGCTGTCCAAATCCGATTGATTCGATTCGATGCCACTGCTCCTGATGTTTGCTTTCATATGTACCGGTACGTGCGTAATAATAAGGCGACAAAGAATAACCTAAAAGGTATCTGCACAGGAAAAGGAACGCAGAACCGGGTAATTTTAGCTGTAATTTTAGAAAATACAGTCTTCGTCGTCCTGAGGTGCGTTCCTAACCAAAATCCATGTGGGTCGTACGTGCATACGCGAAACACATTTATTTTCGTCGATTTTTTTAGGCGTACGTATCAAGATTTCATTCCTATCCATGTGACACACATACCAGTACGCGGTACGCGAAAGAAACATCACCTCGAATCCCCAACTCTAACGAAATCGCCAACCCACCAGATTCTGCCAAAACGCAATCACCGTACGTCAGGAAAACTCGTGAAAATCGCATATGATTGTTCTTTGATAGAATCTCGTGGGTTGATAGAATCTCGTGGGTTGATAGCTGCATGTGGATCCACAGGCAATCCCATGTGCATCCATTTGTGGCTCCTCTTTCACCACAATTTCCCTTTTTTTGAGTTCTTCCTCTCCCCGTAATCGAATCGAATATCACCGCACTCCCCACCGTTGTCGTTGTCGTTGTCGTTGTCGTTGTCATGGCTTCAGATGATAGCGATGGCTCTAGCCTTGATATAGAACGGAGAATGCGGGAGTCTGATGAGCGGCACAAGAGGAAGAGAGACGAAGAGGAAGCCGAAGTATTGGCTGCAGCCCCAGTCATTCCAGTCGCAACAGCAGCCTCAATTCCCACAGCGGCAGCAGCCCCAGTTCCCTTAAACAGAAATTACCTTGATGGTGGGCGTCCACGTCTTAGCTTGTGGGATCTTCAGCAACAACGCCAGATGCAGATGCAGCAACTCCACCAACAGCGAGCCCTTACAGTGCCGCTACCACCGCTGCCTTATTACGAAGATCCGATTGCCCAAGACATGTACATGGGACAACTCAAAGCGCAAGAGTCACGGGAGCGGCCACCACGGTGTCGCGCTGCAAGCTCCCCTTCGCCTGCTGTCCGTTCTAGGTCTGCATCCCCGGCTGTCCGTTCTGCATCCCCGGCTGAGCGAAAGGTCATGAGGGAAGCAGCGAAGGCCGGACAAAAGAAGAAGAAAGAGGACGAGAAAAATGCTAAGAAGGCAGCCGACGCTAAGCAGGCACAGCGTATCAAAGTTGTGATCGACAAGTACGACCCCTTGAAAAAGCAAATTGTGTGCGGGGAAGAAGAGAATCCCAGCGATAAGGAGATGTACCGTGTGGCCAAGACGTTGGTCTACGACAAAGGGGAACCAAACGAAATGACATTTGATCTGACCAAATTCAATAGCACACAGATCCGTGAACTTTGTCTGAAGTGTCAAGTCAAGGGAGGAGGCAACATGAAAATGTTCGATGCTAGGAAGGAGATTGCCCGCAGTATTGAGATGGGAACCATGTACAACGACAAGACAGTTTCAAACCTTGCGTTGGACCCCTTAGCCACGAAGATCAACACTCTCGTCAAACTCATGAATATCTGCTTTCACCCTTCTATTTACCCTTACTTCGTCTCCCTCAACGACAGCAATAATCGAAAGGAATTCGAACGGGAGCCTCTTTCACAGCAGGGTGTTACCGGAAATCCATTCAAGGACTTTTGGCTTCTCGTTTCAGAGCACATGAATGAGACGAATGAGACGGTTGGTGAAAAACAATTTGACGACGTCTTGGGTCTCCAGGAGGGGGAAGACGAACATCTTTTGGCGTATAGTGAGGGCTTCGGTTTCAACTTGAATGACATTGACCGTGGCCAGACGAACAAGTCAGTTCAGCGGATGGTGAGCGACATGATGAAATCCAGGGACAACTGTCTCGCGCAAATGAAGATATCGGGCGAGCATAGCAATGACATATGGACTTATTGCATTGTGAAGAGGTGGTGTATTCCTCGGAAGGGAATGGCGGCTGTACCTGCCATAGCGGTGTACTATTGTGACTATCTCTGCAGACTCCATCCCACAATTATAGGCAAATTTGCGACGTTTCTCGAAGACAGTTTGAAGAGTGATTCCACGGTCGATATGACAGGAACCGCTGATGCCGCCTCCGGTAAAGGCAGCAAACTAGCTGTGGCAGACGTGATGGAATCACTCACCAGCGTCGGTACCGAACTGAAAGAATCCATTGGCCAAAGGAAAGAGAATGCGGAGGATGCGGCGGAAACGAATCAGTGGGACGGCTATTTGGCCGTGGCCAACCAATACCTGAAAATTGTGCAGGAAATAAAAAGCGGTGACTCCTCCAAGGCTCCCCTTGCGAGAGTCATGGAAATTCGACTGGGTCGACTCGAAAAGAAGTTGAACATTCCGGCCGAATCTTCCCTCATTGTCGGACCCGAATAATAATATGTTGGAACGGAATAATATATGGGCGTGATTACTGTGTTACGATTCTTCGTCCCTTCTACGTTTTTTGTTGCGCAACGGTCTTTGCAGCTGTAGGCGCTTGACTCTTTTGGCCATGAATTCCCGTAGGTGCGAGATCCCCTCACAGCTCGAATAAACATTGTCGAGTCGTACAGGATCACCATTCACATCATGCGGAACACTGGGAACGTAGCCAGTGCCATTCACATGGGTGGCAGTCTCTGTCGTTGGGCCCGCCGATTCGAGTCGCTCATTAATACAAAAGTTGTGTAGGCGAGCTATAGCCTGCGCCAGCCATATCATGTTCTTCAATGAACAGCCAACAGGACGCGATAGTAAACCCCATTTCATCTGCATAATGCCGAAGGCCATCTCCACCCTTATGCGGCACTGGCTGGCGTAAAAGTTGAAATTGTCGTAAAGTGGGATCAGTTTGTCGGAACCCTGGTACACCGGTATCATGTGCTCCGTAGGGATGTATGCCGCATCGCCAATTACGCAAACACCGGTTGGAAGCGACTCCACCAAATTTTGTAAAGCACATTGCCGCATAGCATTACGGTCATCCGAAACCCCGGGAGCGGCATAGGCAAAGAAGATGAACCGAGAATGGTGGTCCGCTACGGCCTGGATGTTTACTCCATAGCACTGATAGTGACCCGAGAAGAAGCTTCGGATGTTACCGGTTTCCTTCTTTGCCGGAACTTTGATACGCATAAGATAGCCATCAACCACACCAACACAGTTATGTATGGCAGCCCCATCGGATATCCCGGCAAAGCCGTCTATTGCACTCTTTATTTCCTGTTGAGTACGGGGGAATCGAATCTTCAACTGCGGACACTTGCATAATGCCGTAATTGTCTTCCATAGGACTCGATAGAACGAGCTTTGTGAAATTCCAGCGATGTCCGTAATATCAAGGTAGGAGCCACCGGCCAAGTATCTAATCGTACAGTAGAGGCACAGTTCGGGAATGATGGAACCACCCCTTCGCACGGCTTGGGTCTCATTTACAAGCAGGTCGTCGACTATGAACGAAAGCAACTTGTCAAAGCTCTCTTTGCGCATCCGAAGTCGTCTAGCAAAGGTGGTACGTTTCTGATGTTTCTGGCAATACCGATCCCAATGCAACCGTTGTTCAAAAATGGACGGATTTCTGGGTTCGCCTGGTAGACACAGTAGAAGACCAACCATAAGAATCGATAGTTGCAGAAGCAACGCCACATCTTGTTCGTATTCCTCATCATTGAAGTCCATTACGGCAGAGTAACTACACGACAACGACGGTGCTAGCAACAACGGTGGTAGAGTTACTGTGTTCTCACTTTTATTACTACCTCTCGCTTTTCGATTTTCGCTCGCTTTTCGATTTTCGATTTTCGTTAGAGTTGGGGATTACTACCTCTCGCTTTTCGATTTTCGATTTTCGTTAGAGTTGGGGATTCTTTCGTGTTCGCGTACCGCGTACGACTGTATGTGGATAGGAATGAAATCTTGATACGTACGCCTAAATAAATCGATGAAAATAAATGTGTTTCGCGTATGCACGGAGGACACACATGGAGTTTGGTTAGGAACGCACCTTAGCTACCCGTCTAACTGAAAAAACAAACTGGGGAAAGTTGTTTCTTCGGGGAATTGCCTTGACTGGATGGAAGGCTTCATTCGATCGATCCCTTTCATTCCGTCCTCAATTGAGAGCTTGTGAGAGGCAACCCCACTGGTAGAGTGCCTCAAACCTACCAAAGCACAAGGAAAACATCAGCAAGTCATTCACACATCCCCCAAATACCATCCGTAAAGCTTCAGGAGGTCGTGTCTTGGTTAGTAGTTAGTAGTAGTGCAAAGTCGAGACCTGATTTGGCCACCCATTTAGGCGCTCCAGTCAAGGTCCAGCCACAAGCAAAGCATTAGTTTCAGTAGTTATTAGACCGAGGAGCGTGTACTCTCATGAAGGGCCCGGCAGAGTGAGCAGGTTATTACTAGTTCTTATCACAACAAAAAAACCCACACAACAACCATCTGATCCATACTTGCAGGGGTATCCTAACCAACAGCTACTCTAGAGGATGTCAATGCAGCAACGGTTAGACGGGTTGCAGCAGCATCACCATCCTCGTCCTCGGCACGAAGACGATGATGACGAGGCGTCTCTGCCGCCTGTTCCTTCGAGGAACTCGAGTGTCGTTCTGGCTCCGCCTCCACCTCCTCCCCTGGGTCCAGAACCAAGTTACGAAACACAACTGCTTCTGAGCGACATGTTCTCTCATCAGGCTACCCTCCGAAACTACGATCCGGACTCGATTCAAGCCGTCATGATGGCCCTCGATGAGGCAAGATATATGGAAGAACGACGGTTGATGTACAACGAAGAAGCCTCCTTAGCTCTCGCTCAGATGATGGTACGAGATGACGGAGACGACGACAGCTCAGAGCACGATAATCAGCGAGAACACCTAAGTCTTCGACCATTATCTCCTCCTCCTCCGCCGCCGCCGCCGCCACCACCACCTCCTCCTCCTCCTCCTGAAGCTCCCATGATGAGACGAGATCACAGCAGCAGCGGAGAGAGCAGTACCTCAGGAGAAAACTCGTACCATTTTCATCCAATCTACAACAGCCAAAACCCGCTTCACAACGACAATAGTTCCAATGACATGATGGGAATGCCCACCATGGAAGAACTAGCAGGACAACACATAGAGAGCATCATGCCTCTTCCCCCACAACACCAACTGCAATATCAACTGCAACAGCAACTACAATATCAGCAGCTACAGCAACAACACTATCAACAACAACAACAAATTCAATATGGAGTTGATTGCGGGAGTACCACCACCAGTGGTGACTGTGGCACTACCACTAGTGGTGACGGTGGAGCCTCTTCCAGTGGTGGTGACGGCGGTGGTGGTAATAGTACGGGTAGCAATGGCCACGACGAAGAGCTACGTCAAATCAAAAACGAAGTACGCAAGCTCAGCACACTGCAACAACAGGAACAGCAAGAGCAGCAACCCTTCAAGTCCTCCAGCTCTTCCACGGGGTCTCTTTCGCCCAAGTTATCCTCGGATTCTCAAAAGAAAATGGCAGCAATACCTCCTGATGCAGCCAAACAGGTTCCCGTGGGGGTACCTGATGATGGAGTCGAAGTCGTGGATGTAGAGGCAACAACAACTCCCAACAACGACGACAACAACAATAACGACGATGAGACGAAGAAAAAGGACAAGAAGAAAAAGAAGAAGAAAAAGAAAAACCGAGAGTGCCTCATCTGCCAACGAACTACTCTCGAGTGCAAGATGCGAATGCGCAAGCTCACGTGTGGTCATCACTTTTGCTCCTCCTGTATTGATAGGTGGCTATCCACCAAAGATACGTGTCCGTATTGCAGACAACAAGTCAAAAAAGCGCTCGCACGGCAACGGTCCTTTGGGGCTGTCACGGCTTGAGCATTTTCTTTCTGCATTTACTTATTTGCATTGCATTGCCTTGCATTCTAGACAAGCAAAAAGTTGGGGGAAGTCTACTTGCTATCCATATGCTTGTTGTAATTAGACTACTACTAGCTAGATGGATTTCTTCATGCGCTGCAATCTACAATCAATTCATAGTGTATAAAACTACTGGTAACAACTTTTCGAAAGGGCAACCAATCCAATGAATCTAATCCGGTACTGCAGGTAGCTAGCTAGCTACACCACAAGGACCAACCATCCTGCATGGCGAGCTCCGGAGAGATAGTCTAGCAAAAGCAATGTAGCCAAAACGCTGATAATTGCGCCTCCGCCAATCTCGTGGCGCCAGGTTCCCAATGTCTCCATGGCTTCAACGAAACAGCTAGATTTGGGGGACAACTTCATACTCAGTACAGTACTTCATATCTGCTTCATCGGCTTACCAGCCCGTCCTCGCAACCATGAAGTTCAACAGGTGATACCTGCCCCCGCCACCTTTCACAATGAAAATCTATAAAAGTCCAGGTTCGTCTTATTCCTCTATTCCCTTGTGTGTCTCTTGCTGTACTCCTGGAGTATTGCTTCCGAGCCAGTTCGAGATAGTGAAACAGTACGTTTTCCAGACACACTTCCACGTACTCTTCTTCCGATACTTGTCCGTATCACGACTCACACAACCCAGCCAAAATCCTACGTTTATACCAGTAGAAGTGGGAGTCAATAAAACAAAGGGGTCTTGGACCGGTACGGAAGCCAATGCCACGCCCCCCAACTCCATCGACAAGAAAGGGTTAAGCTTTTGAGAATTCTATCTAACGGTTGCTATTCGCATCTCACATCGCAGGCCGTATTGCACTGCATCGGAGGTTTGTTCTATGGGGCAGCGTTGCCCGTGCAATCCTTGATTGATTCGATTCTACATGTATTCAATTCGGTCATGCTCAGAGATGGATGGCCATGACGACTAGACTTTGCGGTTGATTGAAGGAAAATCTCGTCGGGCAAATCGGTTGCTTGAAACACGCGACCAATGAAACAGCACGAAGAACGCAGCAACTCTAGGACCTTCTTGTAGGTTCAGAGGCTTTGGCTGGTCAAGTTGCAATCTCATGGCTCGACCTTCGCATGTAGTTCTCTCTCTCTCTTGAGTTCAGCGACGGTCTTCATTTATTTGAAGAGCTGAAATTTGGCCCCAATCATGAGATGGTCTGACGGGTATCGGAGCCCCGGAAGCTTGCTCTCCTCGAGTTCCTCAAACTTTGGAACACTCAAATTTTCTGTGCACTGGAGTCTTTCCCCCTTTTGCCCACCTGATGAGTAGAAGATGTAATCGATGATACGTTTCACCGTTTGAGTCCCTCGTGTTTTCCAAGTGGTGAAAAACGAGTCTTTGGGTGGGTCGATGGGATATGCGGATTGAAATTTCCTGTGTGGCGTTTTGGATGTCGTGTCATTGCCATTTTTGTTGGCTCCTTCCAGGTGATTGGAAAGCGCACGCCTCACCGAGGAATCGGGGAAGGATAGTTGAGCGGGTGGATCCGCATTGAAATCACCCATGATCAGTATGGGTATATCCTCCTCCAATCCCATCGTTTCGGCTTGTCGTGCTGCCGTAGTCTGTGCAACTTCCAAAAGTTCTTCCACTTGCCTGCATCTAATTTTTTCGTTGGTTTCACTTTTTTGTGCCTTCAAATGAGAGACAGCTACGACAAGTGCAATGCCAGTGTCGATATGCTGCAATGTCGCCAAGATGATGACTTGATTGCCAACTCTAAAGTTTCGTCTCTCTTCCGACACTAGCTTGAATACATTGGTCTTCCAAAAGAGTGCACATCCATCACTGTAGTATCCCAATCTGACACCTGGTGCCTTGGCCTTGGGCATGAATATTCCTTCGTAGCCAAAGATCCTCAAAGCGGGGGCAAAGAACCCCCGAAATCGGTCAATCTCTTCCAAAGCCAAAATATCAAAGACACCTTCTGTTGTTGTTGCAACAGCAGCAGAATCCACATCGTGATCCTTCGTGACAGACGAAATTCCCAGAATGACTTCCAAGAGTCGCCACCGTCGCAACGAAAAGTCCAAGCAGACTTCTGGAGATGAAACTTGAGAGAACCCTCCAAAGCCAGGCTCGTTTTTTGGTTTGTTGTTGTCATCTCCCTCTTCGTTGTTTTTGTCCTTTTTGTCAATTGTAAATGGTGTCTTGACATTGGGTCCGGCAGAGAGTCCTTCAGCCAGGGCATTGAACTGGAGCACGGAAAAGGATGCCACTGGATGGGGACCGTCGCCATTGACTGCCATGACTTCTTCTGCATCATTATCCTTAATGGACGACTGCTGCCATATTCTAGGATACAATTGACAGGGTCCATAACTTTCTTGTTCTGATTTGACTCTCTCAATTTCTCGTAGCACATCCTCTCGGCTTTCCAAATGCGCCAAGGTTTCATCTGGCTTGGCTTCTACACGAATCCATCGGTACACCTTCTCATCCAAATTTCGAGCCAAATCTTCATAGGCTTCACAACCAAAATCATCCAACACGGAGCAGTATTCATCCTCCAACAAATCCTCGTCGTCGTTGTCGGTGGCATTGGCTTGCTCCTCGTCATTATTATTGTCCCAACCCACAATCACCTGTTTGGAAGATGGATCCTCGTCATCATTGTTTTTCATCTTGTTATTATTATTGAAAAACAGAATCGTGTGCTTCTTTTGAGTACCGACTTGTGCAGATTGGGGGTCATTAGTATTAGCACGGACCAGCGGCGAGATGACTCGAATGGAAAAGGGCGATGCCACCAGCAGTTTGTGCTCGAGGAACCGTGACAAAAAGAGTATTCCAGAGAGCCTCCAGTTGTTTCTCTTCACCATGGACTTTTTCTTGTTGACAAAAGATCCTCCAACACAAAAAAGAATACACTGCTGGGCATTGGTTCATGCTTTTCAGCCCAGAGCTAATGGAGAAAATGGCATCAGTGATGGCTTGCAAAAATGAAGTGAGAAAATTTAATAATGAGGTGTCGTCGTTGAAGGCAAAATCCAAAAAGGTGTCCAAAACGAAGCGCGCGAAAACCGCGCAAAAAATCACTCAAAACGAAGTGTGATAAAACAGTGGTAAAACTGGGTGCGGAGTGGGGAGGGAGCTCCATAGACTCCTTGCTCATGGTGCGATAACCTGATAGATATTATAAGGAATGTGGAAGTCATGTTGGCTCAGCCTTTCGGAGATTGATGCGAGCAATTGATGATGCGCAATTCTGGTACGTCGATTTGCCCTCCCTCATTTGGGATGGTTCTTGGAACTTGGCTAAGGGCTCTTGGCTTGGCAGTGGGAAGACATTCCGTAGTCCTCGATGAAAACCTACTATCTACTCGAATAGCTACGGTACATGAAGGATGGCAGCGGACAGGGTCCGCTAATTCAAACGCCAGGGGTAGCAGCAAGCGTTCAACCAATGACATTCGATTCCTAAATTATTTTGTCTAAATGATTCCGCTTTCTGCCCGAGGTACAAGAGCCCTCCTACCGTACGCCCAAAGAACAACCAGAAATTGTCAATCCACCAACAAACCAGGGCAGGGAAAGATTTCAGAGTGACAGTCTCTTGGCTAGCTAGTTGCTCGGCCTAGCTAGCTAGGTTGCGATGTTGTCTTGTCGAAATATGGTTGTCAGGGGACCAGGGGAAGGAGACTGAGGTAAATTGTCAATTTCAAATGGATCTCCCACACATGACATTTGGCAAAATTGATGTCTCCTTGGGCTTCATCCACGAAACAAAAGCACTCGAGGCACTTGCAATCGGCCTTTGGCACCCTTTTATTCTTCATAACCCGATCATTCACATTTAATCCACAATAACTTTCCTCTTTCTCATTTCCGCCTTGGCTTCCTTGACTTGCCGATCCAACTCTGCCGCGGCTTCTGGACAATCGTTAAAAGTCATCACGTTGTAGATAATGGTGGCGGCAGCATAGACTCCGAGAAGCAAGACGGCCCAAATCGGGGCAAAATCCACAACGATCCTTGACGCATCGGAGGGTGCTTCACTTTGATTCATTTTGGCGCCCTGCCAAGCCGCTAGGAAGACCACCCCATAGACAAGAAACACTTGATATCGCAACAAGCCCATCATGGTTTTATTCAATAATTATTGGCAAAAAAATGGTTGTGGTGTTGTGGATGGCAGACAAGGAGCCCGTTGCGTTTGCTGAACGATTTAAGCCAGCGGAGCTGTGTAACCTCGGCAGAAAGGTTTCAGTGTTTACATGTAGAAGCAGATACCCCGAGCTAACTAGCTAGAAGCAGATACCTCTAGTGCTTAGCTAGTGCTTAACTTGCGCTTAGCTAGCTAGAAGCAGATCCCCCCTAGCTAGAAGCAGATTCCCATAGCAAGCTAGAAGCAGATACCCCTAGCTAGCTAGAATACAAGTTATATAGCTTTCGCTGGCTTTAGAGTTTTTCCTGGTAGAAGCAGATCCCCCTACTAGGATGCATGTAAATAGCTTTAGCTGGTTTAAAGCACCATCCTAGGATACTTATTTAGTTTTTGCTGACTTATTTGTATTCTAACCCTACCCTTATACCTGCAGGGACCACCGTAGCAGGAAAAACAATTAAAGGGGTTGAGGGCTCTGGCAGCAAGACTGCCGAGGTGAAGATCGATTCGATTCGACTGTCACTCGCTGGACTCGACTGAGACTCGAGTCAAGTCGTGTGAGTGACTCGACTCGTCACTCAAACCATTCTGGACCCCACAACAGCAAGCAAAGTTGAGGTGATGTGGACATGGACCAGGGGCAGGCCCTGGAGTTGGACCAGAGTCAGGCCCAGGAGTTAAACTTGATCTGGGCTTGGGACCTGGTGTAGGTCCTGGAGTTGGGCCTGGAGATGGAACAGGGATAGGTTCAGCACTGGGGTCGTTGGACCAGGGATAGGTCCAGGAGTTGGTCCAGGGATATGCCATGGAGGTAGTCCAGGAGTGTGGCTGGTATGGAGAAAGGGGTAGGTCCAGGAGAAGGGCCAAAAGATGGACCAGTGGTAGGTCCAGAAGTGGGGCCTGGTAGCTGCGAGGCTAGAATCATTGGTTAGTGCCACTGGTAGGACCACTTGTTTTTGACTTACTGCGGTTGGAGGTCAGTTAGTTTGCTTCATTGGGATCTGTCTTTTTTTTTGCAGCCACAAGGCCATCATCCCAACTCGTTTCAATTACATCTACTCAATTCATTCTAACAAGGTGCATTGCAAACCACCTTGTTTCCTATAAGTCAGAACGAGCTGGCCAGAGCTAGCAAGTTGTGTGCATCGTGATGAATGTTGGCAGTAGCAACAACAAAAGCACAAGCACCCTTGAATTGGTGGCTGGTTCTGGCAGGTCTCTGACGCTTCGGTAACGGTTATGGTTACACCGAGGCAGCTCATACTTTCGTAGGTAGTTGTTCGCGTTTGAAAGAGAACCAGTTCGCATCTCGAGAGAACCCTAAAATCTTTGTCTTCTGGATTTCTTTGGTGCTTTCAGGGCTGCCAATCTACCCATCAATGACAACCTTTGTCAACGTTGACGCCTCATCAGACCGGAACCGTCTACCAAATGCCCACAGCACGAACTGCTATCCCTGCACGTACACCTGGAAAGCTACGGCTGACGCCTACAGCATCACCTTGTAAAGTTGTTCATGAGAAGCCTCTCCTCATTCGTTTTGGTCTGCTTTGGATCGTTTTGCTGGCTGGCTAGCACCTTTGCTCTCACATAAAACGTTATAAGCACCAAAATTGATCCAGATATTGCCACAGATAACCACCGAAATACAACAAGATGGTGAATATTAGCGCATTCATGAAACCCAAAGACCAGGTCGTGTCCTGCATGCCCGACCATTCCCTTCGCACCGCGCTGGACCTCATGGTGACCCGCAAGGTCGGTTCTGTGATGGTCTTGAACAAGGAGAAGAACCTTCGACCTTTGGGTATCATCACAAAGACAGACATGCTTGAAGCCTACCACAAGGGAATGGGTCTGGATGACCATACGGTTGAGGAAATCATGCACACGACCTTGACAGCTGTCGTCGACACCATGGGTCGTGATGCCGCTGCGAAGATCCTTGAAAAGAATCAAAAGCACCATGCGATTGTCATTGACAAGGAAGGTACGTTTGTGGGCGTTATCAGCTCAATGGACATTGCCAACGAAGTGGCGCGAGATGCCAGGGCATGGCCATGGATTCGTCCTGACGAGGGCAAGTTCACGGCTGCTGTCGATACACCTGCTTCGCCGCGCGGCCCCATTGAGCAGGAAGGTCAACAAAAGAAGCGTTCGTCGTTCATCCAGTACATTGATAATCTCGAGTACTTGGACATGTGATGTGTGCGAATGCGAACGGAAGTGAGAGAAACGTTGGTTGATACAAGCTTTGAGACGGTAATCAGGTCGCAGATGGGAAGTCAACAGAGCAACTTGGTTTGTGTGTGCCGTACCTGAAACAATGACAGTGTGATACATAGCTAGAAGAAGAGATACATGTTTTAAAAGAACGTTACAAAAACTATTCCTCGTGTTCCATCATTTTTCCATGGTTCAAATAGAGTTCCAAAAGTGAAGTGGTGGAACCGTTGAATCCTTGCACAGACACTCCTCTGAGGCGAGCAGCAGTGATTTGCGTTCGCACGTTCTTGGCCATTACCTTCCCTACAAGCAGTTGGTACGTGAGAAGCGTGCCCGAACACACAGCAAGCAATGAAGAAGTTTGTGGTGTCTCGCTTACCTAGCTCTACGCCGAATTGGTCGAAACTGTTAATACCCCAAATGAAACCTTTGATTGAGAAGCACGTAAACAGTGGCACGTGAGACATGAGAAAGCTGAACCACGGAAATGCTCAAACAATGAGGAATGCATGACGTATCCGCTTACCTTGTACAGCAGTTCGGTGTTCATACAGAGCAAGGAGCTGTCCTACTGCAAAGACATCCAGTTTGGTCATGAGGATGCTAGAAGATGGACGATTGCCAGCAAATACCATGTGCTGTCTCAATGGAGCAGGGACTCCTTCCTGAATCAGGTCCACAAGAGTCTTTCCGTATGCCAGTGCATCTGGCTGGGCAAAAAAGTTGGACATCAATTCATCATGATTGGCAACTTCCTTCTCCAGAGCGAACGGTTGCTGCGATTCCATGAAACCAATAAAGTCAGCTGGTACGACACGTCCTTGATGCAAACACTGGTAGAAGCTATGTTGCCCATTTGTTCCTGGTTCACCAAAAAGAATCTCGCCGCTTTCATGGAGGAGGGGTGTCCCATCAAGTGCTACACTCTTGCCATTGCTTTCCATGTCGACTTGTTGAATGTGGGCAGGAAAGCGCCTCAAGGCTTGCGCATATGGAAGCAGGGCCCGGGTACCATATCCCAAAAAAGTAGAGTTCCAGACACCCAATAATCCCAGAATGACAGGGATGTTGTCGCGAGGGGGTGCATTGAAAAAGTGTTCGTCGATATCATGGGCGCCAGCAAGAAACTCTTCCATGACTTCAAAAGAGAATTGGAGGGACAAGGGTACGAGACCAACTGCCGAACAGACAGAAAATCGACCTCCCACCCAATCCCAGAAACCAAAGACGTTCTGTTCTAGAATTCCGAATTTCTTGCATAAGTCTGGATTGGAGCTGACGGCGATCATGTGCTTTGCCGTGATATCTGCTTGTTTGATGGATATGCTGGCTAATGAATCATCAAGCCACTTTCGAACCGTACGTGCATTGAGCATAGTCTCTGCCGTCGAGAACGTTTTGCTGGCCACAATGATTAAGGTTTCTGCTGGATCCAAATCTTTGGTGGTCAAGTAGAAGTCAACTGGATCGACGTTGGCTAGAAATCTGAGGGTTCTTCCCTGAGCAGCCTTGGCAGCCCTTGGATCGGCCCGAAAGGCTTCATGAACGAATTCAGCGCCTAGCTGAGATCCACCAATGCCAATGCAAACAAAATTCTTGAGGCGTTTTCCGGTCACTCCCCTGATCTCTCCAGATCGGACTTTGTTGCTGAAGCGTTCGATTTTCTCCTGAACACGATGAACGTTCTGCAGCAGAACGTTGCCTTCGCTTTTCTGGAAGCCTCTTCCTGCTGCTCTTCCATAATGCGCACTGCTGCCGTTGATTGGTGTCCCATAAATGCTAAAATCATATCCTCTGGGCATTCGCAGGACATGATGCATGACGGCTCGTTCTTCGGTCGAATTGATGAGAGCACCGCGTCGCATAGCTTCTCGACGATCGTGGAAATTCACTGCATCCGCCAAATCATAGAGTAACTCCATGACTTCTCCTGTCACTTGTTGTCGACTGTAGTCCAAATGCAATCGTCGACGGCCTCCCTCGTTCATGTGGACAGCCGTCAGCCCGGCACAACGGGCGCTATCATTGCAAAGATTTCGAAGGTGTAACTTGTCGTCTGTGCGAAAGGATGCCGCAGCCGCTTCCAGAGCATCAAACTGAGGGACGTCCGTGCATTTCAGTGTCCATTGAGCATAACTCATCCTGTCGAAATCACCAGTTTTGGGAATATCTTTTGTGTGTTCTTTGGGGAGAAACGCGGGACGGCTAATAAACCCTTTGTTGTTGCTGCTGTTGCCGTTGTTCGCTGTGACGGAAGAAGAAAGGGACGACACAAACACAAAATACCCAACGGCCCAAGGACTCAAATTCATGTAGCACCTTTTTGTTTTGCTTCCGAATGTTCGATCTGTTACAGTCGTGCGCTTGTACAGCACTGTTGGGTCCGTTATTACTTCAAAACCAACGACTTGCTCGTAGCTACCGGTAGCTAGCTATGAGATCTCTATCAGAGAAACAGATGGCAGGCACAGGGAACCTGATACCGTAGTGAATTATCTTCTCGGGGATGACGGGATCATTCTGATGCAAGCGCGCGTTGATTACAGTATGCTACAAAAAAAGATCCAAAAAAGATACTGATGTCACAGCTAACCCTGCAGTACCGGTGGGTACTGTACGACTACCGGAACTGAATGAAGTTGCCCTCGTCACCGCTCCAACAGGGCTTCCGAGCTCTGAGCTTTTGGGAGAGAGCGCATGTTGGAGGTTTGGTTATAGTGTTGTATGCGGCTGTATCCTTTCTTCCGTGCGGCTCTTTGACTTTGATGTGTAGCTAGATATATCTACCTCTAGCTAGCTACGGTAGTCTAGTGTCTGGCTCAGGTGCATCTCTACCAGTACAATCCGTATTCCTCAGGAAATGTTTCCAACGGCGTGTCTCTTATGGGAGCAAGCTTGATCTGCATGAGCATCTACTAGTATGTAACTTTCTACTTCATCCAAAATGTCGATCCAGGGTATAACGAAGGGACCTCCATAAGGGGTAATAAACAAACGGGGATGAGCAGTAGTGTGTGCAATCATCTCTGTCTTCCAATCGAGGATGCATCATTGGGTGCTGAGATGTGAAGTTGAAGTACGGAAGAATCACAAGTTCAGGTTGACCAGAGGGTGTCGTAGGCATGTGCGGCCCTGCCATGACCAGAGTGTGGCCAGATCTGTTGGCTGCCTCTCGGATTGCTTGCTCCCTCCACCCTGCAGTGCTGTCGGTGAGTTCAAATGGCTGGCATTGCTGTGAAAGGTTCTTTGCAACAATATCTGGCCACCTGTTGATGCGGCAGCAAAGTCAGAAGGTTAGAAACTTGAATGCACCGAGGCAATTTGTCCAAAACTGAATGAAGGGTACATCGTCGTGACTCACCACAGGGAGTATTCTCCACCATCAGCGTGCCAGTGTTGTGCTGAGGTCTCTCGGTGCACAAGAAGTTTGACGCGGCCTTGTTGTCTGATTGCACGGAAAAGTTCAGCCATTTGGATTGTATAGTCCTCGCTCAAATCAACTCCCCAATGAAGGCCAAAACTTGTCACCAGAACATCGGCTTCGCCAGTAATATTGACTAGACCATCATTGACAGATGGAAGTTTGTACATTTGATGATAATGAATGACAGCCTCGTTATCGCCTATTGTGCCATGAGGTGATCGAATACGAATGGTCTTGTTGTGATGAGGTTGTTGGTAGATTGATCCTTCTGTGACGGGATATCGGACGTCTGTGACGTTCACTTGGTATCCTCTTCTATAGAGTTCGCATGTGAACCCATCAAATATTTGGTGGTGCATGGAGTCCCCAAGAAAGGAAAGGGAGATGTTGTGCTTAAGGACTATCTCCACAATCTTGCAAACATCACATTTTGTATCCTGGATATGGGAGTCGTTTTCTTCAAACCATTGCAAGGCATGTTGTCTAAGCAGTGGAAACTCTTTCATGGCTGCATTGCACCTATGTGGCTGGACATCCGAAAGAGCACCTCCTGCTGAGAAAGATCCAACGCAACAGGACCTGGGTATTCCTGGCGGAGGCTTGCAATGGTCATAAGCAACTTTGGGTGCAACTCCCGGTTGGGTAAGTCCTTGATATGCATGCTGCTCCCACGGTAATAGATCAAGCACACTCTTTTCTCTCCAGTGGTTCTTTTCATCGGAGTTTGCTTGTGCTATCGGTGAAACATTACTAGAGGAATCACCAGGAGACAGAGGGGCAGCTTGCCGGGTGGATAGTGTTCTCGTGGGTTGATTGGTTGGAAAAGGAGTTGGTGCCGGACTGGTTGGGCTGGGAGTGGGTGGAGAGGTTGGCTGCTTGGATGGCAAAGGGGTAAGTTGATCGGTGGGTGGAGGTGTAGGCTGGCCAGTTGGTTGTCGAGTAGGTTCATTGGTTGGAGCTGGTGTCGGCGATGCCGCTGCGGTATCTGGGATATTCGCTGTGAATCTGGTCTTGAGATAGTCTCCAGTGGTTGTGGTTGCCATTTTCCGGTACACAGTGGCAGCCGAGGATGACTCCGTTGGCCAAGCATGCTTGGAAAAGTCCGACATTGTAGGATTCTTTGGGTGTCTGGATCCTGGAGTTGACGACAGGTTGGCTTCTTCGAGGTCCAAGTAAACCACTCTATTTTGGTACATGGCTGCTGATCTTGCCAGGGAAATGAGATTCATATCAATGTCCACAACGAAGAGACATCCAAGACTAAGAAGTGCCAATATCAAGAATCTTCTTGATATTTTCCTCCCAACATGCACTGTTGAAGGCAATTGATTTGCACTCACACCATTCGTCAATTGGGTAGTCATGTTGTTGGGCGCGTCTTCCCCAATGGTGCCTTCTACCTTAATGGTACTGCTTGGATGCATACCTAAGCTATTGAGAACAATTATGTTAGCGATGAACAATGGACAGCTCCTTCTGCTGGAGGATCCTTGGTCGACGCAAGCTGAAACGAATTTCACCTTGATAGTTTCCCTGCCGGTATTCTCCAGAGTAACTCACCAACGCTTATGCAGCTTCTCCTGTATATGAGGATCTTCTCAAGTACCGGCTTGATGCTTGCAGCCAGCTAGTAGCCAGCTAGCAATGATAGTTTCGGCCACAAGAAGTCCCTCATGATTTTCATGCCAGTTGTTTTGCAAACTGTGGGGAAATTCTGCCAGATGCTGAACATTTTTCAGCCCCTGCAGCAGAAACGCTTGAGGCTGGGGTAAAGTAAGTCATTTAAAATTCATTTCCTGTACCCCAACACCCCGACCCCGCTGAAAAGCAAACAAAGGTTGATACTAGCTAGTATGACAGTACTGAGTACCGGTACATGTATTTGTCACAGTTGTAAATCACTCAATCGTGAATTTCAATCTTCAAGGTACCGGTACTACTGTACCGTACAATTGTTAATGTTGCCTTGGGAGGCCATGCCTTTTTGGTAGGGTACTACTAGTTAGCTAGTACCTACCGTACATCAACCTGCGTTTTCGTTTCCCAGTTTCAGATTTAGAAAAATTGTCAAAAACAAGCTATTTCTGCCTTAATAGTCTAATTTAATGTATTATTGAATTTGAAATTCAAATGATGCGATCTGACCGTCCCGGGAACAGCGGGACTGATATCTTTGATATCTTTAGGCCGAACGAAAACGGCCACGATGAGGTTGGATTGCCTCCGACAGCTCCACGCTGATGATGACATGATCACCGAACTGCTGACCATTTCCGCAACTCACCAGACTCATAATTTGTCATTCCACCTTGTCGCGAAGCCCTTGCCACAATGACGAACACAATGAAGACGACGATGAAGACGACGCAAGCGGTGGAGGCTCTCGCTCATGAGACGATGATGATGCTGCCGGTGGATGAAACAAAGGCTGTAGACAAGGAACAAGAGATAACTCTCAAGAAGAGCGTTCCGTCAGACTCTGACAAGGTGCCAAAGGTCTTGGGAAAACGGAAATCATCGGAAATGATGGCGCAGGTTGAACAGGCGACAAACGCGATCCAACCCATGAAGAAACCAAGAGCAGAAACATACATTGTACCGCCCTCAGCAGGCCAACAACAACTTGGAGAGGACACTCAGCATGACACAGAGAACGGCAAGCAGCGTTACGATTGGGAAGAAATGTTTGAATCATCGCGTCGCACCAAGCTCGAAGCCAAAAAGTTCCTTGCGGATTCGATGGAAAAACTAAGAAAGTTTAGAGAAAAGCGAAAGCAGGAAGAAGAAGAAAAAATGAAGAAGAAGAAACCGAAGAAAGCGCCGGCTCGACAAACGGATGCAAGTTTCAAGAGACGAGACGGACTCCTTAAGGAGGCAGCAAAACAGAGCAAACAAAGAGCAGCAAGGTTGAAGAAGACGGATGAAGTGCTAAAGAAGTCCGCTGAACTGCAAAAGGAATCTGAAGAACGGCGAAAGAAATACGAAGCAAAGAGAAAGGAACAAGAGATGAAATGGAAGGAACGCCAAGAGATGGAGCGTGTTAGAGCCAGTGAACGGGAGGTTTATTGGAGGGCTAAACGGGAAGCTCAAATGACGGAACACCGCCAACGCATGCACGAAATGGAAGAGAATATTAAGTATCATCGAGAATTGTGCAAAAAGCGCATGGCAGAGGCGAAGGCGTCTGAGGAGCGATCCAGGGTGATTGAAAACAAACTCCGGGATTTTCATTCAGCTATCGCTGCAGCCTGTGAAGGCGGAGATATTGAGTAAGTGCGGAAGCCGCACGGCACAGCCACGGCGACAACTGGATGGGAGCTACTCGGACGCCAAGTGGTTGGAAACGGCCTTGCTCAGCTCTTGGCCTGCTGCGCAGAATCAATTAAATAAAATCACAACAACCGGGGTGACTGATCAAGAACTAAAGAAACTTCTACAAAAAGGTAAAATAGATACCAATAAATGAAAACATTCTGACTTTTGTGTTACCGAACGTGTTCTGAACTGTCAAGCCGGAAAGTGCATCAAAGGAACGAAGATTTCAGTCGACGGTTCCATGCACCAGGCGCTACCTAGTAGTAGAGTTGCTACAGGTACTTGCCAGTAGGCATGCATTCGTACCGGAGACACCAATGTGAAAGTACATTACCAGCATCTCACGGCGTAAAATAGAAGGTTTTATGACGGCAGTGTTGCATCATTTGATTGAGCGAGTGATTATAATTAATCTCTGTTCAGGCAAGAAGACTTGACTCCTCCTCGGCACACCTCAGATCAGACAACGGTACTAGTAGTCTACCACGACCGTACGGTACCGTGCATAGTTACTAGTAGCATACCGTACCGTGGCGGAAACCATTTCAGGTGCACATACATATTCAAACCAGTACCGGTACCGTGCCGTAAGGGCGGTTACCATACATATCACAGTAATCGGGCACTGTACCGTTAAGATACCGCACTTTACAAGTAGTCTAACGCGTGCTGACCGTACCGGTACCGGTACCGGTACCTGGTACTGCACCGGTATCCGTACCGGTACCATTCCATTTTGAAGTTTAAAATGACGTTAAATAGGTTCACACGCACGAACGAATTCAAGTCTACTTTCACGCGATCACCCACAAAATTGGATTTGTTCCGGTTGACCACTTCCTTCTCCCTTCTGAGAGCTCCTTTCTGCTATGCTAGACAGTCCAGGCGCAGAGACAAAGACTATTGAGCAAGAAAGAGATGAGGCATTGTCAGAGTTACGAAAGCTGCAAATTGAGCTAGGAACCGTCAAACCCCAAGCTGCGAGTGACAAGGAAACCAGAACAGAAACAAAGACTATTGATCAAGAAAGAGATGAGGCATTGTCAGAGTTACGAAAGCTGCAAATTGAGATTGGAGCCGTCAAATCCCAAGCTGCGAGCGACAGGGGGGAAAGCACAGAGACAAAGACTATTGAGCAAGAAAGAGATGAGGCATTGTCAGAGTTACGAAAGCTGCAAATTGAGCTAGGAACCGTCAAATCCCAAGCTGCGAGGGACAAGGAAACAAGCGATGAAATGATCCAAGTGCTGACCATAGGGGTGGAAACATGGGCAAAAGAAGTGGAGGTGGTTAAGAGAGAGAAGGATCTGCAAGAGCAAGAAAATGTTCGATTGAAGCAAGAAAATGATCGATTGACGCAAGAAAATGATCGATTGAAGCAAGAAAATGATCAACAATTGGAAAACGCACTTGTCCAACAAAAGCAGGACTACAACACATTGGAACAAAAGAAAACTTCATTGGAACGAGATCTTGAATTGCAGAATCAAAAATATGACGACCAAAGAAAGCAACTAGATGCTGGAGTTGAAGCCGCCTTGAGATTGAAAGATGAAATCGAAGCTTTGCGATCATCAGGCATTGCGAAAACCATCGAGTGGAACAATAAGCGATGCCAACTCCAGGAGACTCTACAAGTGAAGGAGGCAGAAAGCTCATCCATCCGCGAAGAAAAAGCTGCCATACAGGCCTCGTTGGATCGGACAGAGCTGTCCCTCGACCAGGCCACAAAGGAGCTGGACAACTTGAATCTACTGATTGATACCCGGCAGAACGTTGTCAACATGCACAAGTGTCACGCTCTTAACGATACGCTTTCGATTCTTTCTGGTCTGCAACTCGACGCAGAGTTCGAGCCGGGTCGGACGAAGACGCTGTGTTGTCAGTTCGCAGAACTTCACTTTGACAATGAAGCCAACAGGTCGCCTCAACAAACCCTGCTGGAATTGAGAGCAGCCGGATCAGGGCTTACTGCGAAAGACATTGAGCTAAAATATGACCAGCTCATTCTTCGATCATTCGATGTGGCGTATCCTCACATGTCTTTTCAATTCTTAACAGAATTTTGTAGAATGGCGGTCTACTTGAAAAACCAATGCAACAAGTTGGTGCACGACCGAAAAAACGCTTTGCGCCCGAATGATGGAGTTATGAATGCACTGACCCGGTCCGCTCCGACGCGGGAAGCGAGACGAGTTCTAGCAGCAACAGCACAACGCAGACTCGGAGGAATGCCAACATCGATACTAGTAGAAATCGATCCTAGCATTCTTGCTGAACGCATCGAGCGCTTCCTTAGCTCTGCTGATCAAATGCTGTCACGGCAACGCAGCGACCGCGGCAACTGTCGGGAACTCGCCGCCCACTCGAAGTCGATGAAGACCAAAATCGTACACGTGCAGTTCGTCGACGATTGAATGATTGACCCAGAAGACTTGCACTACCAATTGCGCTCGCCCAAGAATACTGTACGGAAGCAGCACACGAATATGGTAGCCGAGCGACTGACTCAAGTCATCAACACTCTGCTGGATCCTAATCCTACTTGACCAGTTGAGCGATGGCACATTTACAAACATTGTAGAACGTCTAAATTTACTGCTAGATCATGAATTAGTTGAATATGTATGCTAGAGGTAGGGGGTTTCCTTGTGAGTAGACGACTTAAGTGGTGGGAAGTTCTTGACACAAGTGTGTTGTAGCTGGACAAAGCAAAAGTAAACTAGACTTCTTCGACCTCAATTTTGCTTCCCTTTCGGATTTGTCCCCAACCAATCAAACGCCAATGCTTGTCCACACGGCGGCTCAGGGCAATCTTTTCTCCTTCTTCTGTACAAACAGGTTGAGTCAGAGCAACCTTGGCCAAATCACCCTTGACAGCTACAACTCTTCCGCCAGTGGCGGTTGAACCAATGTTCACCATGAGAATTTCGTTCTTCGTCAACTTTTGAACCTTGGCCTGCTTGCCACCATCACTGGTTTTGACACCCAGCAAACGACGCAGCAGGTAATAGGAAATCTCAATTTCGGCAAACACATGGGGGAGCTTGCCCTTGATTCCCAAAACCTGTCCTACCAAACGATCAGCACGGGTCAATGTGGGATCAATGCGTGTTCCAACACCGATCAGCCCTCCAGGAACGGCAAATTGAAGGTCATTCTGTTCTGCATAAAGAGATGAGATTCGAGAATAGATCGGAGAACAAACCATGGTAGTTTCACCTGCTGCTCCTTCCTTTTCCTTCTTTGTGACAATACCAGGCCTGACTTCGATTTCATCACCCATTTTGAGCACACCTTGCAAGATGGATCCTCCTGCAACACCTCCTTGTAGGTTGGACACATCTTGTCCGGGACGATTGACATCAAAGGATCGAATGACAATGAGACGGGGGACACTGGTGAAATCACGAAGAGGTAGAGGGATGCGACGGACCAGATATTCACAAAGAATGTCCATATTGTACTTGAGGACAGCCGAGATGGGCAAAATGGGCGCCGAATCAGCCACAGTTCCAGCGACAAACTTTCGAATTTGTTCCTGTTGGGCCAGGGCGGCATCTGGTTTGACCAAATCTACCTTGTTTTGAAGAATAATGATATGGGACAACCTCATAATTTCGACGGCAGCCAAGTGCTCGCTGGTTTGTGGTTGCGGACAGGTTTCGTTACCGGCCACAAGCAACAAGGCAGCGTCCATGACAGCCGCTCCGTTTAGCATGGTAGCCATTAAAATATCGTGCCCGGGACAATCGACAAAACTGATATGTCGACGCAACTTGAACGTCATGCCGTTTTCTTCGAAAGTATCAGCATGAGAGGAACCACGAGAGGTGTACGCAGATCCTTTGGTGCCCAAACCACTGGCTTCATTGGCAATACCCTGGTAGATTTTGGCGTTGGCATATCCCAATTTGATGGTGATATTGCGCTCGAGTTCGTTCTTAAATCGGACCGTCTGAACTCCACTAATTGCCTTGACCACAGTGGATTTGCCGTGAGCAACATGACCAATGGTGCCCACGTTAATGGTTGCTTGACGAGAAATCTGGCCAAGTGATGATGTCATGGGGCATTGTGGCAGCAGTTAGCAACGTGTCAAAAAGGCGCCAATTCTGCATACACTAGCACACAACAAAATTTGTACTTACCACTTCTGGAGTCAAAGCTGTCAATTTGGCAGGGTCAACTGTCGAGGCATCTTGAGTGGCCAAATGCGGTTGCTTGGGCTGGTGGTGCTCTTCAGCTTCATCTGTATTCGCTCCCATGGTTCTAGTAGCACCGTTCGCTCTTTTCTCTTTGTGCAATGTTATTGATGTATCTGGTCAGCCAACTTATTCAAGGCAACTGCTGCCTGATACCGGTACCTTCGACGACCTCTGAAATACGAGAGGGCTGGGATGCTTGGTTGTGTTGTCCCCTTTTGTTGCTTGTTGGCTTGTCGGAAGCGTCGTTGTGATGAGGAGGCTTGTCAGCCACTCAAAAAATTGTGCGTGTTTCAATTTCTACATTAGCGCTGGGGATAATTGGAGTGAGCACCGCGATATAATACTGTACCGCGATCCGCCCCACCCAAACGCACTCAAAGCTGGCGCTGCTGCTGTAGTCTAATAATGGAACTTTTTGAAGGAAACATTTGGTTCTTTCTCGATGGCTGCAGCAGGGGCGGTCCAACGTCTGCTGATAGAAGGGACACCAACCACACCAACTGTGCTTGTGTCTGAATCAATGGGTGACATTTGCTCAGAATATTTCTCTTTTAGAGCAGCAGATCGGGCCATCTGGTTAGTCTCTGCAGGGGTGGTCTATTAGCCTCTCCGGACAACTGATTTTGGCAACTCTGTCAACCCCATGGGTCTTAGGTTGCTCGTACTAGCGGCACCACGGGGAAACGAAAACGTTATTGTATCATTGTATCAATAATGTGATGGCAAGAGTACCATACCAGGCAATACGCAGACGTCAAATTTGCTAGACTAAACTATCACTTCCTTTGTCGGGCTTGGGGCCTCAAGGTCGGAAACGACAAAAGAGCGCCGACTAAGTCACTGTATAGAAGCTTCCCTTATAACGTTAAGGATTGGAGTTTGAAAACATGAACCTGAATATAGACTGGCTGATAGCGCGCTTTCATAGCTGGGTCCTCTGGGAGTTAAGGAAGCTCTTGGTGTCTCCTCTGTTGTGCTTGGATGTTCAGGATTGGTCGCCGCCGCTCGCCCCGGTCAATCTTCTTCAAATTCAACTGCAGTCGCTCTCCTTTCCTTGCTGTTGGCGACGCACTCTTGGCTGATCCGTCTTGTGCTTTGCTCGGAGAACGGGGAGAAACCGTCAGGCTTTCAAGTTTTTTCATAATGGTCTCGTTGGCTTCGGTCTCATCCTCGTCTCCAGCAATCATGTCCATCACGTCAATGCATCCCCAGCTGCTAAGTCTGGCGGTGTCTCTCATCGCTTTCGGCTTCACTGTTTCCAGAGAGTTCGTTGGTTCCGATTCTCCAGTTGTGCCACCTTCCACGAGAAACGCGGTGTCGGTCATTCCCCATGGCATATCCGATGTGTTCATTTTGTTGGGTGCTGCTGAAAGTGAGTGAAAGAATGAGGTGTTCAGTTTTTGATGGGAGGAATTGTGAGCGAGATGAAGGAAGAAGTGTTTTTGTCGTTGCGTCTTGGCCAGTCTTGCGGCTTTGACGGAGCGCACGACCAAAAACACTTCCGAATTTTCGGATCTTGGGGTATTCGCGTGCCCACCGATCCAAACCCTTCCGAGAGATCTTCTTGGAGGTTTCACTCCGTCACGAAAGTTCCTGAAGTTTCATGCCCGGAGCCACTGAAACATCCAAGGCTGTTGGCGGTGTTGGGGGTGGAAGTGCCTGGGGCTCATGGCAAGGAGTTGATAAGTTGAGTTGGCGTCTTCAAGAATCGAATACATGTATGTGCAGCGAGCCGGACCTCTAGCTAATTAGCTATTATTTGTGGCAGCTATCATATGCATAATGGAGAGACACATGCAATAAAGTTGCTCTAGAAGACATAACACATGAAGTAGCTACTAGTATGTAGTGAATGATTCAATTTAATCGAAGTGAATGGCAATTATGTACAGGTGCCATGGTGACACCAGCAACAGCAGGCAACCAGTGAACTCTGAAGAGGATGTTGTACTGCACCGGTGGGTGTCTCAGTTCATTGAGCTTGCATCCATGAACGTGAGAAGGGTGCTTTTTAACAAAAGACGATCAAACAAAGCGGTAGACCAGACAAGAAACTGCAGTTTTGCCTTGCAATCATGATAAAGAGATAGGTACATGGACGGCCAAACAGAACCCTGAAGCATTGTTTATTCTACAGGGGATATCGTATGGCCTGCATGCCCGCATTTGGTCTGGACAATGCCTGGCCTCCTGGCCTCAAGTAAGTGTGCTGCCCACACCTGGTTTAATTGAAAGCACCTAACCCCACACCAGAAACCGCCCCTCGCGAAAATTCTACTGTTGTGCTGCAGTGATACACCAACCAACACCTAGCTAGCTAGCTAGCCTCTGTCGTTCCAAGGCTGCAGTGATGACAACCCCATTTCAACTTCACCAACTTATGCGTTGGTGCTCCTGCGGCACTCAAAGATTTAAACAGTTCGAAATTTCGCCCAATTCGGACCGTTTTATTAAAATATTATTGTTATTATTTCATAGGACCACCAGCATTAAATCTTGAAGCTGGGACTGCTATTATTGACTTTCCATTCTCACATTCTGACTGTGATGCCTGGTACAAAAACTGGAGGGAATCCACCAAGTTAACAAAGCCGCCTCAACACTCCCTACTAACGAGCAACGATTGTGGTGGTTGCAACCCATCATCAGGTTGATTGCTGTCACTGATGTAGTGTACTTGGAAACTTGTGGGTGGGTAGATTCGATTCGTCTTATTATTAGAAGATTCGGCACAGTCATCATAGCGTCATAGCTGTAGCCACAGAAACGCCGAAAGAATCTTCAGATCTTCAGCATAGCCAGTTCTGAACACCAGCTTTTCCCTCAATATTCAAACGCAGGCGAGATAACCAACACAACTATTCATAGGTAGTTTCTCACAAGCCAAAACAGCACCATGGACGCTTCAGATTGGATAAAGGGAATCTTCTTCTCGGTGATGGCATCCTTTATTGGGGCAGCGTCGAAATTGGCCATTCGCAAGTCTTGGCTGATAGAAGAAGATGCTCAACAAGCAAGTAGTTATCAAGGGCCAATTTTGGAATACATCAATCCCAGTAATGACCAAACAGGCAGCAGTGTTGATGATGGATTGATCATTGGGAATAATCCCAATGAAGCACTTCTGCGGGGCTCAGAAGATGAGGATATTGGGCCATGTCTGGAGTGTCCTGAGAGGCACACTCGTGTTTCTACTAGGGAAGGTGACGACACAATCCCTTTGTTGGGTGAATCCACGCCTCTCTTGTCTCGCACTAACTGCAGGAAATGCTGCTGTTGCACCCGCTCGATGTTTGGATGCTGTTATTGCTGTTCATTGGCCAGGTTCCTTCGCTTTTGTGGAATGATGGGCATGACATTTGTGAATCCTGCCTTTTCTTTGCTGGCCATGAAGTATGCCACTCCCAGCATCCTAGCACCCTTCTCTGGCCTTACTTTGGTTTGGGTAATTGTCTTTAGCCAACCACTTGTGGGAGAGGTGCCAAGCCTGGAACAAAAGATAGCTTCAGCGCTAATTGTGATGGGAGAAGTTACAGTGGCAGTCTTTGGGGATCACACCAACGAGGATGATGCCACATGTGCCTCGGTCAAGGCATCGTATGGAGAAGGGCCGTTTGTGGCCTACTTTTTGGGTTTGGCAGTGTATATGGCTCTCATCACAATTTGGATTAGGAACTGTCCTGCCATGCCTACCCTCCGCCAGTTTGCCTGGGGGACAAGGTAAGGCGCTCTTGAACTGAACGTTTAAGTTTGTTGATCAACGTTGTCGGCTCTCTCATTTTGTATTTGCCCGGTCCTCTCCCTTTCTAGTGGCGGTGCCCTTACTGGACTAGCACAGTGCTTCATCAAAGATAGTTTGGTCATTGTTTCAGCCTGCAAGGGATCCTCCTCTTCAACTCTTTGGATCTTGCCCTTTTTCATTTTCCTTGCCATTGCTTCGAGCTTTGGGGGCCTGCTATTTCTTACTGCCACTATGAAGCGTTATGACGCAACGTACTCTGCCGCTATGTTTGTTGGCAGCTTTGTGGTCAGCACCAGCCTGATGAGTTTGGCTCACTATCATACTTTTGACCACCTTGGTGGCATTGTCGATCTGGTGATGTATCCCATGGGATTGTTCATTCTCATGTTGGGAGTTTCCATTCTGATTCATTGCAGCGGTAGCAGCGTTCCAAACAGGGATTATCCGGGAGATATCAATGACCCCAGCCGTGAACCGTTGACGCAAAGAGATCACTTGGCGGCGGGAGATGTCGACCAACCGTTTTTCTACGAAGAGCCGGAAACTGATGATGAGCCATCAACTGAAGCTGCGGACAATCAAGTGGGCACGGAGGACCTTGAATTGGTGAGTCGAGTCGATGAGTGGCCAGGGCTTGATCTCACTAGGCAGCGCTTTACTTCTTCTACGACTTCACAATCATCACAACTCACAAACACTCCTTCTGGTTCTCAATTTCCTCTCAGACAAAATCGGAATCTGGGGTTCTAGACAGAACACTTGTGTGAACGAATGGGTGCTGTGGTTGCTTTTAGGGATGCCTCTTTTTCCACGTGTGATATGCACAGGAACTCCAAATTGTACACCCACGTTTCTTCACCAGCTAGGCTTTCAAGGCCGCCCATCCTCAGTGTGTAACTAGTGCGACACTATTGTAAAGTAAGAATATTAGCTACAATGCGAAAGTTTTTGATCGGATTCATGGCCGTACAGTACCAACCGGTGGAGAGCGGCGAAAAGCTCAAGGCGCAAACAAGGGATGCTCCAGGCTCTCCGTCATAAGGTCAAGTCGTTGCGATTGTTCAGCTGGTTGTGGGTTTCGACGCTCTGGCTTGTCACGAGAGTTCTTCGTCATATCCCGAGGCTGCACATCTGCACGCTTCGCTTGTCTCTTTTGCCAGCTTGTCGACTTCCGCCTCTCATTGTCCTGGTTCTGAGATTCACTCTCTTGTCTTTCTCGTTCGCGCTCCATGTCACGCTTTTCAAACTCTATTTCCCTCTGTCTCCTTTCTAGCTCGATTTGTTGCAAGAATTGTTCACGTTCCTGTGTCTGGACTTGTTGTTGCAGCTTCATCACTTGCTCTTGGAGCTGCAGCAAGCTACGTTCAGTAGTCGGTTGGCTCTGCTGCTCTTGTTGCGGAGAACCATCTGTGGATGGAGCGGTGCTGTCGGATTGTTCTGATTGGTTCGGGGTGTTGTCGACGGTGGAGTTGTGTACCGTGCTCGGTGCGTTCTCGAGTTCCGCTGAGAGTTCTCGCAGGTGGCCATAAGGGTCATCTTGACTGTTGTCGTCTTCAGCCTCCTGCTGGTGTACTTCCTCTGTAGAGATTTGGGCTTCCGGTTCATCCAGTTCCAACGATGAACTCGGTTCTTCGACAGAGTCATGGTTTGTCTCTGGCCTATCGACTTCTTGTTCACTTTTGGAAGGAACTGGGGGCGATGATGCTGCTTCTTGCTCCCCTGGAACCGTGAGCAAAAGTGGCGGGGGCAAGAACGTGTTGGATCGAGGCCGCCATTCTTGAGGCGATGCTTTGCGGAGTGACGATGTGCCAGTATCATCCTCGACGTGGTGTTTACTTCGCTCTTCAAGCCGCCTTTGCCTGTCATTTTGTCGTTTCTCTGCGTTCTTCCAGAACTTCAGAAATGGGGGGATGTAGGGTTCATTCCAAGCAATCTCAACGAGGATGTTGTGAAGACGACTTGGCATTGCTGGTTGGAACACTTTTAAAAACGCCCGGTTTTGCCAACCCGGCGTTACCTCGACATCACCCGTCAGTAGTGCTGTGACTCCTAGTTGAGCAACAGTCGCAGCTGTTTTGGGATATCCCGGTAGTTTCCAGCACAAGGCTTCATGGGTGCTGCTTGTTGATCTAAAGTCTGTGTCTTTCACGGCGCCTGGCATTAAACATGTGACGCCTACTCCAAAAAGCTCCAGCTCCTTTGCTAGGGACAATCCAAGCGTTTTCTCGAATGCTTTTGTTGCCGCGTACATGGCCACTGTGGGTCCGGCAGCAACTGCCCCAACCACAGAGGAAACCATCAGGATACGACCCCGTCGGCGCTCCTTCATATCCTTGCCATACAAATGAGCCAGGTTTGCCACTGCCAGCCCGTTTACTCGCATCATTCGTTCTACATCTTGCAACGCCATATCCACAGCCAACCCTTGTGAAGATATCCCAGCATTGTTGACCAATATGTCAATCGTTAGGTTTGCATCTTTTGTTGCCTGGTGAATCTGTTGGGCCGCGTTGGGCTCGGCCAGATCCGCCTGAAGCACACAGCATTTGATGCCATAGCACGCTTCCAGGTCATAGGCTAGAGACGTAAGACGGGGCAGGTCCCTTGCCACCAGTATCAAAGGGATCTCCCACCTTGCCAATTCAACTTCAAAGATCACAATAGTATAACCACCAAGTCAGTCAGACAACCCATGGGGTATCGAGGACCCGCCAGCACACTTTTGTTCTTCTACGTACCTGCAATGGCACGGCCGATTCCTCGACTTGCTGGTAATTTTCATTTGAAAACATGTGAATTGACAGTGGCAGCGCCGACCAAAAAAGGAAACCAGTCCTTTGCGTGAGCAGTTGATTGTTGCAAACAAATATGGGTTATGATTTTTGAGTCAATGCTGATGATGACTTACCTCCTGTCACCAAGGCATAGCCCAATGGCTCTTCGCTATCGTTTGGGTCTGCTACTTTTGCATGCTTCCGCTGTGGTTTGTTACTAATGGCCTTTCGTTTAATGGCCTGCAATGCCACCAACTCATCGTAGATTGCCATGCGTTTGACCTTTTGTGACTCTGCCCGTCGAACATCCCTCATGTGTTTCATATTCTTGCGCCAATTCGTCCCCAACAGGCGTCGCTTTGGCTTCTGCCTGCTACTACTACTACTTTCGTCGTCGTCGTCATCATCATCCGCAGTGCCTCCCAAACCCAACTGATGCAAATGACGTTGGAGACGGGGAGGTACCGACGCGACGAGCTTTTGCGAAATGGTCGACGACGCGTGTGCAGTTGTTGTTGTACTGTTCGTATCACTGTCGTTGGAGGCATCTGTGGATGCCAATAAATCCAAAGAATTTGTGTCGTCGTGATTGGTGTTGTCTGCTGTTTCCTCCTCTTCGTCGTCATCCTCCACCACTAGATATGGCTCTGGCACTTCTTCTGGCAAGGCATGAGGCAGCACTGCGCTATGAATGTCTCGATAGGCATAATTGAGTGGTAGAGGCGTCAACCGGCGCAATCGATTGAGTTCAGAGTGTGCCCATGACATGATGGCGAAACTGAATCCCGTGAGTACGAGATAGCGAGCCAAGGGGTTGGACCAGAGAGGAACCACGGTCCTTTGCACAACGGCTTGTACTCCTGTTTCCGCACTGGTAATGACTTGTGCTTCTTGTCGTGGCAACAAGGTCAGCAAAATGAGGGGAGGTGTCATGGGCGGCAAATGGAACCAGAGCCTGCTCCCCACACATTGGAGTTCCTTAAAGCTGACTCGAGCCCGTTGTCCAAAAAAGGAAAACATCACCGACCCCATGCGTACAACAGGTCCTTGACCACGATACTGCTGAATCTCGTCTATATCGGAGGACGAGACTGTTCTGCTGGATCGTTGTAGTAGATTGAATGGCCAAGGTGGCCATAGTTTGTTGGAGCCCTCTCGTCGCCTCTTTTTGGTTCGGTGGTTGCCGTTGCTGTTGCCCAGGGTGGCTGGAGTCATGGGCATGCTTTGAGTGATATCACTACTCGTAGTCTCGGACGGTGGTACATCCTCTACACAAGTCTCTTTCTCTTCTCCAACCACTGTATTATGATCATCGTCGTCCTCGAAAGGCGGTGGCTTGTACTCTACAATGGGTGCTGTATTGCTGGATGCCAACAGAACCGTGTCACGTTGTCTTTGCTGTTGCTGACGTTGGATCCATCCTTCCATTGTCCCAAACATGACCAAGCTTCTCGGATGTCCTCTCCGCCTTGTTCTGGTTGGCACTGTGACGCCATCAAGTTGGTGGTGTCGTCGACTGCCCTTGGTAGCATCGGTGCCGGAAACCTGCGAGAAGCAGATTAGGAGCACCAGTAACGACGACCATAGCGCCTCACCAAGATGCATCCTCCGTCTACTACTACAACAGCAAGCCATTTCGGTGGCCTTTCTCACCATGGTCCTCCAATCGGCGGTGATCGAGATTTGTGCGATCTTCGTTGCGATCTTTCGTTGCGATCCCAGAATCCCAGCATCTTCATGCTGATGTCAGGTTAGGGATAAAGGCTAATTTCAAAGTTAATCCAGCGAGAGCTGTTAAAATCAGAGAGAACTTTCCCCAACGGTCCAAATAACTGAAACCAGCACACCCAGACAACACAACGACGACAACACTCATTCACACGAACCAAGTGGGAACTGGCTGCATGCATCCAAGCCAGGTTGCTGCAAGACAAGAGAATAGACCAACCCACCTCGAGCAGATAGTCGCCTTGCATGGACCTCCTGGTCGCTCCATAACTGGCTGCTAGCAAGCCTCGACAAAGGAATCGAATCGAACCGAATCTACCGGTATCGGGGACATTCTTTCATCAACAGTGACACCGTCCCTTCTCATTCATTATTTGCTAGTCAACCGACCGACGACCGATACCTCTCATCGCATTCAGATCCCCAAGTATTTTTTCCATTTCAGAAGACAACGACACGACGTGGTAGCCTATGAGAACGAGATGGGGGAAGCCCTTTCCGGCAGCACAGTCTGGAAGGATGCCGTTCTGCTTCAATAATATGAATTCCCTGCTCCTGAGCGCTGTCGTCTTTGGATGCTTGTTGGAACCCGTCATGGCATGGAATGAGACACAGCAACTTGCACTAGCCTTGGCGCCCAAGTTCTCGGGGACCTTGTCAATCATGGTACGATCTTTCGATATTCAAAAACTCTGGGTTGACAGATTGTCTTGTTGTGTCTCACTGTTCTTCTTCTTTCTTCTTCTGATTTCGTTGGTCTCTAATCGACAATCTGCCGTCCTCCTTGGAACCTGATCCAACAATCAACTGATCGACACTGAAAATGGATGTAGGGATCGGTCTTTATCATCACTGACATTGTCAAGAGCCGAGAAAAGCTAGGACGGACCTACTCCCGAATCCTACTCGTCATGAGTCTCTACGATTTCTTTACCAGTATTGCCCAAGGTCTGTCCACATGGCCCATACCAGCAGAGACCCAAGGTGTCAAATTTGCTTCAGGGACTACCTTTACCTGTAACTTTCAGGGATTCTTCACACAGGTGAGATCGCCAAAGGAAGGAAGATACAAAAAAGTTTTTCATGTCACTCGTCATCCTCACGCGTGGTGATACTACATGATTATTTATTTTGTGGCAGCTTGGAGTGGGCGCACCCATGTACAATTGCTCCCTTTCTTTTTACTATTTGATTGTTATTGCATTCGCCTTTAGCGAAGACAGAGTCAGGCAAATTGAAGGGTTCATGCATTTCATTCCACTCTCCTTCTCGATTGGATCCGCAATCGCTGGTCTTCCTCTGACACTCTACAACAGTGCCGGTCTCTGGTGTTGGATTGCGGCATTGCCGGGAACCTGTGTCAATGGTAACAAACCAGAGGGAGAAGGAGAATGTAGAAGAGGCGAAATGGCCTGGGTCTATCGATGGGCAATCTACTATGGACCTGTATGGTTATCCGTCGTAACAATCACTCTCAACATGGGGGCCGTATCGTACTTGGTTTGGGCCAAAGAACGGGCCAGTAACCGATTTCGCTTTGGTCATCCGTCCAACTTGACGTCTTCTTCGGCCGCGAGTGACGCGGGCAGCAATGATGGCGAACTGATGGATAAGAATGCTCGAGCTAAGGCACAGGCTGGAAGCGTGACGCGGTACTTTGCCAGTAAGCGGCAAAAGGTCAAACAGAAAAAACGAGCCGGATTATCAAGCCAAGTCTTTTGGCAAGCATTCTATTATGTCGTTGGATTCTACATTACTTGGATTACTCCCACCGTGCTGAGAATGTTGCAAACAATCGACAAACCAGTCCCTTTTTGGGTTGTCATGTGCATGTCGATTTTGTTGCCCTTGCAAGGTATGTATGTGTTTGATGTACACGTATGTGTTTGACGTACTGGAAGAATGGAGGCATTTTCGCTAACTCCAGTTGTTTGTGTTCAAGGCTTTTTCAATTTCCTAGTCTATGTTCGTCCGCGAGTTGTACAGTATAGAAACCGGCATCCAGAGAATGGGCTGTTCAATGCCATTGCGCGGGCCGTACGACGAACAATCACAGTCATGTATGTGAGCGACAGCCGTGCCTTTACGGAAACGGAAGCTCAAGACATTGAAGTCTTGGATCCTTGTTATGCATTGCAAGTGGAAAAGGAAGAGGAGCACCGCAGGCTCTCGCAAGAGAAACTTAAAATCGCCGAGAAGGATAAGCTTGAATACAAGGAGAACGACGAGCCACACGACAATCACGTTGAAAAGGCACCGTCAGCGCCTCGAACAACTATGGAGCAACGTCGACTTGATGAAATGAGGCTTCTGGAAGAGGAAGATCCATCGTTTCACGAAGGAGAAAGTATCCACATGGACGTTGGATGCAATAGCGGAGACCTTGGGAAGAACGCTAGCATCCGCAGCAATGGAGACTGTGCACCCACAGACGACAATCCGAGCAGTCTCTCCTCCAGTGGACGACAAATAGTATCTGGCAGCGGTCACGGCACGATCCATGATAGCGCACACCAACTGTCTGACATCGCACACAGCAATCCTGGCGAGGAGAGTGACGAGCGAAATCAACCTACGACAACGACTCAAATTGCACCCATGGATGGCGAAGACGAGACCACAGGTCCTCCCACTCAGCGTCCGTATTTCTACCCCGAGTTCTTGGGCGATCCTGACTTCTTTTTCACCTGATCTTGCTCCTTGCAACAAGGGCGATTGCGTCCGCCCCAGACCAGTTGCCATCGAATGAAGCAATAATCCACGCATATGCATCCAAAGCAACGGCAGCGATTAAGCTGAGTTCTCCTGGTTCAGATCGTTTCACAGCCTTTCAGTGGCATGGTTCATGTTGACAAGACATTGTTAGAGAAGCGTACGCCTTGGTGCGGAGTGTGCAGAGTTGGCGAATTTTGCCCTGTGGCCTCTCACCAATGGATGGACAGTACCAGTGGGGCGCTGATCTAGCTGGTTCGGGATGCACTCTCGAGCAACAACGTAAACACATCAAGGAAGAGTATTGGAAAACTGGAATTTCGTTTGAATTATGGACAATTGTGGGGATTTACAGTCAATAGGTGAGCTAACGTGTGCAGCTGCACTTGCTGGAATGTAATCAAGAATAACACGACTACAAATCCTTGGACCCAACGTTTGAGAAGAGTTCTGTGTTCTTAAGCGCTTCCTTTGCCATATCTGCGAGATCTTCGATCTTTTCCTTAGCGCCGCTCTCCTCTTCCCTTCCCACCAACATGCTCCTGGCAACTTGATCATCATGTAAGGCCCAGAGCCAAGGATCGTTCGCTGCCCTTCTTCTTTCGAGGAAGCTTCTCTTCTTTCTGTCATCGCTAATGTAGACGCCACGAAATCCTCCTAGTGATTCTCCTTTCACATACTCGCCTTGGTCCTTGTCATCAACTGCGAGGACTTGACCTGTGGTTTTGCACAAATTGTAATAAAATGGAATGCCGGTCGGAATGTTGAGGTCTTCAATCTCCTCTGCTGGTATACTTTGTAGTTCGATGCAGTAGATGCACACGTAAGGATTGGTGGAGCATACAAAGCAAGAAAAAACAAGCATTGAAAGCAAACTGTAAACACTTGCCTGTCAATATGCATCACCAAAGCCCGCAAGGTGTTGGCATGAGCTACGATAAGCGAATGGGATGATGCACCATCAGCATCTGCTTGCATGGTATCTTGAACAATATCCTTCCAAGCTTCAATCACTCGAGTTTGGCAATCCTCCAAGGACTCAGTGAGTGGAACACTGTTGCCCAGGTTTTGGTATCGAGCATCATAGTTGATAATGGCATAGTGTGGATGACCCTCTGTCATTTCTGGCGGCCGTGCATAATAACTTCGACGCCAACCCATGACGCGTTCCCGGCCCAACCGTTCTGCAGTTCGTTCTTTGGATAGACCCTGCAGGGCTCCATAATGTCGTTCATTGAGTCGCCAGTCGTAGCTGATTGGTGTGTAGGATACCCCTCCCGCTTCTAGGGCTCTTTGAGCTGTCACAATGGCCCGAGTCAACATGCTGCAGTAGCAATGACGAAATGTCAAGTCATGAGACCGAAAGACTTCACCAGCTTCCGAAGCTTCGACCCGCCCACGAGGTGTCAAGGCAACATCGCACCAGCCTACATCATACGGTAAGATTGAGTTGAGCATTGGTGCATAAGAATGAAAGAAAACACGCAGATAAAACTCAATATATGTACATGATCCTACCCGTAAAGATATTGGCATTGTTGAATTCCGACTCTCCATGTCTCATGAGAACAATTCGATGAGCGTTTTCTGGAACTGGAGGGAGACTTGTTTCTGTTCTTTTCTTTTGGCTGTTGACCTCATTTTGTTCGCCGTTTACTGCCAAAGACCGTCGAAGCAGACCACGTGAAATACGAAACTGACTTTGTGGCGAAAACCCTCGTACCAGAATCATCGTCGCAGTGTCGACAGGGATCAAGAGGATACTAGTATACACAAAGAGCCCAAGCCCACGATGCATGGCAATCATCATATTATGGTGTATCAAAAGAAAGCGATCGAGCCTTTTGTGATTTGTGAATGATGAAACAAAATCTTCCGAGCTTTCATCGGATCTTTTCCAGTCGTCGTAGTGACGTCATCTGCTTCGAGTCCCGCCCATTAGTTTCTCCTGCGAGAGCTCTGCCAACTCCCAACCGAAGCCTCTGAGCTGAGGGCCAGGCTTAGTCAGTTAGGCAAAGAAGAGCGACAGGGGAAGTCAGGACTACATGTATAATAGCCAGGTTCCGTGGGATCAGGGGAGATAAATTGAGATAGGGGGAATTCAGGATCCATGGGATCAGGGGAGACAAATTGAGGACCAACTCGGGGGCCAAAGGAGTTGGCTTGGTAGTGCCCCTCTTACCGGTACGGTAACTAACCAGCTCCGTACTAGTACCCTACTTCACCTGGGTCCACCTCCAGGCCCACTCCCGGTCCCACTCCTGGTCAATCTCCAGGTCCCACTCCAGGCCCCACTCCTGGTGGCCCCACTCCTGGTCCGTTTCCATGCCCCACCCACATCCAACTCCAGGCCCTGACTGTTTTCAGACTGTAGCTACTGCAAACACTATGACCAACATTAGGAGAGCAGGAGCCAAGGGAAGCTACAGGGCACAGGGAAACTTGGTGGATGGTTGTGCCCTCATTACAGATGCATCATTGTGTTAAAGTATTTATCTCCAAGGAATCTGCTCCTCAGGACTTGGGATGTCATACATACAAACCTTTAGAATGACAATTTCTGCTGGGCTAACACTTCGGATCTCAACAACCTCAATACGCTTGATCTGGGTTTGAAATTCAGTTGGTGGCATCAATCCTACCCAAAGTTGCACTCCTGAGTGGTTGAAGCAAAGCCTTGAATGATGTTTTCCCTTCACAACATGTTGCAGCGCAGTTCGGGCTCCACGCCATTCTTGCCAACCAAAGCTCGACAAAAAGGGACTACAATGGCATGTAATCATTGCCTTGGTTCGCTTGGATGTGACACGGACTACAAGAGCAAAGGATCACGGACCGAGGGAGAAATATGGAACACTTTTCACATGGCAAACAGCGTCACACATACAACAATCAGCATTCAATCCGGTATCAATTTTGTTTCTACAACGTCGGCTTTGAGTATGGCATCATCTCTGCCAAGTGTGAATTGTTTCTCTGTTAATTCTTTGCTACCGGTATATCCACTGTGTTCCTATTTGTAGCAGATCGGGTTGTTCATTTAATTTTTGTGCCAGTGGCATCATCTCCATCTAGTTGAATGGACTCGCCAAACATGCCGAACAGCCCGCCGCCTTTCTTTTTCTCTTGCTTGGGCGGAGCGGATGCAATATATTCGTCATCGTCATCTTGATCTCTCTTAGCGCCTCCTCCTGTGAGCTTGGAAAATGCTTTCATGAAATCAAAGTTTTCCTCTGGCACAACTTCTACTCTGACGGGAGATTCGTAGTTTTCATCCATGATGACCTCTTCTTCTCCACCATCACTATCGGCCTCGATACCGCGCTTATTGAGGATATTGTAGACATCTCGGACGGATCCTCTGTACAGCAACAGTGTCATTTTGGCAGGGCTGCTTTGGAGGAGTCCCATGGCTTCGTCAAATGAATTTCCAATCACGACGACGTCATTGACGGCCATCAATTGATCTCCCACTCGCAATCCTGCAGCGCCTCCTGCCGAACCCAGTTCCACATCGTCCACTCGCAATCCAAGATAAGGCTCCTTGTTTTCACCAAAGACCACTCCCAGTGGTTTCTTGATTTTCGCGTAATATCCAACATCTTCAATATCGTCTACGGCAATGCCAAACAAACTGGTGGAACGGAGTGCTTGGGTACCAACCGTTGGAATCGTCGTGAACGACGTGGTCAAGGGGATCAACAGACCCAAGACACCCCCGACAAGGATACTCTTCATCATGGTTGCTTGAAATACAAGAAGCTATGGCAGCTTCGATTGTGGATTGATTCTGATTCGATTCATTGCGTTCCTTGGGTGCCTCGTCCAATGGCAACTTGACTGATTGCGAGAAAAGATACCAAAGAACTCGCGTTATGAGTCGAGTCACGGAACACGTCAGTTTTGACTAATTCACCCCCGAATTCCTTTCCTTTTTGGCCGTTGCTGCTTTCGAGGTGTCCTTCTTGACACTCCGTGTGACAACACTACACTCCAAGAAACCACAACAGAGAGGTGCGTCGAGTTGAATAGATACATAATACTGTAGCGATCGATTGGGCAGCCAAGTCCCTACTCATACATGTATTGACATCTGTTCTTTAAAAAACTCGGTATCGAAGTGAAAGTAAGTGTCACCATGTGGCAACAAGTAAAGCAGCTGGTCGGATTATCAAAACCTCCCACAAAGCGCTTGGCGTCCTCTGCCACTCCATGCTCGGAACTGTACGACCTAGTCTTGGATATGGATTGGACGAGCGTTATCCGGCATTGCCGAGATAATCCCGAAGATGCCAGATTCCAAGAAGGCGATGGACTGGAATCTCCTCTCTACCTGGCTTGCCAATGGAATCCTCCCGTCAATGCCGTTAAAGCATTGATCCGTGCCAACCCAGACGCTCTTCTGTGGACCAGCCGAGAACACCGCGACTTGCCGTTGCACATGATTTGTCGATCTCCTGCCACAAGCCCCGAGTTGGTCCGAGAAATGCTACGGACACATCCGGAATCGGCATGCCATGCGACCAAGTACGGAAAGACAGCCTTGTGGGTACTCTGCGAATATTCTCAGCCAGACTGCATGAAGGCGTCTGATAATGTCAGCAATAGACCGTTTACACTGGAACAGCATGAACAGATCCAGGCGTTTTGGGAAAAGATTGAAATTGTTGTTGAAGCCGTGGCCAAGAGTCGACAACATTCCTGGCCAGCGCGTCAAGAAACACAACAGGAGGACAATGTCGGAATGCTCTACAGAGTCCATGGATTAGTCTCCCTGGGAGCTCTGGGATGTCCAATTCGGGTCTTGGAATACATTTGCGACAAGTATCCACAACAGTTGCGTGTACGAGATGAAAGTGGTCAATTGCCACTCCATTTGGCAGTGGGACCAACTCAGTGGTCACCCAGTGGGATCCGCAAATACAAACCACGCGAACAAGCCATTATCCAGCTTTTATTACGGCAATATCCAGAAGCAGCACTAGTCCGTTTACATTCCATGTGGGATTACTATGACAAAGAAACTGGGAAACGAAGAGAGGATTGCAGCAGTAGCGACAAAGGCGCCATGGACAAAGAGGGACGGTATCCATTACACATTGCCTTGGCCAATCGACACACCTGGAAAGGCGGTGTCCAAGAATTGTTCCTGGCGGCGCCTCGAGTTGTGGCCATCAAAGACCCCGTCACACAACTCTATCCTTTTCAACTGGCGGCCATCCCCATTCGCGAAAACTTGGCGGTCGACGCTGGAACCATTGTGGAACTGTTGCGGCAACGACCAGACTTGATTGCACTGTGTTGTGCCGAGAGCAGAGCCGCTGCGGAAACTCAAAATGCTGCAGGCGACAATCATCACGGTTGTGCCAGTCGGAGCAATGAAACCCAACCTGTGGAACCAGTTGTGGATCGTGGTGATGAGTTGGCAATAAGCTGCCGTTCAGCAAGGCGATATTCGTCGTCGACGACGTCCTCCTTACACTTGTCTCGACAGGAAGACGAAAGCACAATGCTGTTTGGTTTGGGGGTTGTGGCGGCTGTTGGAGCTGGCCTCTGGTATTGGAAGCATGCTCACACGCACTATACTGATGAAGCCACAGAGGTTGTGGCTTCCACTAGCTAGCTAGCCAGTGTTAGCGAGTTGTCACACCTTTTGCTACGTGTCAGCCAGTTTTGTACAGGAGATAACAGTGTCCATATCATATCGTATCATTAATACTAGACAATCAATGTTTTCATTCTGCGGCCGTGTTGTCACCAACACATCTATTGAATCGACACCCCAAAATTGAAGGCTCGGCGTACCCTTTGTGAAAGCGCCAACATCAGTGCGACCGTCACAAGTAAGTTGACTCGATAGTCATCCGCACGTCCCCGCTGAAGACAGAGATTTATTTGGCCGAAAGCAACTTGCCGAGAAAGGGGACAGAGCATGCAGTGTCACACCACACCCTAGCGGGAAGGTGACACACAATCCAATACTGACTCTTTCACGAACGACTACAGATGCATGTAGTTGATCACAACCAGTAGTCCAGTACCGGTACCTTTACTAAGCACCTTCAATCTGTTTGGCAAGCGTCACAACATGGCCGAGCCACTCTGTTGGATTCTCGTTAAGCATGTTGATGCTCCCTTCCATCACGACTTGTTTTGGTGGACTGACAAAGAATGTCATTGCTTCTTGGAACTGGCCTGTCATGTCCATGCCAATCTTGTCAAAGAACTCAATGGCTCCTGCTCCATTGATACACAAGACGGGACAAAATGACTGCCAGCATGCATCTGGCAAGGGAAAGGCTCCTCCATCAGGGATGTAAATACCCTTGGCGTAGCGTTCTCTTCGTTTGACTAGATAAATCAAGTTATCGAGTGTAGCACGTGTATTGAGTTCCGGGGATAACCAACTCGACCGTTTGTCCCATATTTCACCGATATGCGATCCATCGTCTTTGAGTGTCCATGGATCCACAACAGCAATGGCGCGACCATCCTGGCTACTACTAGTATTTTCACGGGCATCACAGACCGCCTTTTCCCGCGCGGCTGGTTGAAAGTAGTAGAGATTGGAGCATACAACCCCAACAATTCGTTCGGGATATCGACCGGCCAGAGAGAGTGCAATGTAACATCCCATCAAGGATCCAGCTGCGATACATCTCTGTATTCCCAACCGAGTTAAGACCTGCAGGAAGCAGTCTGCCATTTGATCGATCGAACAACTCTGGGTGGGATTGTCCGACTGGCCATAGCCAAACTCATCAATGGCTACAAAGATTCGAGCATTCCCATCCACCTGGTACGACAACTCCATGACTTCCTTGTACTCGTCCACCGAACGGGGTGACATGTGAAATCCCACGATGGGAAGTAGACGTGAGGCAGCGGCCGTTTGAATGTCCCCAATCATTTGGTAATGAACCAGCCCGAGCGAAGTTGGAACCAGGCCTCTCCGAAACGGAGTTTCTGATGCCAATGCCAGTGATGCATGGGAGTGCAAGAGAACCAGTAGCGCTGCCTCTATGTGGGTTATTAGGAAGCCTCTTCCCATGGTCTCATTCAATCACCAAAATCGTCTGCTTTGATCTCCTCTGCCTGTTGGCTTTGTTTTGGGTTGTTCTTGGTTCCAGGCGGGAAGGAAAGTGTGTTTACTATTTTATCAACCCGGAGGGGTCTGTCAGCGTGTCACGATAATGTCTGTGTAGTGTTGAGAAAATAGTCACAAATTGGCATTTTAGCTGTTTTGATCATTGGGATAATATACATGATTAGAATATTTTGTATGTAGAGAGCAGGCAGCATCTTCAAGTCGGACACTTAATGGATAAAATTCCTCAAGTATAGATACTTTTTATCCAAAATGCCACATAGGCAAAAATTGGATCATTACTTAGATGAACTGGCTGGCTACATAGGGTTATACAATACTCAACTACATAGATAGCATAGAGCAAGCCATCGGATAACAGTTAACTGAAGGGTTAGGGTCATAAAAGGATTTAAGGTACAGTTTCCTCTAATGTCTATGTCTTTTTGACTAACTTTCATAACGTGATATTCTAGAAATCAGTGGTAATGATATTGTAGAAATGAATGATTCTCATAACGTGACGTTCTAGAAATCAGTGATTCTCAAAACTAAGTGTTTCAAAAATCGCTGAATTTTCATAAAAGGATGTAAAGTATAGTTTTCTCTAATGACTGTGTCTTTTTGACTAATTTTCATAACTTGATGTTCTAGAAATCAGTGATAATGATGTTGTAGAAATGAATGATTCTCAGAACGTGATGTTCTAGAAATCAATGATTCTCAAAACTAAACAAAGTGTTACAGAAAGCAATCGCTGAAATTGGATTTACTTTTTCTTTTTTTGTTTTGAAATCTTTCGTCGCTTAGTGAGTCGGGAACATAGCGGTTTGTTTGTGCATGTAGAGGGTTGTACATATTTACATTCTTTAATGCATCCTTAATCCAAGCTTCCGTTGATAGTTGGATTATCACAGGATTGAATAGGAAGTGTGTTATCTAGAAGTGGAATGTACAAGCTTTACTTATTCACAGTGCAAGCAAAGAAGCCGTTTGATCCGCTCTTGTAAGCAAGTGATTCAACGTTGAAGCTGAAGATTTTTCAGTCATGCTTCAAGATATGCTTCAACGTGCCGAATCACTCTCATTTCACTTACGACAATCTCATTTTTCCAAACGACTGATTTTCGTAACACTTGGTTGTCAAAATCAGTGTCCGAAACCACCATTATGATTCCGTTCAGAGTCTCAAAAATCTGACACTTCACTAACCAATCGCCAATTAGCTCATATCCAGCACACCTTGGCATGCATTCTGTGATGCAAATGGTTGTCGCTGCTGTGAGAAAACATGTTATGGTGGAAGTCGGTGTTGGCTGGCTGGTCACGACTCTTTTTCTATTTTGGTTTTCAAGAAATTGTGCTGTTAAACATCAAAATGGGCCAAATGACTGATTTTCGAAACACTTAGTTCTCAAAATCAGTGCCCGAAACCACCATTATGATTCCGTTCAGAGTCTCAAAAATCTGACACTTCAGTAACCAATCGCCAATTGGCTCATATCCAGCACACCTTGGCATGCATTCTGTGATGCAATTGGTTGTCACTGCTGTGAGAAAACATGTTATGGTGGAAGTCGGTGTTGGCTGGCTGGTCAGGGCTCTTTCCATTTTGGTTTTCAAGAAATTGTGCTGTTCAACATCAAAATGGGCCAAATGACTGATTTTCGTAACACTTGGTTCTCAAAATCAGCGCCCGAAACACCCGAAATACCAACCGCCATGATGTATCATCTGCTTTCCAGCTCCACAACCACAATCTAATACCAGAGCCAAGCCTGAAGAGAATCACGGAGTGACACATATGCATTGCAGCGCAGCAGCTAAAAATCTTGTACTTGTTGTTAAAACGTTCATTCATAAGCCGGCCGACCCAGTGTAAAGACCCTCATCTAGTGTTAACCTCGGCCTCCCGGGCGCTACCTTGCCCTTGTAATAGTACCTCGACAGTTTTGGGGGAATCGCCGATCAGTCCCGTGTAGTATAGTAGCTTGGATCTTAGTCGGATCTGACCAACCTCGGTCAATCTTCCGGCCGCACCACGCAATTTCGAACTTGTGACTAGTAGGAACGATCCGACAGTGAGAATATTCTCCCCGAATGTTCCAACCTGTTCTTCGCGTGGGACACAATCAAATCAGCTTGTACAAAACGAGAATTGCACTGTTAGTGTCAAAAAGAGTTACATAATTGTCAAACCACGATAAATAAGCCTTAAAATGACATAAATAAGAGTGTAAAGTCCTTTTCTTTAAGAATATCGTAAAGGGCTCAATTCCTTCACTAAACACAACCCACAAATTATTGTGAAAAGCACCTCAAGATGACTACAGGATGAACGCAATCAATATAGCACCTACACAACCAAACTAACAATCTAGAGTTGTCTACATTCTTTGTTTGTCACAGCCATATGCTGGTTGTAGTGGTGACAGCCATGTAGAAGGCATTATCTTATGTCAAACTAGATGCTTCATTTTTCTTCCATATATTCTCAAGTTCTCAGCTCCCCTTCATTTCGAACTGTGTCGCCCTTCTGCTATCAACCCAATCATACGTATTGATCTAATGAGAGAATTGGAGAGGATGCTATCATTGAAAGTGAGTAGGATCAACAAGTTAATAGAAAAAGTGGCAGCCCCTGACAATAAGTCCGGAATGTACCAGCGACGCCTCAAGCATCTATTCTAGTGGTTCATCTGATAGTAGTAATGGTGCACTACGCTAAAAGCTAGTGTAAAGATCTTTCGAGTGTTTTGAGTTTGAGAGAATGAAAGTTATGAGAGGATTAGAAAGCTATGAAACTAATCAACGAGAGAGATCCACAATCAAAGGATCGTAGATCTGAACTCCCGCGGGAGACTGTAGAGTGTGATAGAGTAGGTTGTTGGTAGAATCCTACTCACTCCACGATCCAAAACGGAACGCGTGGAAGATTCGTTAGCTTTATCTAGTAGCGTGGAAATGCTCCACGCTGGCTAAATATCTAGAGCGATGTTTCATCATCACACTAGTATGACTAGAGCGGTCATTGAGAACCTGTCTCAATGACTATTCACGAGAGACTCAGTCATGAGTCGAACTCAAACCCTATCTAGGATCGAGTCGCGAATAAGGCTAAGAGCCGTGTATTGCATTCGCCCCCTGACAAGGGTCACGGAAGGCACGACATCAGTCGGACAAGGAGAACATATGAATTAAAGTGCGGGGCACTTCCGGAGATTTGATGTAGACATGTGCGTCGCACGATGGCAATCCTACAAGGGGATCAGGCCTTGTATGGGTGTAAATACCTTATGTTCCAGTCTGGTAGACTGTGCCGCTACTGGCGGTAGTATGTCGGAGCCGTACAGTGCCATTGTTATTGACTCGGTCTGTGTGGTAAGGACCTTTGTGCGTTGGCTGACCGTACGAACGGTTCTGATACTGATGAATCATCATAGATCGTTGACATGGTGTTGATGAGGGACACGTGTCGTGTTCTCCTTATCGATGTGTGCTGGATAAGTCGTTGGCGACGTTCCTTAAATGTATTTCCGGTTTGCTTTGAAACGGATGCAGTGAGTCTTGTCACGATTACGCCGTGAACTTGCGACGAAGTCCATGTTCACCGAGAGTCTTCTCGACTCTGCACGGGACTCACGTTCTCTGTCCATGACACCGGTCATGGATACTGGTAACCCACGTCTGTTTCAGAACGGTGGTTACTCCATCTGCTGTCTTGGAGCAGCCCTTGGTAGTTCGTTGGTCCAATGAATCTACGAAGTTTCCTTCCTGTTGGTAGGAAGAGCGATGCTGGATCGCATCTGTTGTCTTTTTAGTTAAGGGTGGATTCCTTCTCGAGTAGTCCAACTGTCTAGATAATCCAGTTCTTCCTTTCGAGGAAGCCTTGGTAGTGTTGATTTCAATCCCGACTTCTTGGAGTCTTTGGGGAAAGGTCATCCTACTGTTCAACGCGATCTGCGAGATCAACCTCCGTTAGGATGAGTTGATCATCAACGTATGCACGGACGTTGTCTAAGTCCTGCATGCGTGCTTTCATCTTCCTTTGGAAGATGTCGGGACTATTACATAGGCCCATTGGCAACCTCGGGTACTCGTGCCTTCCCTTCGGGAGTGCAATGGTATAGTGTTGCTTCGAGTGAGGTGACAGCTCGATGTGGTAGTGTCCCGTGTTCAGGTCTAGACTAAGTAGTGCGCTTGAATCCATTTAGGTTCAAGAGCATGTCCTGTATTTTGGGACAGGATAAGGCTTCCGCTCGATCCTTTTGTTCAGTCCCGGAAATCAGAGATGAATCGTATCGATCCCTCTTTCTTGGGAATGATAAAAGTTGGTGCCGCCCACTCGGAACGATTCACCTTCTTGATTACTCCTGCCTCGCAGAGAGTTCAACCTCCTTCTTAAGAGTGTTGGTATGGACCGTGGAGTAGGGTGAGCCCTAGTATAATAGGATTTAGCGTCGGGACGAAGTTCTACCTCGTAGTCGTCCATTCGCACTCTCCCGAAGTATCCTCGACTGGGTCGAAGCACTTGGTTGAAAAGGCATGAGGCAGTTCTTGCTCTTCCTTATTTAACGGGTTTCGACTCTGGCACATCTGCCTTAAGCTCTTTGTTCGTATGTTGTATCAAGAATCTTCGTGAGACTGTTGCAGTGTCGCTGACAGTTGCAGGATCGGGAATGGAGAAGTCTTCTTTTTTATTTCTTGCCATCTTCGCAGGGAAAAATGCGCGGTTCCACCCATGACGTGGTAGTGAAATCAAACTTGATTCTTAGGTCGCAGAGAGTGTCTTGACCTATGATACGTCTTGCGCCCCCAAGTCTTGGTGGCGTGTAAATTCCACTTGATATTCTATCATCGTGGAACTAGGAATCGCGAGTGTGCCCTTACACTTCGTGCGGGGTCTCATTCCTTCGTAGAAGCATGTCCGTAATGTTGGACGCCCCCATGATTCTTCATGAGCAACCTCTTAGCATGAGTTTGAGCAATAAGTTCCGGATGCTTTGTATCCATAAGCAACAGAGTGTAACGGGTTTTCGTTTCCCTTTTTTCGTCTGTTAAATCTAAC